CTGGGATCTACCAGCCGAAGAATAGAAGACGGAGCGGGGAGAAGGAAAGACGACAAGGAATTAGAAGACAAGGAATTAGAAGTGGAAGAGACATTCCACATATAGACATGCGAGGTGCAGAGTGAGTGAAGTTTTCATTCCCGGAGGTTAATAACCTTTAAGGTATCAAAATTGCTATAAGGATAGCCGGGGCAGAGAAAGAGAGACGAAAACATTGGAAGAGAAAAAAGCAAGAATAAGGAATGCACGCAGTCCATTCAGTTCACAATTCTGTTCAGGTTTATTCTCAGCACTCTTTTCAAAACTGGTCACATGGCTTGTCACTTTATATGCAATATAAACTAACATACTCTCTTTAGAGTAAGTACGTATAGTTATCCCATGGAACTGTTTAATTCCTTATTTCCTTCACTGAAAAGTAAAATTAAAGACAAAGTATTACTTAATGGTCATAGAATTAGATCATACTTGAAAGAAAAAGTTAGAGCTAAGACGAAGTCATTCAGCATATCATCTACGTTTGAAATTCAGGACAGTGAAAAATGACTGGCCAATACGAATTCTATAAAAGAGACACAATTAAAGAAAAGGAACAGACTCATAGCACTGACACAATGTTAGCTATGCTAATGTGCCTCCATAACATTGAATAGGCATCTGCAGAATCTCTCAGTTTTTATGTCTACTCGTCTACTCATTTCTTTATTCTATCTATCTCACTTTAATTAAGACTCATTTAAAAGATGGCACAGAGTATGGAATGAAAATCGATATACTGCGCTAAATATTAATAAGTCTAAGTCTTAATCTAAATTTCTCACAGAAATTAGTAAGTTCACTTTACCAACCAATTCTAAACAGAGAAAACATCGAAAAAGATCCAAATTCCACCATATTTTAGCATGCTATAAATAAAATATTATTGCTCGCAACAATTTCTACGGTTTCCACTTTTTCTAATTGCTTCCACTACTTCACTTGTTGCTTCTCCTTCATTGTTTTTTCTCTTCCCCTTCTTTATTGATTTTAAGTGTAATTTTAGACAGTTTTAGTGTTACATATTTACTTATAAATAAGAAAAATTATTCGACGCTTTTCATCAATTAAACAATGAAATGATTCTTTAAATTTACACGCACACACAATTTACAAAAATTCTCATGAAAAAAGACGACTATGGAAAAAAGAAAATAGAGGAAAGGACACAAAAGCTATGACATCAAACTTTATGCAAAAAAACTTCAACTTCATTTCTAACAAGTTCATTTACTCGCATGATGTCAAGAACTACTACCAATCACTATTAAACTCTGTCGATAAATTTAAAATCTGAAGTTGGAATAACCAAGAAAATGAAATTCGGTGTTCAAAATTTTCAGGAAGATTATGAAAAAGGGAAATACTGCCAACTGGTAAATGAACAAAAAAAAGCGGTGGAAAGGAAATTTATGTGAATTATGAAAAATCAAGTCCAAAAAAAAAAATCGGCTGGGAAATGACTTGGACAGAGATCAAAACTTCTCTTTCGCTAACGCGACATAATTCTCGTGCCTAATACTTCAATAAAGAAAGATGAACAAGTTTTGGTCCTCTCTATAAGTGTCAACCTTGCTTGGTTCTACACTGCAGCTTCAGCTTTAATTCATATGTCATCGGATTTGAAGTCAAAAAAGTAGTAGTAATTTTTGAGCAAAAATGTAAATAGAATTCAAGATCGCATTACTTTCCACCAATCACCTTTAGCAACTTGACTGAGTGGTTGACCAAGGAAAGATAGCCCGCTGCATTAAAAAAGACCATTTCGATTACTCAAAAAAAGAAGGACGATTCCTCACTGAGATGACGGTCAAAGCAAATCAGGATGTATAAGTTATTTTATGTTACAAGGAGGAAATCCATGAAAAGAGGACTTCAGTCTAAGGTTATATGGCTAATTTAACATTTCACTGCTTAGATATGAGATTTGTTTAACTGTAAATATAGTGATAGATAAAGTAAGCAGCGGATAGAAAAGAATCGACAAGAAGCAATTTAGACAATTAATTAATGAGCCTTCACTAAAGGTATTTCTCACTTTCACCCTCCCTCTCTCTCTCTCTCTCTCTCTCTCTCATGCACAGCATTCAAAAACCTAAATGAGAAGAAGAGAACAGTAGAAGAATTTAAGATTGAGAAAACTCCAGTATTGAAATAAAAAGATCAGGCACTTACGACTGCTGTGATGCCACTTTGATGAAGTCGAGATCATCTTCCAGATGAGCCAGAGGCACTTCCGGTACACTACAGTTTATATTTTCGACCATTCCCGTACCCATAACCATAATAAAGTCATACCAGTCACAAAGAAGCAGGAATAAAATTGTACCGGAACTGGAATTAGGATTAGAGCAGATTTGAACAGAAATGCCAGTATCGATGACGTGGGTCTGTCGACGACTGTCACCACCTTCAATATTTTATTTCTTGATAGAGATCCTTCTACGAGGTATGCGTTGGTTCGCACCCTCTAGATGAATCGCTGTGAGGCAACTAACCCGAAAATCAATCATTCTTTCTCGAACTATTTGCTGCACTGGAGACATGTGACAAACACACATACAGATGCACACACAGACATACACAGACAGAGACACAGACATGCATTTGCTCTGTGTATTAGCATCAGAGCCTGGTACTCTCTTGTCCCTTCAAGTTGACAGTCCTTTATGCCTTCCGTCAATAAAGCAACCAAATAGCTTGAGAGAAGTACTGCTAGAGCAGTAGTGGCATATTCGCTCCTCTCTCTCCTTAACTCATCCAATCCTTAAAGAGACCTACAATCGAGGCATTGTTTATAGTGCATTGGCCAGTAACACAACTGCGCCTCATATACGCCCATTAAGCATCCGCCATTCATCAACTATTTTGCAATCTGTTTATTTTCATAACTACACTAGTTAAGCTGTCTCGTCTGGCCATGTTACTGTATCAAAATAAAGGTAACATGCAAAATACCAAAGTTTGTCTCGAAATCTTGTGGGTAAATTCATCTTGCATCAATCATATTTGGGAATAAGTATACACATAGAGCAAACATGATTGATAAGCGATGACAGAAAGTAAACGACTGTACAACTTAAGCATACATCGCATCACTGAAATAAGTACAGCACAGTTGGTGATATCAACCAGAAAGTACCAGTTTCATTCCAGTGCGGTGGCATAACCTGCAACCTTCTCTTAATTAATTAACTGCTACAGAAATTTCCGGTTATGCTTAGTTTTCTTTAGCAGGACAAACGATTAATTAATTATATAACAGAACACTGAAAAAAATAGTAGAATTCGAAGTTATTCATTCCATTTATTTAAATTATTTCAGGATTACTAATAATTTTTCTTGTTTAGCTTTGTGAATTTCCAGTCATGCGCAAAAGTTGTAGCACTTGCAACACTTTATCAGACATAGAATCATTGGAATAGCTGGATGACAATGCTGATACTTTAATTTTTCAGCCCACAATTTTCTTTTAAGCTTTTTTCCTAGCTGCATGAATATTTCTGACTTAATAGTTAGTTTGCTTGGAAATCATTAATTGAATAGCACTTTATCGCTGCTACGCTCATACTTCATTCATATTTACATTTTGCATTCTCTAACGATATTCCGATATTCTAACAATCCTATCACTTTATTTCAATGTTCATAAAGCTCACTAAAATTGAAACCAAAAATTTCAGTTTAACTGATCAAAGAGAATGTCTATCTGAACTATATTTTTAACAGTTGAGACTTTTAACTTTTGCATTCCTTAGTCTATTGTTTTTATCATCAAATGATAAGCAAATCAGATGTTTCATTTCTTGTCGATTTTTTGTCATTGCAGGCTGGAAATACCATTCTCATTATGTTAAAGTAAGCAGCTTTAAAAAGGAGTAATTTACTAATGACATTAAATAGACATTAAAACAAATGTTCGACAATTTATAATTAAACAGAATATATGAAGGAATGTGCTTTTAAAGAAGAGCTTCGACAAATAGCTCCATGAATATAATTTTAATCAAATAATTATGTATCTTTAACACTGTGATTAGTTGTTTATTTTCTTGTTTACAAAGTTCTTATTATTGGCACATGAAGGCATACTAAGTCTCCGTGCTCACTATGTAAAATAATCAATGCTCATTGCGTGACAATTAGCGTGACAACTACACGTATGCCAAGAAAAGCATCCATGAAAAGAAGGTTGCTTCTTTCCAGCTGTTCCTTTCAGCACTCACATTCCCATCAATTAAATACTTCCATTTCACTCATTCATTTCTCAAAACATTTTCCTCACTTCTCTTCTCTCAACGAATTTAACTAATATACCATAGTTAAGGAAAGAACAGTGGCTAGAAGTTGACTTATCACAAGGGTAACTCTAAACAATACTCCATCAACCGGAGTGCATTCTACAGATTTGCATTTAAGAACCTCCAGACGAACTGTTTTGAAGACGAAGTTTAGAGATGATAGTAGTGGAGTGGTGCCTGTCGAAATTCACTTAAACTTCGACGGGCATGAAAGGGATGAGCAATGGAAGGAGGGGGGGAATCTGTCTAGAGATCTCATGTGCAACTCAGCTTATCAACTCAGATCTTTCCTTAATCGGCTAGTGAATTCATTATCTTAATAGAAAAAATTCAAGGTAAGTTTTCGGCCATATTACAACGAGTTTTTGTCTAATTTGAATTTTTATTGACCGGTTCTATAATTTGACTCGCAATCCTGACTGGTCGTAGGTTTGTCTGAGGAATGAGAGTGTAATAGATGTAAGATTGACGTACCAAGTGAAGAATTTATGAAATAAAGGTTAAGGAACCGGTATTGACAGTGACCTTTAGGTTTTCGAGAGGTATTTCCATTGCAAATGTGTTTGCTTTAGTAGTTTGAATTTCTGAATTTTCGTAATACGCATATTTGTGATTTTTGAACTAAGGAAAAAGAATTGATGTGGTTAATCAATTTTTCAGCTATGGCTACTGCTGAAGAGCGTAAACTTGAGCTTGAACGCAAGAAGCAGAAGCTGGCTGAAATTCGGGAGGAGAAAAGACGCCGGGAAGAAGAACGGCGGCGGAATTTGTTGAAAAATGCAAATCTCGAAAATGGAGCAGGTTTTTTCTTTTACCGATGTCACATTGTGCAAAATCACTTTGTTTATATAATTTCTTTATAAGATTGCATGTTTTCTTATGTGACTGCTTGTCTTCTCTGTTTTCATTTATTAATTTGCTAGACATTATGCGTTTTTAAGTTTACTGGAGGAATAGAGATTGAGATGATATAGATTCCTTGAAAAAAAGACGAAGAATTTTTATAATTAATTTAAAAAGGAAATATTTCATCTCTCACTTTAGTCCTTGCTTTTCAGTGAGCGATTTGCCGAAAACATTTTCACAAAAGGATCTAGAGGAGATCCTGGAACCGTTAGGAATATCGGCACAGCCTCAGATTGAGTCATCCATTACTCCAAACAACATTGATCACCGAACAGTAGTAAAAATCTTTCTTGCTCTGCCATACTTTTCAGGCAAATAATAATGTGGATTGCAGTTACAATCTCATCTTTTTATAGTCCTTTTTCTTTTTTCTATCACAATAAGTTTTTCATAAACTGAGTTGGTCCTGGATATTGACCACCGATATTTGTTTTTCAGGATGGAGTTGGGAACAATCAGAAATATTTGTCCATTCCCAGGACACAAAAACTTGCTCTTTGTGAAACACAGATAATTTCAGTACCACCTAAGGATGCTGTATGATTTTTTTTCTTGGTTAATTTTAGTGCCAAATTGCATGATATTTCATTTTGCAAATCTGTGTGTGATAATATTCAGTATATAATATCCTGCTAATATTCAGTATCTAGTACCTGTGAATATATCGTCATTTTGTTGACTCTGTTCTCTTCAAAATATTGCGAAAAAGATTTGAGCTTAAATATTACTGCAGATGGAAGAACAATATTTCCAGGCGTCTTATTGTAAAACAACACAAACCGATGACGATCGAGTATCAGCGGGAGAATTTAGTTTAGGTTCTCAGGAATTCGATTATGATGAGGAAATGACGATGTTGGATAAACATTTAGAAATCAATTTTGACGAGTCCCCTACACGAGAAATTGCGAACATTTTGCCTAACTTTAACTTTGGTGTACGTCAACATCAGGAGGTAAGTAGTATTTTAAAATAATGATTGACATTATGTAAAAATTATGCTGTACGTCAGCTATGAGTTTTGTAGAATGGTGAAGAGAAGAAAGAGGAGGAAACGAAGGTCCCAGATCTGAGTGAAGAAGAAAAGTTACAAATTCTCAGCAGTCAAAAATTTCAACAATTTTTTGATTACAGCTCACGCGTCATGGAACGACAGTTAGCTGAAGAGGTTGACAATATTTAGTTCAAAGATAACGCTTCAAGATGGTTATGTAATCTGTAATCAGTGGCTTTGTTTCTATAAAATAATCTTGTACAACAATAACATTTTAGAGAAGTGGTTGAGATATTTCATAGAATGTTTTTCAAATAATTCGTGCTTAAATTTTGGATTACTTATGGAGGTTTAACTTTTTTAGTGATCCTTATTGTCACATTTTACTTTAATGCATGTCATTACCAAATTTGTGAAACATTTCTATTTCATTTATCTTTTTCAGATTGACATCTTCATCGATTACTCTCGCGACGAAGCTATGGATGAGAAAACTAATAATGGTGAGAAATTGGTGTTTGCTAGAAAATTTGTTGATGAAAAATGGAGTGCAGGAAGGTAAATGGTTCACCGTTGTTACGACCCCAAAATATTTGGACATCATTGTTCATAAAGCACAACTTAATCTACAATATTTGTTTATATAAATATCTAGAAGGATTTAATTTTTACTGAATTAATGCGAAAGTTGTATTTTTATAATTTTTTGTCCTTTTCGTTTTTAGAGCTGTAACAGGTATTGATCATTGTGTGCAACACCCAGAATTATTTGCTGTTTCATATGATCAGAATCCTGATTCGCCTCTTGATCCTATTGGAGTAGTACAAGTATGGAGTTGTCGTTTCAAAAAACCAAGTGCTGAGTAAGCATTATATTAAAATAATTGGAAACTTATGTTTTTGCAACTCAATTGATCACAAAACTTGCAGCTAACTTGATTTCAGGTACACTTTCTACTGTCAATCACAGATTACTAGTGTAGCGTTTGCTAAATTCCATCCAAATTTAATAATGGGAGGATGTTATTCCGGTCAGATTTGTATGTGGGACAATAGACTCAGCAAGAAGACTCCTGTCAATAAGGTTTCTCCGTTCTCTTTCTCATGTTATATTTTACTTTTTTGGTACCAAAAGAAAAAGATGTAAATCTTTAAAATCAATTTGAATAAGCATGGAATCATGACGATGTTACTCAGTCTTTGTTAATTCAATTGTTTTGTCATTTTCATTATGTGATTTCTTTGCTAAGAAATATTACAGAGTCCTTTATCATCACAAGCTCATACTCATCCAGTGCTGAGCATGGCAGTGGTGGGTAGTCAAAATGCACATAATTTAATTAGTATATCAACTGATGGAAGGCTTTGCTCATGGAGCGTTGATAATTTAAATCAACCAATTGATGTAATTGACTTAGCATGGAAGCAGAAGCAGGTATATATATATATTTTTTTTTTCATAGGTCTTCAGTGAAATTATTTGAAACTTGGCTGCATAATGCTCGATTTCTGTCCAGTGCTTTAAAACACTAGAGCAATATAATGTTAATAAGAAAAATGTTTACTGAAGTTACCATCAATGGATCTTGTGAAATTAAATATTTTTGTGATGCTTGCTGTACATTTCAGGTAACATGCACTTGCATGTCGTTTGCTCTTGACGATGTTAATAATTTTGTGGTAGGTAGTGAGGAAGGGAATGTCTATACGGCAAGCAGGCATGGTAATAAAGGTGGAATAAATGATAGCTATGAAGGTTAGCTTTAAAACATTCCTAATTGGACTCTTGCAGTGAAATCAGTTATGTAAAAAACATTGCATTATATTCTTGCAGGTCACATTGGACCTATAACAGGAGTTGATACACATAAAGCTTCTGGTATTATTGACTTGTCACATTTATTTTTATCATGTTCTTTGGATTGGACTGTCAAGTTGTGGAGTACCAAGGCAATAATTATTATCCTTAGAATTTACTTGAATTAGAGTAGGAAATTTTCGGGATTTGATGTAATTTTCTTTTGTTTTATTCTAAAATTATGTTCGTTACTTAGTTTGGTGTTGTATAAGCTGTCCAATGAAATTTTTGCTTGAAGATTTAAAATTTCCAGGAGACACGACCGATTTATTCATTCGAAAAGCATGGTAATTATGTAACTGATGTTGCCTGGTCTCCCGTTCATCCTGCAATTTTTACATCGGCAGATGCTAGTGGAAATGTAAATTTTTTGCTGCCAAGTATTTTATAATTGTATTAATATTTAAATATTGATAGTTTCTTTTATGTTTAGGTATTTTTGTGGAATTTAAATGAAGATACCGAAGCCCCTGTGTCGCATTTGCAAATGGAAGGTGGTGCAGGAGTACGGAAGATGAAATGGATGCAGAACGGTGCGTTTAATTGCCTATTATAAAAGATCTGAAGGAAAATTGAAGTTTTTTGTTGATGCATTCTACGGGATGAAGATTCTTCTGATACATTTTTGTCATGTTAGATAATTCCAAAACACTTTGTTCTGTAGGATTCTTAAAATAATTAGATTAGCTAATGTATTAAAGGCTCTGTTATGATTGTTGCCACAGGAATATTTACTTGGTGATGCCGAACATAGCCAAAATTAGCAAAATTTGGTCCGTTCTTCGCACAGCGACACTCTGATTTATAAGTGTCGATTGTATTTGCGGGTGGATACATATCTGAATGTTCAATATTTAGTATGGAAAACTTGTTTGTTAAATTTCGTAGTTTGAAGGTCAACAACTAACCGTGGGCGATGAGAAAGGTAATTTGTACGTTTATGATGTACACGAAAACCTTACTAACTGTCGCCCGGATGAATGGTCGAAGCTGTCAAGGTATTTTTTTTATTACATTTGCTAATCAAAGCTATTTAGTGTATTCATTTTTAATTTTCGAGGAAAGATAAGTATAAAGAAGGTGTTTTAAATTTTATTACGTTTTGATTGCAGAGCACTTCGTGATATCAGACGAGCGAGCGAAGAAGGGGAAGAATTAGTAGAAGCAATGAATAGCTATTGTGTGTCTTCTGTTGGTATTAGTTCAATAACTAATGCTGCGGTGGGTGTTACTGGCTTATCGCCAAGACAGCAGTGGTAGTTGTTACTCTCCCAAACCAGTAAAATATCGCTTTCAGTTTGTATGATGTTCATCTGAAGTACTTGATCCTGCATAATCAACTTATTGCAAATTTTAGATTTAAATGCTTATTTAAATTTAAATGCTGTGGCATAGTTCCTAATATTCGGCCTTGGTATATATATGGCATGCAATTAAAAGAAAGTTTTGGTGTTAGTTTAATGCTTTAATGCTTTTCTTAGTTAATTGAAGCGTGGTCGAATGTTGGTACTTACTCTTATAATGTGTTATGTTGACTTTCTAATGATTCATCTCATTTATCACATGTAATAACATTTTTTGTCTCTAGATTTTTTTTTATTTTGCATAAGAAAATGGTTTGTGATATCAGTCTGGGAATGGTTTCTTAATCGCATTTGAAACAGTCACCTTTGCATTGTCCTAGTTTCGTTAGAGAAATTGTCCCGGCATTTTCATATATTTTTCACATTCTTCTTGGTTGTTCAAAAAACTGATATATTTTCATCTCCTATATTTGTGATCAATGTGAAAATTATTTTTAGCTGTAGGAAAGTAAATTTTTGCTCAAATAGTAATCGGATCATTAAAAAAGTGTAGTTTAACCGATTATGTCAATGTGTGTTATGTTTTCCAAGGACGAATTAGAGATTTTTTATTTATTTTTTCTGAACATCCCTTTGCCTTAAAACCACTAAGTACGGGACACTTTGTCCTTTTTAACTTTATTCCTTTATCCTCCGTGTAATTTTGCTTAAAAGACAAACCGTATTTACCATGCGTATATTTTATCACTTTCATTAATTATTTCTGCCATTGTTAATATAGGTGCAAGCTTTACGTCTTTTGTCATGTCAAAGTAGAATTTTTTTGGAACGGCTTCCATTTTTTGCTGTTGTTGATTCTGATCGGGATATACTAACGATTACCCGGAAAACTTGTCTATTTCTCTGGAAAAAGTTATGTTAATCAATATAAAAATGGTTCGCAAACATATCTACATACGACGGTTATTTGTCGCATCTCCCTGAATAGATCCTTTCCTTTTTTGGTGTAAAAGGAAATTTGACCGGCTGGAGCAGTAATAGGCTTTCTAGGGTAACTGCTTGCTAGTTTGCTTCTATTCCCAAATATGCGTCAAGTTGGTGCCAAAGTTTCCAATGGTGTTATTAATTTTTGCAGAAATTTTTGTGTAATGTGTTTCTACTTGACAGTGGTGAGTTCTTGGTGCTGAATGTCTCTAGTTAATACTTTATCATGAAATGAGATATTTGTATAAAATATGCTGATTAGCCATGCTATCGTGACCAGTTTTTTCCTACATCATTGCTCAGAAACTAGTGGCATAGGATGGAGAAATCCCGTATGTTCTCTGCATTTCATGGTGTTTAATTATTTACGGTTTGAACAAAAGTTATATATTTTAAGCCATGCTTTTTGCTACTGCATCTTACTGTTATAATGTGTGATAATATGCTTCTGTATTTAGTTTGTTAAATAATATCTTGAATGACTGTTTAATTGTACCCTCACTAAGGTTATCAGGACTACCGGGAATGGATCGTTCTTATGACAACTATCCCACAGCTATCTTTTTCGGGTCTCTTCCATTGCTAAATAATCGTTTTCAATTACTGTCCATTTGTTTGTTCTGTCAAAGCCTTATGAAGAACGCATCGTACAACGTTTTTTCCACCTCCTTGCTATTCTCGGAGTACACATTTCCTCTTTGCAGATGTTACAACTATGAAGGCAATTTATGCGATTTGATATCGATATTATAGGAATGCATGCTTACGACGGCAGGTTTCTGAAATATATATTCCCATCTTCTATCATTGTTGTTCCCGTGAGTTGTATCGAATTGCTAGTGTGCGGCAAAATCATCTTTATCTGTAGATATACAAAAAAAGAACGTTAGGTATAATCTTTCCTTTCAATTCTAGATCATGGTTTTGTTTCAAATGAATTATAAATAATTGAATCAGTCGATGAGACTGAGTCCGAATGTCGTTAAATTAATATTTCGGTCACCTTCGGAAGCTCTATGTTAAATAAGTAGTTGTTCGATTGGAACCAAAATGCCTAATAATTTCAAAATGGGAAATTCATGTACAAGGTCTGAATTGTTTTTCTTGGATATTACCTTGAAGTCGGAATATAACAAGAAACATTCTTTCACTGCCGACGAAGGAAATCTGAATCCAATTCGTATCAATTTTAAGATTTCGCTAGTCTTTAGGTAATGATTACCAACGTCGAAGCCTGTTGTAAAATATCTGGTAGTATGCCAAATTTGATGTGATAATTTCCTGGTTCTCATGAATGAGTTACGAGTTGTTGTTGTTGCAAAGTTCTGCAAACTAAATAAAAAAAAAATACCAACACCGACAATACTTCACAACATCGGGTTCCGCACATCTTATGAACTTAATTTTAGGTATTTCTCTTATTTGATGAAAGGTGACCGAAATATCCCTTACTTCAAGTCGTATATCTTCGCATTCTTGCAGTTCAAGCTTAGGAAATTTTCTTTTTTTCAAATGGAAATTTCTTTTGAATTTTCGCCTCAATTTCAGAGGCCGCATTAAGCGGAATTGCTATCAGGAACCAAACGGGTTAAATATAGCAAACAATTGCTTCCTGTATACGTCTGTACATTTAAGTTTCATCAGTATTCCCCATCTGAAGCACAGTTAAAATTTATGAATTTTTTAGAAAAATTTTTATGAAAAAAAATATGAAGTTCACTAAAATTCGTTAAAATATAAGGTGAAGTAACGAACATACTACAAAAACTCCTACGAGTCACCGCTGAATTATACATTAAACTGGCTTTAGATCTATAAAATAAAGCTGACAGCCAGTACACATCAGCATTTGCCATTCCGCTCTGTTTAATATTTGAACTCTTTCTCTAAAAGCGTATTATCCACAAAGGAAACATCATTAGCAATTTCTCGAAACATGACGAAAACCAGTCATCACATCACAAAAGTGTAGAATGATTTGTGAAATATTTATTAGAGCAGTGAAGTGGGAATCACTTCAATTGCTAAGCGAGAACAGTAAATCTTAAAATGGTTTTGAAATTGTGACAGCAACTGTAAAACAATTTATACAATATCTGAAATAACCGTGAAGATAATATAGATTAGTTGTTTGCAGGAACTTTTGGTAGGCCGAATTCATCCACTGCAATCCCTCCCTCTATCACCTGAAATGTGACTGCTTGTACAGCTAATAGCATGCATGTGCATTACCAATCTAAAATTCAATGTATTTTTAACTACACCTTAATTCATGAATAAGATAAAGGATGAACGACCCTAAGCTTGTTCACAACAACTTTTATTTTAATAGCAGAAAATATTTTCATACTACCTTGCTTTCGTATCCTGGTTCTTTAGATGGTACACCTGGTGCATTCAACGCTTCATCTAAATAAGAAGTATCTATGTCTGCTTCAAATTCATCCCCCAAAGCGTCAAGTTCAGCTTCCAAATCAGCTTCATCAATCTAAGGGAATAATACTTTTAATATATAGAAGAAAAAATATTTCGGGATTAAGTTTGGAAAGGAAAAAAACAAAGGTCATGGGTCATGAAATAAGACAACTGGAAACTTTACATCTGGCGTCTCATATTGTCGCGACATAGCTTCCTGAATTTCATTATTCATATCAAGCATTTCCTCCATTTCATCCTGAAGTTTATCGATTTTGCCAATATCCAACTTTTTGTATTCCTTCTGCATAGTTTTCAAGCCTTGTTTCATGGCCAACACAGTAGTCTGCAATGTCAGAGATTACCAACTGTAAGGAAGAAAATTGGTGCTCGGAAACCATGAAATCCTGAGAATTAATCAGCGCTCAGCCAAAGATAATGCATAAAACACAAAGAAATTCTTCTAAGCAAACCAAATTCAAAGGAAGGCAAAATCCCACCTGGGTATCTTTCATTCCCTGAATAGCGAAGTTGCTCTGTTCCATATTGAAAGACTGTTGACTTAGTTGGTCCCTCTGGTTCTCGTACATACGTTTTTGTTTCAGTATACTAGAATATAATATATAAATAAATAAATAAATAAATAAATAAATAATATATATATATATATATATATATAAAATGATTTTATCGCTTTTAGTTCGGTATATCAAATGAGTACAAACAATGGAAGGCATGAATGAACAATTTCTAGCATTCAAATTGATTGCAGTGGAAAGTGGTTGAGTATTACAGAATGTGTTCAGAGTAAGTTTTTATTTAACTTGCCGTAGAGCTTTCTGTTTCAGTTGATTTTTGGCCGGTCCTTCCCGCATTTTCTTCATCTGATCCTTGTATTTCACAAGTTCACCATCCAAACGAGCTATCTTTTTCTCAATGCTCTCGGTACGTGAGTCAACGTTTGCTATTGCATCGGTTAGCGTTGTTTGTGGCTCCTTTTTTTCCGATGTACCAAAGATTCGTCTCATCCACTATTAAATAACAATTGTCAAATTAATGTGCATAAATGTGTCGCGACTTATCAATCCTGTACATTCACATATATTTAAAATATAGACGTGACTCAACTCATCACGTCCAAATTCAACGAACAGAACAACGTATGTAGATTTTCGCATAAGTGAAGCTCGGCATCCACACATATTACCACGTGGTACTGACGTAACCCGCATGCTTGCAAGCTATACGCAAGCATGCCTCGGTTATTTCCCACACCCCGAAGAACAGCACTCAACACGGTCAGACTGACTGCACCTCTCTCACTTCCATGTTTTCCTCTTCAGAGGACCGCGTTTTACCAGTCATAATTCCCCTTGTTTGAAAATCTCAATTACCGTATGATTGTTGCACAGTGGGAGGTTGCGTGAAATGGTCGGTTTTGACGTCATCGCGCCGTCGTTCTCCCCTCGCCTCCTTACTTACTCACGCACCTCGTTTTGTTAGTCTCACTGTACGTCACGTCTGCATCCTGCTTTATCATTGTATCTGAAAATTGCAGTTCTCGGCATTGTTTGAATCCTTCATTTTTCTTCGTATTTACAGATTTTAGATCTTACATACTAACATGCGAATGCAAGCGAAAGCATGCACGAACATAGGGGTTTTATGATTACACGTGGGTTTCACATATACACGTATGTGGATTCTTTGTTATAAATGCATATGAATCAAGTAACAAGTGATTGCATTACTGTAAGAAATACCAGAAGTTTGCTGTAAGTAAGCGAGACAGATTCCACCTACAATCTTCAACGCTCAGTCCTCTTAAGAATTTCTCATTTCCAAATATGCAAATTATGGCAGTATAGCTTTTCCTTCTCTAAAAGTAGCATGGAATTTGCATACATAAAAAACCAGTGATTGAACAATGAAAATAAATATTGATGTGGCGAGATTTGACAGTGTTGATTCGTAGCGCCATGATGCAGCCATCTGCACCGTGGTGCGGACGTCCCAGACGTGCTATACATGAGGTCTCTGTTCGAAGGGCTAGAAAGCTAATTATACGAAATTTCAAGCTTCTCAAGCAAGGTAGCATTATCGTAACCGTCTCTTTATCCATCCTATGCGCATTTGTATAGTTCTTTGAGAGGTGTTGTATTTGTAGACGAATGATGGGGAATGATGCTTCTTGAGTGTATCTTGTGATGTTTTGTTGGACAGCGTTTTCCTCTCCCTATTTTCTGATTTGCATATTCCGTGTACAGTTTGCAGCCGGTTGCATCGGAAAGTTTTAGTGACACTTTTCCATTCATTATTTTAGATTCCATTTGTAAAAGAACTTTTCAGGAGGCGACATGCTCGAAACCGATGCTAATACTCGAAATCCAGACGATGCGCATTCAAAAACTACGGACAACAACAGCAGTAACATCCATGAGGAGTGTAAAAGCTTGAAAATTGCAGAAAAAGATGATGAGGATGAAGATCCCGATAGACATCTGGCAAAAATAGCTATACAGCGGGTAAATTCTGCTATCTTCACTAAAATTACGCCAATTCACCACAAATATAAAAATTTTCTTTTATTCAACTATTTCGATTGCATTCTCTGCACTGAAAATTCAGGAAGCTGTTGTTAATATTCCGGGAATAGCTAGTCTTTCGAATTCCTTTTGGAGGAATCAATTACCTTTGTTTTGATACATGACCGAAAGTTTAGAAACTCTGCTGTATGTTGAATAACGATTAGAACAGTCAGAAGTCAGAAGAGTTATTGTCCAAAAAAAAAAAAAAGGAAGCCATATAACTAAAATATGTTGAATGTTGTACTTTTAATATTGATTTGTTAGAAATTTTAGTTTTTTTTTTGAGTTCAGAAACTAACAATTATGTAGCTTCAGGAAGTGAAAAATCGGGTAAAACTTTATGTGCTTTGTGACCAGCGGGTATGGGACGACAAGGGTACAGGACATGTCGCATGTGTACCGTCCCCAGAGCATCAAGGGGCTACTTTCATTGTGGTCCGTTTAGAACACAGTGGTAAGCTTCAGTTTATTAAATTTGCAAACATTGCTTTTGAAAATATGTATTGTATTGGCAACTGCTGTTTATATACTGCAGTTTTTTATATTGATATGATCGTTTGTGGTTTGTACCCGTTTAATAGGTCACTGAGAATTACAATTTCCTCATTTTTCCCATAATAACAAGAAAAACTCAACATTTTCTAGAGAAAAATATATTGGAATCAAGAATCCTTATGGATACTATCTACCAAAAACAACAGGTAAGTACAATATAAGTCACAATTTTTTTGAGTCTTCAATTATATGGATGAAGATGAGAAAATAAGCTGATTAGATAATTGTAATATTTTTGTTTAGCTAAGCTTTAAAAACTGTTCATGGTCATCATATTTTCGTCATAACTGCGAGTGTTATGAAAATTTAATTTTTCTTAATTTTGTAAGTAATTCACATCGATTTAGATTTTTTTTTTGAATTGATAGTTGCTTAAAAGTAAAGAAGTTGGCAAAAGTTTTTGCTACTGTTTTATAGGATATTTAACTTTCGCCTTCCAGAAAGGTGATTTTAATATTTTTAATCTTTATTTGCATTAAACTACTTTTAATTACGTTTGCCTGATAATTAGTTATTGGATACTATCAACTAAAATTTCACTTTTACTTTGTCCTTTCTCATTTGACTAAAAAGCTAGATAAGCCGGACAAAGAAAAGTCGCTGAACGATTGATGTGAATAGTATGTAATTTCCTCTTATATACATAACAGAGTTTTCAAATGATTGTTTTGTCCATTTTGATTATTAGTATTGGTATTTAGTAGCTAGAGTTTACCTAAGAAATTTAAAGCAAATGCAACTATAGATATATGATTCTCGTGGCAAAAATATTAATTCTATCTAAAAAAAAAATGCAAATCTTAAAATTTGCGATTTAATACTATTAATGTGAAGCACCTAAAAGATTACTGAACTTTTAAGTTTTTCTCGAAAAATGAAATGCATATTTCTTGGTTTTTCGAAATATAAATCGCTTTTTTTCTAGTGTGAATTTATACAGATGTAGGTTTTGTATAATTTATACAGATTCTATTTACGGGTGTTCAAAAAAATATGGTGCAAGCATTTTCATGTAAATTCATTAGAAATGTTATTACTGTAAGAAATTTTTCATCAGTGTTTGGAAAACTTTAGTTATTAAAACATTTTGAGTAAATTCTTATTGCAGTATGTGGAAAAAATATCTTTTTGTCAAATACAGTTGAAGGAATGGTAATACATAATAAAGCTTCTACGTATCATAATCATCATGACAGTTTATTTGCATATCTCTTTTGCCTGCGCATGTGTTCTAATGCTTTACAAAATATTGTAAGTTCCGAGATCTACAAAACTGGACTTCTAAATTCAACACTAATAATGCTTTTAATAAACACAATCTCTCTAACTACATACTCATCGATTCACTTGTCCAAATCTGTGTAAACTCGGTAAATGTGCAACTTTTCTTCGGAGATATTTGTTCATTCAGGATTTCGGTTTTTATCCATTTTTATTTCGATGTTCGTTATTTCCTCATGAATTTTTTGGCCATTCTTGAAATATTCTTAGTAACTAATCTGATTTGCGGAAGAGATTAGCCTTTGTAATCATGAAGAAAATATCATCGAAAACATCGTTGTATGTTGTCTTGAATTATTCGCAGGTCTGATTTCTTAGCCCGAAACTGTGGAAATTCTAGAATCCTAGCCTTTTTGTTAGGTATATATAATTTCCTAAAAATTGATCGCTTTCACTGATTTTAATTTGTTCATCGTTTGTCATTATGAATGAGTGCCACTTTTAATTATTTCGGATCGTTAAGGTGAATCAGAGGTTATTGCTACACAACCTAAGCTGATTGTGGTAGTTTAAGTTAATGTTACTTTGTTACTTTTCATGCATTATCATCACATGAAGAGGACATTCCATTGATATGAATTTGTATCTCTTCAATTTTCACTGGGTAAATCAGTTCAATGAATTTACTTTAACTTCTGTAGCATAAAATTGTATATATATATATATATATATATATATATATATATGTATGTGCATCTGTGCTCCCTGGAACTGGTTCTCATTCAGCAGTCAGCAATCCATCTTTTCTACCCCGGCCGACCAACCAACCAGACCCGAAGAAGGCGAATTCTTCCTTTCCAGCCCTAGCGTTCGTCCTTCAAATTGATTTAAATGTTGTACTTTCGCACTCACCGATTGGTTTCCTTAGCTTATCCAAAGTTTAATTTCTGTTTTTGTTTTCATTTTTTTGGTGGTTGTTTTTAGTTCTGAGGCCTTTCCAAGTTTTAATTTTTTTAACAGTGGTTCTGAATGTGGCAGGAACTGAAACCCTGAATAGCGTAAGCAGTGAATGACTATACATAAAAAACCTCATTATAACAAGTTATGGGTGTAGGACTCTGTATTGTTAAATCTGTACTCATGTTAATAGTTCAAAAAAAGGAACCGAAAAGTCTCTTCAAGTGAAAAATTGAAGGAAGTTTTATCTTAGCGATATCATATACTGTAGACTCAGAAGGAAAGAAAAATGTTAATACAAAGAATATTGGCACAGTATTTTCTAAATACTCAGCGGCAGCTTGTTCAACGGAAAAGACCTGTCTATTTTTTTTTCTTGAAAAGACTCAAATAAATTCAAGTTATTTGATTGAAGGTTGGTTGTGGATTTATGCGCTGAATGCATATACTGCATTGAAGTAGTTATTGATGCGTCTCTGAACAACATTAAGAAAAAAATTAGCTACAGCGCTTTACATTAACTTTCTATCTTTTCTAGATTTATCGTTTCTTCATCTTTAGTACTATTATTTTTTATTAATCAATAATTTTTTTTAGTAGTACATTATGGTTTATATTTGAAATCTTTAGTGTACATATTTTTACACATTACTTACATCTTTGGAACATTCATCATCTGACATAAATTGGCACAGGAGAGTTCCAGGTTGTTTTTAACTGGCTAGAAGCCGAAATTAAGTTTCTTAAGAATATTCATTTGTATTCCATATACTTTTCTTTGTCAGTAACAGGCATAAACTTAAGGTTTCTCATTAAAATTGTTGTTTTTAGGTGTTCACATCCATTGAATATATACATCGTAATGTCATGTTTATTCTACGCCTTCTTTGTTGCAAACTGTACTATCAATATAGAATGTTTTAGGAAAATTGTGTGCAAGCAAAGATTAGTGTGCACCTTTTCCAGCATCCGTTGTCTATTATCAACTTTGAAACAACCCGTTTTTGTAGTTTGTCGCTGCACTCTCCTTCAGGCACACTTTACTTGCTGCTGTTATGCAGTGCGTGTTAAATGGCCACACAGGAGCTCATCTGTCAAAATACTTCCCCCGACGACACTTTTCCTAACGTACATTTATTTTCAAGAATGAAGATTTAGTTCTTTATCAATATTGTCGTGATTCTAAAAGGTAGATTGGAATTGCAAGTCTAGGAACTAGGAAGTATTGAGCTTTCGTTAGATTGCAAATGGAAATATGGATAGATAAAGTGACATTTTCATTTCTAAAATGAAATAATCACCAGCTGCATGATGAACAATTCGATATTAAAGAGAGATAATTGAACAACCGTCTATTATATGATGCATTATTGAAATGCTTCATATTCCTACAACCATCGTATCAAATTACAATCTATATGTTCATTTTTATTTGGTTTGAGTTTATTATACAGTCGTGTTTCAAAATTCTAAGAAATAAAACACCATCGAGATAAATATGTTGACATGATTGGTAAAGAAATTAAAGAACATGATTGTTGTTTTAAAATTTAAAATTCCTTAATCTTTCCATCTTTTTGTTAAGTCTTTTGAGAATATGAAGCATTTTTGAGGTGATAAGCTATAATTTTTGAGTACACTTATTTTATATAATTTTATTTCATATTACTCATTTTCTGTAAATGGTGGAAATCAACAAAATTGTTTAATTAAAAATGATCAAAAATCAAACAAGGGTTGAATAAGCATTATCAGTCCTTGTTTCTACTATGTTGAATGACACATCCCTTTCCAGGAAACATTAATAGTTTGGTCAGAATCGGATACGTGTGACTTGGCGCTCTCGTTCCAAGACAAGACAGGATGTGAGGATATTTGGGAGAAAATTTGTCAAGTGCAAGGTCGCGACCCCGAGCAACATCCTGTAAATTATTTGCACCCACTTAAATATCCGAAAAATTTCTATTTTATGACATAATAAAGTCGTTTCTGTCTAAACGAATCTAGCAGGAACTTGACAGTTCGACTTTAACGTCTTCGTATTTTCAGGATTTCACAGGAAACTATGAAGATTTGGATGATTCGGAAGGTTTGGATTCCGCTGGACAAGGATACAGTGCTCAGCGGGTAAGGTTTCAGACTATAAACTTAATGCCTAGTAAAGATAAAATTTAACGAAAAAAAGGACGGACGAAATTAAAAGACAATATTTCATAAGACAACATTGTTACTCCTCCGCAAAAATGGTACGGGAAAGGGTAGAGAAAAGAAAGAATTTTCCATTGAAGTGGCGTGATAAAATACAAATTTCGAAGTGTCGTTAAATGTTCGGATTCTTATAAATACTTAAAACACAGCTCAAGTAACTAAACCCATATGAATACTTAGGACAAAACTCAGGTAATTTAGATATTTTCTTGATTGTTTTTCCATTGTTTGCAAATGGAACCTTGGATTTTAATGCTATTCTTTAAACAGTCATTGTTACTTGCGATTATGATTAGTGAAAAGACATGCAAAAAATTCGCGAGTATTTCAACTCAAGCCATTATGCATTATAAAATACAACCATACTTTTATTTTATTCAGTCAGCCGCAGGGGCTACAATTACTCTTCCACCATGTGAGGTAAATTCATTAGCGGATATCGAAGTTATGATTTCGAATAGTTTTGGGTCGGCAGCTCTTCGAGAAAAACTAGCGATAGCAATTGAAAATCAAGGGTACGCTTATGAATTCATGTATCATTTTTTTTTTTTTTTTTTAAATTGTCTTCAAGTTCCGTGTAACGGATAAAGTATTGTATCTTTCTTTAGTACATCATTACTGGAAAATTTCTTCACTAACGCAACCAGAGTTGGAAATTTTGCGAGTTGTCAGAGGAAATGTTTATGAAATGAATAAGAAAGAAAATGCTATGTAATAGTTAGTGAAAAAAGCGTCAATTCTAGGTATGTTGCAAAGCTCTGCGATCTTTTCCATATGTGTGAAGATCTGGAACATATTGATGCGCTGCATACACTACATCAAATTGCGCGCAGTTTATTCATGTTGAATCGCAATACCCTTCTTGAAGTTCTACTTAGTGAAAAATATTTTAAGTAAGTCTTTCGTTTTTTGATTGATAGTAAACTCATTTCATAACTAAAGATTTCGGAATTGATCCAACATCGGCTTTTGCTTTTTTGGTCGATGCCTTGTCCCTATTACACCATTTTTTCTTTGTTCAGATGAGGACAAATTATGATTTTACTAATACTGACTGATCTAGATTCTATCTCGGATAAAAACAGGCTGTACAGAACTTTTAGCGATAAACTTCTAGAGATATTGTTGGGATGTTAGAATATGACCCAGCTGAACCCAGACCGCGAAAGCACCGCGAATTCTTATTCCAAAAAGCAAGGTTTCGAGAAGTGCTACCGATTCAGAATGATGAATTACGCCAAAAGATACATCAAACTTATAGAGTTCAATATGTTCAGGTATTGGATTCCTTTCTACTATCATTTTCTGCGCACTGATATCTTTGGGAAAATAACTTATGAAGAAGCTCTATATATCGTTGTTATTTTCTTTTTCAGGATATTTGTTTGCCAGCACCTTCTTTATTTGAGGAAAATTTGTTATCAATTCTAAACAGCTATTTGTTTTTCAGTCGAGTGGATATTGTTAGTTTATTGCAGGTAGCAGATTTTTGCTTTAAGATTACAAGCTTTTACGGAAACTAGTGGTCCCAATTTAAACATATGAAGTCTTTTTGGAGGAATGAATTTTCTATAAAAGATGGAAAGTGATTTCAAAGTTGGAACTGTGTAAAATCTGGAACTTCAAATCAAAATCTTTAAAATTCAAGTGTCATTCATATCTCTTCCTAATGATGTTGTTTAATGTTCTTTATTGTGTGAAATTCCTGTGTTTTAGGATGACAAACAACTTTTGAAAGATTTATTCGACCAATTAAAGGATCCAACAACAACAACTGAAAGGCGGAAGGACTTAACTATGTTTTTGAAAGAATTTTGTTCTTTCTCAACATCATTGCAACCAAATGGACCGCAAGGCCGTGAAAATTTTTATAAAGTAATACGTAATAGAAATAATACACTTGTAGCGAATAGACATGATGTAATAGATGTAATAGAATTTATCTTTAAAAAGATTAAGTAATCGTCCTAATCGATTGAGTGCTGACAGCTATAGCTAACAGTCTTATTTTTGTTATGTTTGGAATAGACATAACTTTGATATTTTGTCAGCTATAGTTCTGTGAGGAACAAACTTGTGAAATAAAATGCTTGATTGATTCAGATGCGGTAAGAAAAGCCATGAAATATAAGGAAACGCAATACTGAATTTTTGAAAATATTCACTGCCAAAATTTTGTTTACTCAAAATCCTCTTTAGGGAGGGTGTTGTATATTTCATAGCTTAAGTATATATAAATTATATTATAAAATAAAGTTCTTTATTCAGACCTTAATGCAAAATGACGTACTGGCAGCAATAGAACCATGCATCACAAGCAAAGATGTACAGACACGAGCAACAACTGTTGAAATGTTCGTTATGATTGTAGAATTTAATCCGCAGACTGCACGGGACTATCTTCTTCAACAAGGTCGTGGCTTTGGAGAGGCTAAAAACGTTAGTTTTCTTTTGTATATTACTGCTTAACTTCATATTAGAATATAGATGCTTTCTGGGACTCTTGTCTCCAAGAGCCTGGACTAGGTTTTTTGTCTGGTCGCAGAGGAAGTCACTATTTTACAAGCAAGAAAGCTTTTGTAAAGAGTTTTAATTGGATAAACTACCTTCATTTGCTTTCGCTCCATAGATTTTTATTTAAAAGTATAGATATAAATCTTCAAGGTTATTTACAAAATTAACAGCTTTATTTATATTTGTTAATAAATTATAAAATATGTACTGCTCATTGCTTTGGTTATTAGTCAGATAAAAGTAAGTAGACAGGAGCAGCACAGAGTTGGATTATTTAAAATTAAACATTTTTAGAATCAGTTGCTGCTTAATAAATTAATTGATCACATGTTAACGGATCGTGATCCAGAACTGACGTCAGCGTATACTATGGTTAAAGTAATGCAGTCGTTGCTGGATCCAGATAATATGATTACAGCACCAAATATGAAATCGGAAAGACATGAATTTTTAACTTTTTTTTATCGACGATCTATGGAAACTTTATGTCGACCGTTGTATGCAAATACTGAGAATGATACTTTAAAAAAAGGTAAGAATAGGTGCTCACATTGTGATTCAAAAATCAGTATGAACGTTGGGCATATTTACTCATTATGATCTCGATTGTAAACGCAAATCAATTATTTTGAAGCAGCTGAATGGTTTATGAAAAATTTTAGTGGATTGAATGGTTTTTATGGTTTCAGATTTTATTCAGAATTATATTTTGTAGTTAACTTGTACTTGACTGATATGACTGAGAATTCAAATTCTAACTCTAAATTTTACTAATTAATTTGATTTGCAGATAATTACCACTGTGCAAATCAGCAAGCAATGATCATCGATATCCTCTGCTTTTGTTTCGAACATCATGCAGTCCATATGCGTAATTATTGTATTAACAACAAATTGCTGAATCGCGTGCTTGTCCTTTTGAAGAGCAAACATCATTTTCTTGCTTTGAGTATGATCACACATGATTTTGATATATACTACACTGTTTTTTTTTTCGATTCACTTCTCGTCATGCAGACATGAAATTATTTCATTTGGTACAAGATACTATGTGGAAAACTTTCTGGCTGCTTTCTTAAGGCTTAATGGAATTTAGTTTCAGCTGCATTGCGCTTATTCCGACGAGTTGTCCAGCTAAAGGATGAATTTTATTATCGGTATACGGTAAGAGATAATGTCATGCGGCCTATCGTTGAGTGCTTCAAAAAAAACGGCCACCGATACAACCTTCTAAATTCTGCAATAATTGAACTTTTTGAATTCATTAGGATGGTGAGTTGTTTTCAGTTGAAATCTGCAAAAAAAAAAAATTCTCAAAAATTTACTTATATGAAATTTGTTCATGTTATAAATTTGAGATCTTTTGTCATTTATTCATATTTCGGAGGCATATTGTATGAATGGAATAATTTCAGGAAGATATTAAACCACTGATTGCCTACGTTGTGGAAAATTTCAGTAAGGATTTTGAAGACGTGATATACGTAACGACATTTAAGTCATTGCGCTTAAAATATGAACAAGTAAGTAATAGTTTCGAGGTACTTTTTGCTTTAGTTTGCTTTCATCTTTTTGTTCAAGTGAATCGGAAAATTTTTCGAGTGGCACTGATGGAAGAATGAGTGCCAAATATTAAAATAAAAGTATATTTAAAAAGTGGCCTAGATTGCTATTTATCAAATTACTGAACCCTTACGTGAAATTTCAAATGGTTCCATCCCTACTATTATATTCAACATAGTTCGGAAATCTTCATATAGTGTTGCTAGGTATTTAAAACAAAGAAAATCTGCAAAAAAAAAATCTCAAATTTTTCTCTTAATTAAATCTTTTAAGATGAAAGACCGTGAAATTCGCAAAATAGAGGATTCATCACCTTCCGATCCTTTAATTTCCATTGAAGCTAATTTACCGGCACAGTGGAAAATGGAACGTCAAGCTGATGCTGACGAGCAATGGTTTAACGATGACGATTCAGAGGTCAACTTTTATTGTTTTTGTTTTCATCAGCTTTTATGGCATGAAAAGTGAACGGAAGGATATTTTATGGGTTTGCAGAACGCATCACCAGTAGGAGATTGGGATCCGAACAAGCTAGGCAAAGAATCAGGAACGGCTTTAATGTCTCAGTCTGCATTGCTAGATGTTTCTCCTTCTTCTTCTGCTACCTCTATTGCTATGGAGGATGAGTCATTAGAAAAAAGTATTGCAACAAGGAAAATGGGTGTGGAACCCCTTCTTCCTAATTTATTGAAGCGCAAAGGTGAGCATTTTGAAAAATCCAAAAACTATTGTGAAAGCTTTGAAAACTTTGTATATACATTTCTAGGAATATTTTAGAACTACGAATGATAACTGGGAAAAAAGGAAAGGGATTTTGCATATGCAATAGAAATCAAATTAAGTCAGTGCGTGTTTAGTAATAGTACATATCGCATATATTTTCAGTAGAAGACGAGTCAGATGCTGTTTTCTCAACTCAAATTAGTACTCCACTTAAAACTCACATTGCGCCTCGAATTATCATTAAGGTTTGTTTCTGTACTTCACACCATGATCTTACTTACTATCGCAACTTCTTATCATTTACTTCGTATTATAGGTAAAATAAAAACGTTTGATAAACTTGTGTGGGTTAATGTTGTAGGTTAAAATGTTAATAAACTACCTCTAAATATTACATTTTTAGCAGCTTATGATGTTAATCGGATGAGAAGGAGATGCTTGAAAATATCTCATCACGAAATAAAAGAATCTTAGGAAAGGGCGAAAAACCGCTATCATATAATTAAGAACGTAGGAAAAGTAATAAATTACTAGCATTGGATAATGAATGTTTCATTTTGTTTGAGATATTGATATGCTGCTCATGATGAATTTTTTTCCGAAAATCGTAGAAAAATTTGTGCGGTCACTGCATAGAAAGCATTTTCAGCGTCGGCAATATGTCGCTAATTATTCCCATTTTTGGTCACATGTTACCACGCAATACATTTGTTATCAGTTTATTTAGCAGCATTTTTATCACTACTACTTTGTTGTAACAATAAAGGGAACACTTGTTCAAAATTAGTATTTCAAAGGGCATTATTGTGATTTTTTTTTTTTTAATTTTTTTACAAATATAGTCTAAATCCGACCAAAATTTCAGGTAAACACCGATAAAAAAAGCTCTTCACTATCGTTATCTCCTCAACCAACGTGTAATTCACCGCCGGGTGATCCAGTTGTTTCGTCCACCGAAACTTCCAATTCTCCATCTAGCTCAACTTCGTCGCGTGTAGCGTCGTCTGCTAGCGTTGTAACCGTTCTTGCCAAAAAGGTTGACTTTGATGCAGGACTTAGTTATTTGTTCATTTATTTATTCTGATATGCCCAGTTATTTATTCAGAGCTCAGATGTTGAAGAATTAAAGAAATTTTTTCGAAGGTAAGGTGTGAAAACCCGGAATAAGTAAGATTGTTGTCAGATGATCTTAGTAATTGCACTTTTAGCCACTGGTAGAATACGATGAAAGTGACAGTGATGAGGAAGACGAAACGACGGAATCGGGATCAACGGGAGATTCACTTCCTTCAAGCTCGAGTTCAGTTGGTCGACCTTCCTCGAATCTTAGTAGTCAGTCATCCAGTGACGATCAAGATGATGTAAGCAGCACATCAGGCGATCATGAACCCTGTCCGATTTCTAATGACGATATCAAAAAAGATGAGGTTAATTCACAGTGATTTTAGAACTCGAACACGAGATTTTTAGATGCTGAGCAAATTTTAAAGAAAAATAGTAAAATTTGAGACTTATAAAAAACTTTTGATTATTTAGGAATTTATTACTCACTAACGCATCATAAAGTTCATCAATCTTAGCGTCATAAAACGCAGAAAATGTTCCTCTTAATTTTAATGACTTGAACAAAAGCAGAGTAGATGAATTGTTTGATGGATATTTTACGAAGTGTTTTATTCGAGGATTCCAATCCTTTCAAGAAATAGTTAAAGCTTTTTCCGTGTTTCTGGATTTTTGAATGGTTTTTCGCAACGAATATGTTCCAGAAGAAACAAAGTATAGTTCAGGGATTGTGTTTTTGTAGTTTCATGAGCAATACTGATTAGGTCATCTCTGCGATCATAGCAAAGAAAAAAAGAATTTGTCATCACAATGCAATCACATTTAGGATCAGGATCAAAGTATGTCGCGGAAAAGATCTTCCGAAGCAATGCTAATTGGAGAAGCAGTGAGAGAACGACTTGCTGAGGAAAACAGGTTCTCAGATGATGACCTCACTACGAAGAGACTAAGGTTTATTATTATTTTATGAATTGATAAGAAATAGTAGGTCGAATGCTTTTTTTTTCTTTCATTAACTTTAATATTGCTGCTTAGCCCATAAAGAATTCAATTTATGACAAGAAAGAAATTAACAGTCTGAATCAATTTGAAATGCAATATTTTAATTATTGACAAGAACATAGTTGACGTTTTGTTTATTAGTTTCTTCGCTTTCAAATGGCATTTATTCAAATATGACTCAGTTATTTTTACAGGTTACATGGTGAGGGAAATTTCGAAGCAGAAGCAGTAAGTCCCAATGAACAGTCAGCTTTTAAGTAATGATTGTGAATGAACACTATTTGCTTAGATTACTGGTCTTGCATTACCTCTCATGAGCATGCTCTCCATATTTTTTCAAAATTTCATGCCATAATTCTTCCGAGTTAGCTGAAGTACTATTCCAATTGCAACTTTCTATTATATTTACCGGTTGATTTGGTCAAGTATGCATACAATGAAGTTCTCACCTTCCCTATTTCTTGGAAAGTTACATCCATTCCTGATGGTACTTGATCTCATCTGGCATGCATTAAGGATTGTATCACAATGTTCTCCATATTATGGTTTATACATGTTTTTCATTTAAATTATGGTTGCTTTTTTTCAATAAATTTAGAATAAAATGTGTAGTAGAAGATTTTGGTGCTCTTTTTGTGGTCTTAGTTTTTACGGAATTGCTCTTAAAAGATCTGTGAAATTAACAATTCAATAGATTATTAAGCTTATGTATCGGAACTTCTTATGTATCGTTTTTTCTTTGATCCCGGTTTCTATTTTTGTCTTGTTTTCTTTTTGCAGTTACTGATTTGAGAAAAAAACTTTTTTTTTGATATCACCTGTTTCAAACACATTTCACTGCATCACTGTAATTTGAAATTGAAATTTTCTAGAACTGTTGGGATGTTTTTTCACATTTTTTTGCAGGTGTAGAGTTTTTTTCAGTTCTTTATTCTAATGAGTGTTTGCTACGCATTCAAAAATTTTGGAACGGTTCCGATAATTTTTGTTCGTTTGGTAACTTCCTTGTTTGGTTTTCTGCGCATTCGCTGTTTTTTCTTTTCATTTTTTTTTTTTTTTTTTTTTTTTTTTTTTGGGGGGGGGGGGGGGATTGGGAATTAATTTAAGATTTATTTCTGAAACTTTAATTTGAAGTTCTGAGTACGAGGACTTCAATTACAAGTATTATATTTCAACATTATTTGGATACTCTGTTTCACTATTTTTACGTGAGTTGGGTTATTGCTGTGCAATAATCTTTATTTAATTTAATGCATGCAGAAATCAGTATCTGTGTATGAGGAAAGTGACAAATGAGAAAAAGCTTTTAGTGTGGTTGTCGCTTTCGACTAATAGTCATCTTAAAACAAATGTTTATTCGCTAACTACACGAGTTCTTGTCTGGGCTAGACTGATCAAAGATTGTTCTACAAATTCAATGGCATTGCTGGGAAATGTACTTCGAGAAAGTTTATTTATTGAGATTGGTGTGGAGTCTGGTTTCATAAGTTGGAGAGGAGAGATGGATTGTGGCTGAATCATACTACTTACTGTATGGGTGTGGATGTTGACGTCTGAAGATTTTAAAATGTATTCCCAAAGATGGTTCTGTCCAGTTGAGCTTTACTGCAGAATGAATGACACAGTGTCATTGTCATGATTGTATACAAGCAGCAGAATCTTGTTTCATTTATGTTTTGTAATTTAGAGAAATGTGTCCGGTTTATTTTTATTTTTAGAGATGTGGAATTGTCAAAACTACTACATTTGAAGGAGGTAACTTTTAAGCTGTTGAGAATTATCAAGAGCACAAGACACTGTAAAAAGCGCATGATCACAAATGCAGGCAATCACTGGCAGTAATAAGACATCGGCTTATATGTACAAGAAAAGTTGCTGGTAGGGAATGTCATTGGTTGTTGCTCTCAGTTAATTGCTTGCATGCCATTTCTCGACACTTTGCATGCTTTCCCTGCCTGTTGAAACAATTTCATGTACATTTTATAAATGGTTCATATGTAAGCTGCAAATTCTGCTCATGTTAGAATAATTGCGACTTGCATATCACTTACGTGATAAAAATTATCATAGATGTTAAATAAACTTATAGCGGAGACTTAAATATATTCTTAAAATGGTTGTGAATTAAATTTGAAGTTTATTACTAAAATTATTTGGAAGTGAGGCTTACTCATGAAATTCCACAATATCGGTTTCTATAACGGTAAATTGTATGAGTAATGTCAATCTTAATTTCTTCCCAATTTTACTGACCTATATGTTATGTTTTCATTCATTTTAACTTATTTGAATTTGAAACTTATACTTATTTGTTATCCTTACAAGCAAAAAATATAACCTTAAAAAGAGTTTTGTAAGCAAAATCATCATAAGCCACGACGGTTTCAAATTTTGCATTTCTCCACCACGCATCATCCTGAATCTTTTTGGCTACATTTAATAAGTTATCATCCTCTTCCATCACATTTTGCATCACTTTTACCATATCCATATCGCAGCAAACATATCCTGAATTTCATCTTGGCCAATTAATTGATTAATCAAGTCAACCGCTAAAACTGAGTATCGTCCTATTTTACTAGTAAAAAGAAAGTTTTTGGCAATTTTTAAGATTCTTTGAGGAGGTATTGAAAAGAGTCCTGAAATAGCTCTGTTGAATCCCTCAATTTATATTTCTTTTAGCTTTCTAATTATCACAGGTGAAGTTTCAGGTCTGTGTAGAAGCTCTCATAACTCAAAAGCAATTAATTTCTTCTGAGTCTTTTTACATGTACTAGTAAATACTAAAAGAATGCTCTCTTTCCAGAAACATTCATAAAAATCAAAAATATGCCTCATTGGAGAGTGAAAATACGGAAAGAAAGGGAAAAAAACAACGTACCGCCTACGTTAATGAAGCAGTCTTCTCTGTAAGCATTGAGTGAAGCAAAAAGAAAGACAAAATTGATCAACACGTTCCTCCACCAACACATTGGTGAAATGGATGAGATCAGACACTGACTGAAATTTCTACCACTTGCAACTTCCAAGAATTCTTCTAGAAAATGATAAACGATAAACAGGAAAGTAAGGATAGAATGACCGCTCAGAAACTACCTGTTTTAAAGGATTGCTCTAAAAATTCTTCGATATGAATTTATATCTGAGTATGACAACGAAATAAAATCTGGAACTGAAGATAAAATAAAGAAAATAGGGATAAACTGAAGAAGCGAATCCTGATATTGTATGAAAATGCATATTAATTAACTAAAATATAAAATGACAATGAGAATATGTGAATTAGAGTGGCGCAAAATAAATATTATCAGATAGAGAGTTAAGAAAATATGTTTCAACTACATGCATATATTATTGTGCACAATGTTTTAGTTCAGTTATTTGGGAATTGAATTACAAGGTAGCTTGTGTACAGAAATTAAGTCTATGGATTTCCTGGTTGGGTTCAGAATTATATGTCAGTAACTTTACTTCAGTAATACTGGAAGGCCATACAATAAAAACGAAATCTGATACTATGAATGTGAAGTTAATCAGATTCAAAATGAAATAAATAATTTTGTAAAAAATGAATTGTGAATTAAGAGGTAAACAAAGAGATAAAAGAAATGTAAGTTCTTCTTATTAGCACAAACTTATATAGTCGTTCTCTGCAAGATAGCAACTATGATCATAAGCCAAAATTTTTGTTTAACTAATCTTTTTCTTTACTTTCTTTGACTCGAATAAAAATTTAATGTTTAAAGAGAAAAATTCCCTTCTTTTTCAAAAGATTTTTATTGGAAAATGAAGAAAAGAAGGAACTGTTACGCCCATTCTCCTCCTTCTCTCTTTTCCTTCAAATCTCCGAAGAAAAAAAAAAATAAATTTATATTGTTTACAAAGTTATGGAAAAACATTCACATATAAGGATTCAAATTAAAAGAATAATTTTTGAATTCTGAACAATAAATTGGCACCCTTTGCACTTATATTTTATAAGTGAAATAATGTTTGATCAGTAATAATTTGTGCAAATCAAAATTTGATTGGAAATTATAAAAGTCGTAATTATATTGATCTTATGATATGATGGATCGAATAATATTGTTGCAGTAATCCGTTTTAAGATGATATTACATTTTTTTGAAAATTTTATTTAACGAATACAAATATTGGCTGGTCGCCACAACTAAACAGGTAATGCTGCTATTTTAAATTTCTTTTCTGAAGAATTAATATGAATTTCCTACAACGTTTGAGGAAACTTGACCTGAATTTCAAACTTAGGTGTTAAATTACTGATTCATCATAATGAAAATTCTTATAGATATTTCTTGACAATTCAACTCATTCATTGTTTCCACTTGTATAAGAATGTTACTGAATTACGTAAGGAAATAATTGGATCTTCTAGGTTCCAAGTGGCGAAAACTTAGAGACGAGCAGAACGGACAAATATTAAAAAAAAGAAATGTGAAATTGATAATTTTTTAGTGCCATTATTTTCTTGCAGCATTTATAGCGCCAAAAGTTTATATACATTGAATAAGTAAATAGCTATACAACTGTTGCACTTATTGTTGAAATATCGGCGGAACTTTTCATTGCTCTGAAATTAGCTGAAATTTCTTCATTCTTTTGCAAATGCAATATTTGTTTTTGTTGAGGTCAGCAGATGCAAACTTTTGTTGCGAAACTTTCTTCTGTTATTGTTTAATTAATCAGTGGCAAAATAACGAAGTTTAAAAATTTCTAACATGTGCAAAAGCATAACTTCTCCCAGGAATTATTTGTCAAAGCATTAGCTTTCTAATTATATTATGGCACTTTTGATGCTTTCTAAAATTCCTGTAGGTCTTTTCAGTGTAAATATCAGTAACTTTGTAGTCGGAAAATTAATAAATTAAGAATTTATGAATAAATCAGATATCAACTACAAAACGAAGTGATAAGAAATAATTCCTCTTCTTCCATTACAACACTATATAGCATTATTACTAATTGTCATCTAATTAAGTAAGGCGCAAAAGAAAAAACAAGGATTAGACAGAGCTTTTTTACTGCTGTAGTGATACTTTTCTCATTTTTTTATTACTCCCACAAATAATAAACTAAGAAAAATAAAAAATAGTTGTCAAAAAAAAGTAATTTTGAGAATTTGTTCACCAAAAAACGGATACAAAAATTTTTAATTTAATGAAAAATGTAAAAAGATTGTAGATTTTGCAGGATTAAAGGATTTTTGTTACATTTCTTCAAGAAAAAAAAAAAAAGAAAGAAAATAAAAGAAGACAAATATGTCAGAATTGGAGGCTACAATTGCTAAAATTTAATGAGAATCTTCTGGAGGATTGTTTTATCAATATTACTGCTGAAAACTTAGAAGTCGGAAAATTGTTGCACTAATTTGATCAATCAAAAGCTGATCGAATGATAAGTTGGATCACCAATGTAACAGCAAATCATACGGCTTTAAAACATAGGAATATATGCACTTCTGCAAACAGAAAAATGATAAAATGATAAGAAAGATTAAGTAGAAGTTTTTACACAATAAGTTTTTTTTTTTTTTTTTTACACATAATTCTGTTTGTGAAAAAGAGAGAAGGAAAAGGAGAGAGAGAGAGAGAGAGAGAGAAAGGGGGAAAGAGAACATTTTACATAATAGCATAATTAAGAAAATCAGTTTTATCTCAAATCAAGAAAGAGGACGAAGAGAGAAATGAAAGAAATGCAGGCGATGCAATTTTGTCAAGAAATGAAGAATCCGCTTTGCTTGATACTTATGAACGACTGAGATATTTGGAATTAATTGATCATAACTTTCATCTAAGGTATTTTTTCCTTGCAAATTCAGTACTTCTTCAAATTACATTAATCATATTTAAATTAGTATTTTACTTCTTATTTGCAAGTAGTACTTTATTTTTCTGTTCTTTAAAAAAAAAAGAGTTTCGTTTGTTTATCATTTTGTCGTTTTAAAATTTGTTTTGCTTTTATGCATCAATCAGTCCTTTTTTTACATGAATTATTTTTTTTAAATAATTTCATTTTTGTCTAAAATTTTGTTTAGTTGCACTTATTCACTGCCATAATTAAAATTCCTTTCCTACAGTTATGATAATTCATTTTCTGAAATGTTTTAAATTAATATAGGAAATTTCTAGATTGTCAAAATAAGGACTTTAAAATATTGATCTAACTAATCCTTTTTTCAGAAAAATGGATTGTCATAACCATATCAACTATTATTTAATGATATCATTAAGTTATCGCTTTGTCGATTTGATCTGTTATATTTGAAACATCTAACTGACACTTATGGAATCAATTATGTGTCATTAATTAATAATAGATCTGTATGAGCGTAGTAAGTGATTCTTCCATTGGGTATCATTAAGCAGTATTAACCAGATCATCGCAATTTGATTATTCAAAAGAATTGAACTGATAAGTTCAACTTTGTGAATCCCAGAATCACAGTTTCATCAATTTCTCCTGTACTATTTCATTTTAGTAAAATTGAAGTTCGGGTATGCATATGAAGTTATCTGATAATGATTATTTATGTATATATGTATCTATAGTTTCAGATTTCTTATTGTATTTCAACGGCATATTTCTCTGTGTTCTGTACCACTATGATAACACGGACGGCGATACAGTAATGCCATAAGCAATAGCGTACAGTAATACCGTACTTTTAACAGGAAACTGTTATTCATGCAATTAACTGAACTGTTACTTCACATTTCAAATTTAAAACATAAATGAAACAATGAGAATAATAATTCCTAATAATTAAAAAAGTACGATTTTTATCCCTTCAATCAGTTAATGCTATATATGTTATATACCCAAGAATTCATAACAAAAATATCAATTCGGAAAATCTTTTCTAAATTATATAAATGTGAAGTTTATAAATACATTTTAATAAATAGATTTATCTTGCATTGCTCAATCAGTTGAATTTTATTAAGAAAGGAGCACGCAAAATTTTTGGAATCAAAATTTTTTGTGGGCGGGAGGAATCATTAACAGACGAAGCTTGAAATAGAGCTTTCTAGTCATGTTGAAGAAAAATCATTGGAATTTTTTGAGAAAACAAACGGTATCGGCCAACAAAAGTCACACCAGTGAAAGTTTTTCCTTTTATCATGAATGGATTCTGACATTTTCTTCCTCACCTTTGTTATTAGCAAACTGCTAACTTTCATCCGATAATTTAAAATGAATCATTTATTCGAATTCAAAAAATTTTAAATGGACTGTTTGCTCAATTTAATAATATTCATATTAAAAAAAACGGAAAAAGTAAATTTTTTAAAAAATGGAACTTTTTTAAAGATTTTATGAGATTGAAGTCGTATTCCATTTTAATTACGATAAAAATAGTAGTAATAGTAATGATATAGAGGAGAATTACTTAACTTCGCTTGTACGCATCCATTTTAATATTTTTTGCATTTGAATTTTATGAGGACTTAATTTGATTATCTAATTTTGAACACCAACTACAATTAAAGTCAACAGTTAAAATCGATATAAAAAAATTGTTTCTGCATAAGAGAGTCTCAGCCAAAGAGCCACTCTATAAAGTACAAACATAGTAATCAAAAATTTCTAGTCAAGTACTGCAAAACATATCAAATTGGTCAAGTTAATATGCTTAACACACAGAAAATAATATGCAAATTTTTGTAAGTATTTCTTCTTATCTCTTATCTTGTTTTCTCGTAGCTATTAAACGTTTTATGCATGTAAATGTTGTTAATAGTTGTATCTCATATCAATATTTCTGTGAATCCTTTTTTTTTTTTTTTTTTTTTTGAAAAATTCTTAAATCGACATTGTTAATGAAAACTTCATCAAAGAGAAACATCTGAACACAGATGAACTAAGTGAAAATTGCAAATGAACGCTTAGAGCAGTCTATGAATTAAAATAACCACAAATATACATCACAATGTTTAGGCTACTTATCTCCAAAAACGGCATATAGCATTGAATAAATCGCAAGACTAATTTTTTCCCCTGCTACTTCACCCAGATAGCGCCACGAAATGAAATTTGTCAAATTTGAAGACGTAACAACTCTAAAACTTCGATATAATATATAATATAAAACCAGAGCAAATAAGACTATCCAATTTGTAAATTTAGTTTTTCTTCTTCAAAGTAACGAAAAAATCAAGTTTGCACATATTCTATAAAATCGTCTGGTCAGGTTGTTTGATGGAAAATTTAGAATCCATTTAGCTATATGCACAAATCTACAATAAATTTGTTCAAAGATTATAAATTGTGAGTGTTTAAAACGATAAACAACTCATTCCTTCTGTAGAACAATTTATGCAAATCACAACAAATGAAACAATTAAATTAGCAAAGAACCCTCATGCTAATAATGCTACATTGAGACAGAAAAGAAAATACAAACACCTGAAACTATTTTATTTATAAGATATTGCAAAATAATAAACAATAACGAGTGACAGACAATAAAGAATATGATAAAATGAACAAAAAACAAACAATTCTGAAACCAAGATGAAAACGCAAATTGTTTACAAATGGAGAAGCACTAATCGAACCTAATAGATTGCGAAGAAAATGTAAGGGTATTCACACTTTCAACAAAAATTGTTAAATGAAGGTTTTCGAGCACTGGAAAAAGAAGTGAAATCATAGATGATTTGAAAATTTACCACACTGCACAAAAATGACATTAGAGCAAAAGCTCTGGAAAAAATCTGAATTCCTGCATTTGATTTAAGAATCAAAATAAAATATGAAGAGGCAGTGACTTTTAAATTTAATTCTCTCGGTGGTAGTCACAAATCAAGAATTTCTCCGTTATCAAAAACAAAAAAAAAAAGGAATCACAAAACATCGAACTGTGACGAGAACATTGTGATATTTGACCAAAGAAAAATTAATCATTAAGTATAATATCAGTATCCACAATATCCAGCGCTGTTTCCGCATCATCCAATAACTTTTCTACCGTATCACAAATGCGATAATAATCAGCTAAAGATTTCTCCTTAATTTTGAACAATCTTGTCGCAACATGTTCGGCTGAAAGGTTTCTAAGATACAATATACTTAACAAGTGCTATAGGTTCCTAAAACTGTAAGGACAACAGAACAAATTAAGGCTGTGTTAAACCACACTGCCATTTCTTATAAAATGACTTAAACACTGAGTTCATAAAAATATGCCTGAATCTATAAATTTCACGAAATTTCATACAGCAGATATACCTTTCAGAAAAAAAAAAAAAAATTCTGATATTTAAAGTAAAACTACCAACTTACATAATTAAGCAAGAAACATTTATTGCAAAGTTTGGCTGAAAGTGAAACGAAAGCACGAAATATAAGATGGCAGTTACCAAAAGTAAGCGACGAGTCAGAATCAACCATTGCTTGTTTCGTTGACAAATGTTCGACAGCTTGCGGTTTTTGTACTCCATTCATTTTCCTGAACGAGGTATTCGCAGATCTTGTTGCAGGAATTCCACAGCGGTATTTAGACGGTAGTACGACACCACTTGGTTCGGGGGAATAGATATCTCTTCGATGTCTTCCACGGCGACGAGTCGGCAACATATGTTCTTTTATCTCCGCAGATTCATTAGGTTCCGTATACTCCGAATCACTTTCAACTGTTTCCCTTAGGGTGGCTTCAAGTTTTGCACGAGCAGCAGCTCTTGTACGATTATACGAAATTTTATTCCCATTACGAGTTCCAACAAAAGTACCATTAGCCACAGGTGATGCTGTTAGTTGCACCACATTTGCATCCCTCAAAGCTTCACGTTTTGCTTTCAAACGTGCTCTAAAATATTTCTCGCAAGTCATGAAAGATAAGAATTCTACGTGTATCTTAACCATATTTCGTTATAACAGATAGTTTCCGTGGCGTCTATCAAAAAAAAAAAAATTGATGAAGACATGTTTTTCTGAAAAAACAAACTTCTCAGATTCTTTTGTTCTTGGTGTAATACAAATCACACGCTGAGCTTCTTGTTTCGTAATCGTGGTATTATTGACAAAGGCTGCTTCATAATTGTTACGCATTTGAATCTAAGAGATTATAATGAAAAATAATACAATTAAGATATACTTTAAAAAAAAAAATAATACAAGAATAATGAATACTAACCAAAACTTCATCATCCTGAGCAACAAGAGACTCACCAGTACGTGGAATCTAAAAATTCAATTTTCCATTAATTATAACAAAACCCATTATTCATGCAACATATGTAAACAATAAGATCACAATCAATCTTGCATATTAAAGCCTGGGATTCCTAGTCCCTTCATGTTATCCGTTAGAATTACTTTCAGAAGTATTGGCTATAACTCGCAATTACCATCACCTAAAGTATTTATTATCAATGAAAGAAACTTTTGATGGCTGCATCCAATTATATCTCCTCTTCACAGGTGGTTTATCCTGCCTTGTGAAATGCATCAAGTTAAAGAATTGCCACTTTGAATCCGGTGGATCGAAACCAGCAGCAATTGCTCTGTCATGTCTACGGCGTATCTGGTTATAGTAATCCATCATGTTCTTCCATGCTACCTTGATCATATCACCTACAAAGGACATTAGCAATAGAGTGCGAAAAAGAGTACTACATGAGTCAGAGATCGCTGATTTAATTTGGAAATGATTACTTCTAATATTTCATTTTGCCGCTGTTTCCTTTCAGTAAGATTTGTTGCAAGAACTACAGTTCCATTTTAAAGATTGAGATTCTTATTCATAAGCACGTTTCCAGTCACATCTTGAGCGTCTAGTTATCAAGATCCCAAATGTCCTTGAAAAACGGCTTAATTTTGAAGAATTCGTTGGAAGTGGCCATATTACTCAGAGCCTTTCCCCAACCAATTTCATACGACTCTGTCCCTGCATGTGTAAGAAGAGCCCAAAACGCGGGTGGCACGTCATGTCATATAATATTAGTTCACCGTAACACCGCAATTTTATATTACTACTGACTCAGAGATAAATTTACTTGCAATTATAATTTTCTTGTAGTATGAGTGGAAAATGCATAAAAGGCACTGCACAAAAATGCAATATTTAAAACAATTTATGCAACTAACTGGTAAAAACTAAATCATCATCACTCAGTTCATGGGCTATTTCTTCAAAAGCAAGCCAACGAGCAGGAATATCGTTATATCGAGGGTCAGTGACCTGGAAAAAAGATGCAGTTACAGTCTATATTCTTTGAAGCTATCAAGATATTGAAAACGAAAACATCATGAATTTCCAAAGTTATTAGCAAATGATATAACTTTTTTGTTTAAACTTACTTTCCAGATAAGCGGTCTTCTATATACTTCCTGAACAAGCAATGTTTTCTTTTCGTTATCCATGCCAAACATTGCCATCTTTAGATTTTAGTTTATTACTTTATATTAAACTATGCAAAAACAAAAGCCTGAAATGAAATGAACTGGCTACAAATGCGCAGACGGGGAGATCTATAACAGCTATAGGATCCTCAACATGTCATTAACATAGCCGTAGAATGACGAAATCTCAAGCATTCTAATGCACAGAAGGAGTGATAGCAGTAGACCAAAATACAATTGGTACTTTCTTTGATTGACGGCTATCGACTTTCCGAAGAATGCTACCGCCGCTGTCCAATCAACGATTAAGTTATCTCTAAATTCATCGATGAACGAACTCTGATTGCGCCTCTCACTCTCCTTTCACGAGACTCAGTTTGTACGAAGACTCAAGAATCCCACTAATCCCACTATACCACCACAACCTTAGCCAACTCTGCCACCTACTTCAAATCCCCATCTGGTACCATAAGCTAACGGGCGAGAGCTATAGCCCTCATCTCTCGCTCCCACGTGCCAAACCGCTCGCATACCTTAAAGCGCCAGAGTAAAATACGGCCCATGGTAGACCGCGACGCAATAAGACGATGGAGTGGAAGCAACAGTACAGGTAATGAGCCATGCTTAATTACTTAGGTTTTCATATACGATATGCATAGTGTAGTCGTTTGACTAGAGAACCCACTCGATTTAAAGATACGCACTTCTCAATATCAACAGCAAATGGCTTATGACCTGACATAGAACAGTATATCTACTAGAACAATTGTCTAGTGCGCTTATATGACTAGATATTCCATATGTCCATTATAATCCTTCAGCCAGTATCGACCATAACTTCTGGGTTGCAATCCTACTAATATCATTTGTAACTAAATCAATCCAAATCATTTGCTGCCTCATGTGGTTGAAAGAAGGTAAAGACATTTATATCAACATGCGCTCACAAAATTAATGCCAATTGCAACAAAAAACCACATTTCATATGTTCGAAGGATAAAGCATTATTCTGATACGTTTTCCCATCGCTTGTGGTGGGAGATTACGATGAAACTTAGCTCGCAGTGTGCCGCCATTACCATGCACGCGTATCAATTTTCCCCATATAGCACGGACTCGGCTCGGTTCTTTATTCGCCGACTGAAACACAAAATTTACTAGTTGGGCTTGTATCATTGATGCAAATATGGCAAAACAGAACTATAAGACAAACAGATAAAGATGTATAACCATCACAAACAGAAAGGATGGATCATTATATAATAAAAAATGAAAAATAAAAAAAACATTATGGAAAAAAGGGAAAGAACAAGTGGTAAGAAAATGACACTAAAAATGCGTGACATAGATGACCGTCTGTAAAAAATATCTTCCTTCCCTTCCCTTTTATGAGGAAAAAGTAATAAACAAGTGCATAGAACTGGCGTACTACTGATATCGAGATATGCAGATCTAATCGACAAATGCAATGAATACACTTACCCTGATCTTGTTACGCGCCTTGTAAACGTATAGTGCACGTTTACCAACATACCACTGGGCATCATTCTTGTTATAGACACCATCCAACTTTAGCAGGGCTGTATGCTCGTGCTGATTTCGCTGTGAACGTTTGTAACCTGCGAATACAGCTTTAACATAAAGACGACCAGCGGGATTTGGACCATGCTGCCTAGCTTCGCCAACAGTTTTTGCCATAACTGAAAGACATTTCATTCAACCAGTGTATTGCTTTTTTAGGTAAGCATTAAATTAATAAGAACTTCATACTGTATTAGTTGCATTCAATACGCCCTACACAAGTGGAAACCATTTACAACTCAATCAAAAATACCAACCTTAAAATTTCTAGCATATAAAAATGAAGAAAAATTATTAATGTATAAATAAGATTAGCGACTTTAAAAAGAATTCAATGTTGCTACTCTTTCCAACCATTTATGTCAGTGAAATTCAAAGAAACAATTTTTAAATACACAATGGCAGAGAATTGCTCAAAAAACATAACAATACAATTACCAAAAACACACAAAAATACTTCTTAGACAAAAACAGTAAATAAATTAGTGAAGGAAGCAATTAGTCCCAATATCTGAAAAAAATTAAAAATGAGGAAAGGAACTTAATTTTTAGGGAAGAAACTCAAAAGTATATCAAAAAAACATTCATCTTTGCAATCCATGACATAGCATGGTATCACAGAAACAGTTATAAATTTCAGTGTAGAGGAAACACATCGCCGGAAGAATATCAAAGAAATACAAACAGTAAAATAAAACAGTACGGTACCATCAATTGAACCCTTCAAACTGTAGTAACCTTTAAAAAAGAAGTCAGCAATGCGGAACATTTTAATAAATGGTGGTTAGTGCCTAAAAGAATTATTCTCCATAAAGCAGAAATTTTAAACATAGCTATAAAACTTAAAAAACTAATGAAGCGGTATGAAAAAATAAAATTCTTGACACCAAATAAAATCGAAATATCATATATCCTTACTGACAAAAAATGGAAAAACAAAAGTTCTCAATAGTTTAATATGAGATGAAAGACAGCTAACAATAAAATAACCACTGAGAAGTTGCAACCCTAAACAGTTTTCTAGTTTGATGTAAAACTCAGATCAGAGTTTCTTTCTAATCAGTCCAGATTTACACACAAATTAGTCGGTGATGCTTATATATATATATATATATATATAATTCTTCGACTAATGAAAAGTGTAAGAAAAAAGAGATAACAATATCATCCAAAGCCAGCTAATGTTTCAAAGAGCTAAGTTAAAGCTTCAATGATCTCATCTTATCCGCACAACTACTGAAAACGAGCTTGTATTAACCAATCTACACAATGATGCATTAGTAGTTATTTGCTTTAATTAATATAGGCATAAATGTATTATCATTTCACACTTAGGAGTTTAATAAAATCTTAATTTAATATCAGTAAGATTATTTATTGCCGCCAAAACCATCCCTTTACCAAACCCCCAATCCCTTGTTGACTCGCATCCTGTTTATCCTGCTTTGATTTGGCTCCTTTTTTTATCTTTTCATTGCTTTGCGATGTGCCCTTCTTCTCGAATCCATAAGACGCGATCTTCAATTCTAAATCCGGCATCTGGAAAAATATGTTTTTCTTGGAAGACAGTGAAGACCATGAACAATTATCAAGTTTAACAAAAATTGGGGAAATTCAAGATCAGTCATTTTTTAATATCACTAAAAATGGTACAAATAACAACGAAACACTAACCTTTATATGATTCAGGGCTAAGTCAAAGAACATGGGTTTGTTCGGCATTGGAATGAATGAAGGAGGCACTGATATTATGCGAATATTTTGCTCTGTTTTATGCAAGTCTTTGAGTGTGATTTTACGAAATTCGTCCAAAGTATCAATGATAGGCTAAAATACGTAATGAAAATTATTTAAAAATCTTTTATTCCTAAAAACACTCGCCGATGTACGAAGTATAGGAAAGCTCACCAAAAGTTATGAATAAAACCACATAGATCGTACTTCAATATTAAAAGAACCATTTAAGAGAAAGCCTAAAGAATAGCAACAAAAATGAAGTCAAAATCGGAAGTATCAGTTTTAAATTCAACAAAAAACTCACTTTATTATCGGAATTTTCTTGTTTTTCATCCCATTTATTGCCACCTGCAGCTTCAGCAAGACGATTTGCTTGAGTAGAAAATTTTGATGCTGTTATTTGTTCATGCAAATTCTTCACATCAATCTTAAATTGATCAATTATAATTAAAAGTATCCATAGGAATTAGAATGAACTGTTTTCAATAAAAGTTACTGAACTAAGCTTTAGAGCAAGATAATAATGACTTCTTTTTCTACGATGAAAGGATTTCCTTCCGCGTTTTTTAGCAACAGTGAAGTGTTCGAAGCTCGATCTACAGCCCGATCGTATAAAACATTAGCTTCATTCCACTTTGCTAAAGCTGCATGTGCCTCAGCCAAACAGAAGCATCTAAACGAAAAAAAAAAAAAAAAATGCTAATATTGCACGGAAATGACCAACACAAGCCATTCATATTATAAAAAACTCTTATATTCGCAAAAGTACCTCGTTTTAAGAGAAAACGAATAATACATGTTTTATCTGGAAACGAGTACGTTGAAAGGAACACAAAACTACCACCACCCTGAATAAAGTTAAGAAATGAATAAAGCTATATAAGTTTCAGTAACATGAAGACATCTCGAGAGTGAAAGTTTAGAGAATACAATGTAAAAGTAATAAATCAGTGGGTGAAGAATAAAGTGATATGAACACTGACATGATGATCAGGATCAAACAAATGAAGCTAGACATCCTGAAAATTTATAAAAAAAAAATGAATTCAACTATGGAAACAAAAAACCTGAGTGCTCGATAATATTCTGCTTTCGCTTTGTATGCTAGTTCCAAATCTTTATTTTTTGCAACACCTGGCAGTTGCAAAATTAAACAACTGTTTTCAATCACTGTATCGCATAAACGAATCAGATCCTGTGGTTTGATTTTCTTTTCGGTCTGTGTCCTAAAAAGAAGAACCGATAATAACATATTACAAGTAAACATTTGTAAAAATGCACTGCAAAATCTGATGTTATTCAGACATCTTTAAAGCATGACTTTACAATATGGAAGATGAATGAAATACTCTTTCATTTAGTCAAAAGATCTTAGTAAGATTATTAGATTTCAAACAGTTTACTTTGTATGTGTAATGATCATGACGTAACGTTCAATAGTTCTTTTGAGACGCATAAATTCCAGATAAATAATAGTTAGCCGATTCGGAAACTGTTCGTCACCAATGTGAGTTTCATTATCAACTAATTTCTTCTGTTCCTCATTCAATACTTGTATTACATCGCGGATATTGCTTAACAACTGATCATAAAGAGTCATCTAAAAAGTCATTTCATGTATACAGCTTAATATTTATGAATGTATATTTTCCGAAAATAATTCATTTTAAAAATACATTAATTATAAAAGCATATAGTGAATAAGCAAGAAAACACATCAAACTACAAAACAAATCTTTGATTGATAAGGAATGTGACTCAGTGACTTTAAATCAGTTAAAATTACTGGATCACTTTGATTTCAATTTTATCGACAAATTTACTACGTTTGGTGACAGTATCAATTAAAAAAGTCTTATAGGTTTTAATAGTTATTTATAAAGAATTTGATCATCACTGGTATCATGGGTTGGACTCCCACAACACCAAAATCTATTTAATGATTCCCCACAAGTGGAATTAGATGATTCCCCACAAGTGGAATTAGATGCATAATACAGCTAATTTCATATTGTTGCTGAAACTATTAACACTTACGAGACGTAACTCTAATACCCTCAATGAGAAAAAAAAAGACACCACAAACTAGTTTTTTTCTTTTTTCAAAAATCTTTTTCAAACTATATATATGGAGTGAATAACTAGTAATATTAGTAATATTAAACTGTGGAACAAAAAATAACCTTATCTTCATGAATTGTTGTTTGTACAAGCTCGTGGTCAAACTGCTCAAGAGCTTGTAAAAGGTTTCTGACATTATCATTCGTTACAGGAACTTTTTCATTACCCCACTCAATATCCTTTATACAATGCACGACGGCTTTTGTACGTAACTCCGCTATTAGTTTCTGAAAATGTGTAACTAAATGAACAGGCAAAAACAATAAAAATTAGATTATGAAATGTTTAGTTATTCAACAAAGAATCAATTTTGTTGCTCTTGAATACGGAAGAATTCTAGTAAATTTTAACTAACATCAAAGTCTTCTTGTAAAACACCTTCCTCCTCACTCAGTTGTAGTCTCATATTGATCATCTCAGACATTGCAGCATCACAACTAGCATCGTCACCACAATTGAACTCACAATAGCGCATTTGCGGCTGTATTTCTCGACACCTAAAAAACAGTTACGAGAAAAATGAAAATAATTATAATGAACTTATAACAGATTAATTCTGACACACATCCAAAAAAGCTCACCTTACTTTGTAGAGTTCCACTAAATTAGGTAGCTTCACAACTGTAGCAAGTTTTTCATATATTTTTCTGAAATAATTGATAGTTCAACAACCACATCAAGCCGAAATTAATCTTGAAAACCAATCCAACATTAATAATCAACTGCAAGAGTTCAGTTAATAAAGGATAAAACCTGCTAATTAGATGGAAAATAATTATAAAATTGAGAAAATTTTCCAATATTTATTACGAAAAGATTACTTAGCTGTTCTGAAACATTCCAAAGCTCCTTTCCACTCCTTCAATTCAAAACGAAGACAACCATGCATCCATGAATTATATGCCTGCGATTCTAGTCTTGTCACTGCGTCTACCTTAAATATTGTTATTTCTTATCATCTCTTACAATCATTCTAGACAAGTCGTACCATTTTATACTAACGTATCCTGCGCCAGCTTATCGCAAAAAAGCCACAAAACATTTCGAAATATAAAAAACGAACATTTTCACAACTTTTGATGATATTTTCGAGATTCGATGCATGCTTTACCGCTCTTCGTAGTTTTCCAATCATATGAAAACGTTTTCTTGAATGTGCGTCTTCACCAGCTTCTTGTTTTAGTTGAATTGCATACGACCAATTTCTTTCAGCATCAAAAACTGCTACTTGGAGAAACCTAACTTTGATTTTATTATTAATCACAAAAATGTGTTTTCATCATTATAATAAATACTTATATGAAATATGCAAAAACATTGCTATACTTTTCTTCAGTGATAACATTAAATGTCAGCTTTCTTGGAATGAATTTTGCAGCGTGCTTCGGAACGCCTTTATGTACATGGGTGAACCCAAGTGATTTTCGAATCCTCCGAACACGACGCGCACAGTAACCTCTGAAACAATGAAAAAGTTAATTTGACAAATATTTCTCCTATTGCCTTTAGCAGCATAGTGTTAGACGCTACTGTAAATATATCATTTTGAGAAATGGAGTTTTCCCACAGTTTTACGAATTTATTAAACATACATAAGAGATGCTTTTAATTTGAGATAATGAAGATTGACAGGAATTGATTTCTATCTAGAAAGGTTTTAACTTTAAGTCCTTGCCAATAAGAATTAGCGGTATAAGGTCACACTTAAATGACAAGTTAATTTGAACAAAAATAACAAACCGATATCTCTGATAATCTCCATGACGTAATCCATGCTTCTGCTGTGCATCCTTAATTAACTGCAGAATAGATAGAGTTGAAAAAGACGTTAATATAACATCTTTCTGATGTTCAGTAGGCACCATTTAAATCTGAAATATTAGACAGAGTTGAAAAAGACGTTAATATAACATCTTTCTGATGTTCAGTAGCCACCATTTAAATCTGAAATATTTTTGTGACATAACAGAGAATTTTAGAAAGAGTAGTGTCCAACTCAAACAATATCATTCATGACAAGTTAATCTGAAGAACAAAAATAACAAACCGACATCTCTGATAATCTCCACTACTACTACTGTTAACATTGCTGCTAATAATTATATTGATAATAGTTATTCTGCAAACTCAATTCTGTTCCAATCCCGTATTTCTCTTCTCCTCTCTCATTGCAAGAAGAATTAGATCAAGAACGTTAAGAACCCCACCTTTACCCAACTGAAACCTAAAACACTCAAGTGGGACATACTTTTCACACACGGCCAGTGTTTAATAATTACGGTCCCTTAGCAGTTCGGTAAATTCTGGTGTGGAGTGCTTCAAACTGTTTTGTCTTTCAGCGGTTTCGGGGGTGGGAGTTGGCTTGCAATCGCATCGTGACGACTAGATCTATGCCCTTGAGTTTTGCAAGTTTTCTCGGCTTGACTTTTGACACAGCATTCTTTCTGAAATGGTTTTCATTTGATGTAATAGTGTGAGAGGTAGCAATTCGAATGTTGCCACAATAACCGAGAGAAGTCTGTGTTGCAGCTTTTGTAAAATTATCGTTTATTTTGGAATTCATTAAGAGTAATTTCCTGTGAAGCTCTTTCAGGTTGCTTACTTCCACTAATCCTATCATTTCTATTTAATGTAACTGTCACTTTCGTAAGCTGTAAAAACTTATGTAATTTATGATAATTCATCTAGATAACGGATATGTAAAAAGTCTCACAACACAGATCAGAAACCTTACGTACTCTTTGTGAGGAAGGCAATAACTGTTTCTTACTTTATATTTAATTCTCCATGTAACCATAGCTCTTAGTCTTGAAAAAACTAAAAAAAAATAAGAGAAAAGAAATACGGTTGTAAAAACTTCCGATCTCCCTTTATAATTTTGTGTCTACAAAACTGGTGGAAGTTATGAGTGTTCTAAATCTCTTTATAAATGCTAGAAAGAAAACTTAACATTAGTAGCATCAGCTGGCATAGCAGTGAAATAATGGTCCAACATTTTGTCTTTGACCACTTCACTAATGATCGTCTATTTTTCAGGTTTATTTGTGGTGAATTTTTTTTGTAACTGTACTGCGTTTTATTCAGGGTAATGGCTACGTAAGTTTTAACTTTGATTAGTTTTACTTTTTATTCGTCTACGATTAATTTTAGTTTTTAGTCATCTACAGGGGCAGTATAGTTAAGCATAGATATTTTAGGTTAGCAAAACCTCGATCCGAAATGACCCAAGAAGAGTTAGCAGCTAAAGAACAGGAGGAATTCAACGTTGGTCCACTTTCTGTGCTTACGCAGTCAGTAAAAAATAACGCACAAGTCCTGATTAACTGTAGAAACAACAAGAAATTGCTTGGTCGTGTTAAAGCATTCGACAGGTCTGTCATTTATTATTATTTGTTGTGATCCAATTATATTATATATGCTAACAGTATCGTAGTTTACGTTGTTATCATGTGTATACTCTAATTATTTTTCATGAAGATGGTCGTTTTCGACTGAAATATGTAAAATACAGTATATTGTTTTACTTATGCGGAATACAAAGTAATGATTTTCTTTCCAGGCATTGTAATATGGTTCTGGAAAATGTTAAAGAAATGTGGACAGAATTGCCAAAGACGGGAAAAGGAAAGAAGAAAGCAAAACCTGTTGCAAAGGATCGCTTTATTACGAAAATGTTCCTGCGCGGTGATTCCGTTATCATTATACTGAAAAATCCAGCAGTTGCAGTTTCAGAATCTACTTAATGAGATAACAAAATCTGTATGTTTTGTGAAGAATCGGAAAAGTGCAACTTCCCTTTTTGAGCTTTTTCCACATCATTTTTTTATTTACTGTTATGTTTGGTCTTGAAATATATATTTTGAAGTATTGATTATATCCCTTACTAGTTACAAACGCATTTAATACAACCTACCATTCATTAAAGCACCGAAGTATTCTCTTGCATCTTTTTCGATCGATAGAGAACATAATTTCGTAGTTTTTGACTTCAGATTCTTTGAATGTATACGTTTCGGAATTTTAAGCTGGTAAAATAAGGGAGATTTTTTTTTTTTGGCTATGAATTTTGCAGTAACTGTCTAGTAGTGGCACTCAATCGTTCATTCTAAATGTGAAAACTACTCCGGAAGAAAATAGTCGCCTTGAATAGAAAAACGCAACTTTGTTGCTTATATAAAGTCACAAATTTTCCTGACCATTAGCTAACTCGAAACAAATACTTGAGAATATCTGAGCCTCCAAGAAGTCCAATACACACTCCCAATGTGATAGCTAAGTATTTTATGATGACACTTTATCACTCACCAGAATTACACTTGACTCTTATCAGTATTAAAAATACAAAGGTCTCTAGTACTGTTATAGTCCTAATGCTGTAGAGATCTCGCCATTCTCCAAAAGATGTGACAAAAGAAAGCTTCGAAAAATTTGGGTTTATTAAATCAAAAGATATTTTTACATCCTGCTGAAACATGTTTATAATTCTAAACAGCCTTTTCAAAAATATATCAGAAGTATAAAGAAATCTAATTCAGTGAACTTCTGGTGATAAGTTTGGGAAGCATCCGAAATGTGCAATCACGAAGTTTATAAAATCATGATTATAAACTACTTGGTGAGATAACAAAAACAGTTAAATATTTTGATGACAAAGGAAGCATACTCCGAAGCTACTCACAGAAGCAAAACAGAAAGAGGGAAGTTTTTTTCACAAAAACTTTTTTTAACAAATATAGGAAAGCACAAAGAAGAATAAAGAATTCATACGCGAAAAAGGATTTCAACGAAAGCCATTAAGGGCCATCAGATTGGAAGTTACCCTAGCAATATATTTTAATAATTCAAACTGCAGAAGCTTCGAGCCTGAAGTGCTTAAACATGATATAACGAAACATCACTTCCCACATAATAGAATATGACTGGAAGAAAGGGAAATATAAATTATGCAAGCGATAATGAGCTGAGCAGAAATATATACATGAAGAATGAAAAAAGCCATTAACATTAGTACGTTTAAGAAAGTCATTAACAAAAACTTCTATTCATCCCAGTTAATCCATCCATCACTTTTGCTAGATGAGTTATTTGAACCAGCTTTCGGCGTCCGCGGGTCGTCTTCATCATGCAATTCCTTAAAGCAGCAGGTGTAAAGTTAAGATTGAAAAGAAAAAAAGTTTGCTGAGTGATATAAGTACCGATATGACGTCGCTTCATTATACATATATTAATAAATGGAATGGTTGTGATATGCCTGTATATCAACATTTGTACTGGAACACAGGCTCCAACTTTCGTCCATTGCTGATCGTCTATCTGGGCTGTTCTGATTTTGTGTCCGATCTGCATTTACATCAAGACAACTCTCGACACTATCAGAACCTACAAGATTTAAAATAAAAAGCAAGTGAGGAAACCTAACTAATCTACTACTTTTTTATTCAGATACGTTGAAACCGAGCCTAATCTCATATCAAAAGAATAAGCACTATTCGAGAATAGTTTTACCAAAACAATAAACAAGTTAAGCAAAAAAATAAGACTTTACTAACACCTTTGATTTTACTTATATTACTTCACCTGAAAAAAGTTGCTTCAGTGTATATTGAAAAATTACTTCTCTGCAAAACTTTTATACATTTTAGTAACAATATAACAATCTATTAATTAAGAAACTAACACAAATTTCTTGTTTCGAAATCTGTCGACTTTTGCTCCTGTAGCGTTTCATTTTCATCATTTTGTAGCAGCCGTCTTTCAGCGTCCACTTTACATCGAATTAGTAATTCCATCTGATGAATTCTATAGAAGTACCTCGCCCAAAAAACCACATTTTCAATTTCTTCAGGTACCTTAATTATATATATTAGTTCTCTCAGTTACTTCACTTCATTACGACGAGCACGTTGTGGATCATTTTGAATCCAAGGGTATGACAAAACTATTCAAAACTGTTAGGAACAGGAAATATCTTCTGATAATTACCATTTCTTGGTATAAGGCCCTTACTCGAGGACAATTAGCAAGCAAAGCATTGATTTCGTTGTCATATTCAGTTAACTTGAAATCATCGCACCACATTTTGAATAATTCCTTATCACCTTCCGGAATTTTCATGTATGTATCTGGATTCGTTTGAATTTCATACAGGACATGCTGCAAATTGGTAACCTGATAAAAGATAAAATAATAAGTTGTATTAAATGCATTGAAATTTATAGATATGTATTTATAAATTTATAAATCATAAATCACTGTTCAATTGGAAACTTATTTTCGTTTTAGCTTTTACGAGGTACCAAAAGGCAAGCTAAATGTCATGGCACGTGTAGTAGTGTTAAATACGCTAGAGAAATTGCTTATAACAATGGATGCTTAAGATTTTGGATAAAAATTTCATTACTGTCGAATTTTTATAAAGTTAAAGGTTCTCGAAAATTACATGAGGCAAATCGCTTCTGCTTATAGGTTTTATATGTGAATAAATGCTTTCTGTGAATTCATCTTCGTCCTCAACCGTATTTTCTTGCGCAATATTTCTCATTGTATCAACTATTGCTTTGATCCACGAATTGTCTGTTATCGTAGGCATTGAAGGTAGCCTTGGTGTCCATCCAGCATATGTGGAGCTAGATTTTTTGATCTAAAGAAAACTATTTCATAATGGAGTAAAACTGACGACCAGATTGAGAATTCATTTCAAAATTATCTATTAGTGAGCAACCTTCCAATAATACGCATTATAAATTTTTTCTTTTTTTTTGTAACATTTGCAACCGTAGCAACGGAGAAAATATTTACTAGACGGATAAACAAAAAAAAAAAAGATGATTCAATTGAGCAAACTTACTTCAATTGACACAGAAAAAAGTCATGAATTCTTTTACCAGACCTAATTACTTTCCGAACTTTAATCTTGAACTTTACAGTGATCTCGTCTACAACTAAAAACACACTTCATTTGCATTATTTTCCATTCTTTTACTCTCCTCTTTATGCTGCTTATCATATTCTTCCAAGCTCATAATTTGCTGCAAATTGTACGCTTGCTGTTTGACGCTTTCAACAGTAGTATTTGCCAAAGCGCTTGCTTCACTGGCTACAACATCGCTGAACTCAGTCAGGTCTTTTTTGACCAATTCGAAGGTTGTATAGGTCTGAAATTAAACCCTCTAATCAAAAAATAACCTCCCGTCCTCCCCCCCTCCAATCATATCAGTGTTTTATAAAAAAGTAGTTTTCTCAGATTCTTCCGTAATCTCTAATCTTATATCCAGTAGTACTGGTGCCTATATATAATGTTAGGGCTCGAGAACACGATTACAATAAAAAGCCTAACTTGTAATTTCTCGGTCAAATAAAAAACGGAGATGTGGGAAAAATGTACTAGTTGTGATTTACTTGTCGATTCATTAAAACTTTAATTTAGCACAACGGTAATGCAAAATCAGCATTAAAAATTTCATTAAAAAAAAAAAAAATTTCTCTGATTATTTATAAAATCTACCAATATAGGATAATCAATGAATCTCGTACTACTCACCTTCTTCCCGACAGGACAGGAAGTACCACAGCATGAATGAAATCAAATAAACAAAATACCTCACCTTTTCTTTAGCGGATCGGAACCAAGCTGAACCCGTGGTAACCCACCCTTGGAATGCATCCACATTTCTTCCCACTTCTTCTTTCTTATCATTAATGGGTTGTTTGTCCTTTGCTACAGTTTCCACTTCTGCTTCATTCTCAGTACTCTTCATTTTACCATACTAAAACTCACTTTCAAAAATTAAACTGAACTAGAAGATCACAAACAGAACTAAAAACCAATTGCGCCCAATAAGTTAATTCCAATTTATGTAATGCTCCGTACTAAAATCATCTGCAAAACCCAACAAATCACTCCATAGAATAATATCAATAGATAAGAGCCATCTTGTTTTCGAATAAATCGCTAAACACGGCCATTCCATGAAACTTATTATCCTAAGAAAAAACGAGTCTTTTGTTTTAAATTTTGTTTTGTAATTGAGCATTAAAAGTGCCCTCACATATATTAGCCTATAAAATAACCTGACTTTATCTGATTTCTCAACTGTCCACTATTGTATTTCAGGAAAAGTCCTTCGCAACAATCAGTTCAGCATTATTCTTAACTTTTCGCAGCAACATACCTAATCATTTCTATTGCAGCATGGTTATTTACTGTGACATCAAATATGATAACATATTCTTGAACTAGAATACTGATCTCTCACAATTTTTATCATTATTAAACATAGCTAACTGTCATCTCACCTGTTCCTACAATTATCGCATCAGTTCGTACAAGTTTGGCTATATTGTACTCACTTGGTTAAATCTTATTTTGAAATTTAATTGTTGAATCCTTTACTTCAGCAAATAGTTAATTTACTCTGAAATGTCCTTGCTCATTATAACCATTTTATAACTCATTATAATTCCATCCCATCGAAATTATAGTCATATGGTAGTACCATCTTATCCACTGGTTTGACTTCATTGTTTTCTATTCCTTAATGAGAAATGGAAGCATGAATATATATGTTAAGATATAAATTATATAATGTTATCTATCAGTCATAAGCTTCAATTTAAAGCTAATCAACTTGTTTGATTTGAAAAAATTGAAATTTAGTTTAAATCAGATTAGTGTTTTTCTGATGATTGAACCGGATATCTATCAATTCGCTTTTTCAAGTTATTTCAACAAAAGAGTATTGTAACAATTCGGATCCTGAGATAGACTATAGATATGACTCGATAATTAGCATTATTGTAATAGGTTATGTAGTTGATTCAAGAAATGAAATAAAAAATCTCACATATTATGTTCTGTACATCTGTCGAAAGGTCAAATTTTTGCTAAAATTGTTACAAAGAAGATCGAATGGCTCCCGCCTTTTTAGCCACAATTGGACCAAAAAAGTTTAGTATGGTATAAATTCTGTGAAGATAGGTGACGAGCAAACATTGCAGATTTCTGATTAGAGTTATTTTAATAGATTATACGTCGGTTTTCGGTGGAATACAATTTTGTTTGGTTTTTTACTTTTTTACATTCACTTGTTTTGTTACTGTTGGTTTTTGTTGATTTTCTGAGTTTGGATATTTTTCATTTTTGTATAAGCCAAAAAGTTTGAGAAATAATTCGAGGCGGAAACTAGCTAAATAAAACTCAGATGCGTTTACTCTTTTTTGCGTTCCGAAATTTGTTTATTAGTGTAACGTTAGACTGAAATTAAAAAATAAGAGTTTAGATCAATAAATTTTATCACTTCTATCCTACATAGCTAAAACGCCTAGGATCATCTATAAATATGTGAACTGTTACAGAGATATTATGATGAATGGCCAAACTATCATCAAAGTAGCAAAATTCCGAGGAGAGTACAAAGGGCAAAAACGATCAATGTGGGATTGGTCAGGAAGAGTCATAGCAGTTTGCTGTATGTACATATCCTTTGTAAATTTATGCACTAATTTATCAGAATTTAGGAGATCTGTTCCGATCTAAGCATCTTTTTTCTTCTCATACATGCGATATTTAAGACAGCCAAAATCAAAAAAGCTTTGAAGAAATTCTTCGGATGGATAATTTTCCAAGAACGAAATGACATGTTTGTTGAACTAATGAATAAACGCCTTCATTTATCGGATCATCAAAGCCATTAACGGCAAGCAATAATAATTTGCTGAAAAAAGAAAAAAAAAAAAGTGCAACTAGACAATCAATAAAGGTAGCTTAGATCTGGGAAATTTCATTGAAAATCCTAATTTCTATCTAATTAATACTCGTGTATTCTTCATTCTCGGATTTTCAGTTTTATGAAGGTCGATTTGTGTAGCTTTTTGTTGTTAAGCTTTTTTTTTTGTCTTGACAGTTATCCTTTCGAATATATTATGCTTCAAGCTTTCTCAGAAAATTGAAAACTGAAAACACCGTTATCCGTTATTCTGTGAATATTTAGTATGAGCAAAAAGATAAAAAAGTTCAATAATAAGTGAAAAGAAAACAAATGCTAATCGGTTGATCAGTCAGAGTTATAATTAAATATGAAAAGTAATGTTTCCCGTTACAGCCATTGTTAATGTTATAAAATCCAACAGCCATCATTAATGGCATACTCCAATTGCATAATAACCATTCTTGTTTCTTATTTATTTCATAGGCTTATATAGCTCATCAAAATATGCTAAATCTGCCACCTTATATAAATCAGTATTTTTTAGCCAGTGAAGATGTACTGAAGGAAACAAAACTGTTCCAAATGAATAATCACTCCTTTCTTCTACAACTAAAATTACGAAATCTGTGCACCTACTGTATCATCTATACTTTTATTACGTACTTTTACTACATTTCAGCAGCAAATAATGTTGTTTAAAAACCCATCAAGTATTCATTCAGCTAGTTGTTGAGCAACTAAACTGATTCAATTCATCATTTCTCTTCATAAAAGCATCAATCGTAAATTATTATGATATGTGTGAATAACTACAGTCTCAAATAATTCTCATTTCATGCAAAATTCACTTTGCACTTCAAGATGTTTTCAAGAAAAAAAAACGGATCCATCCTTTTGCGGTAACACTATTTCAATAAAATAATCGATTTTGAATTCTACCAGCAATAGCTAAAACTTATGTTTTCGTTTTATCTTTTCTGTTTTGTCATATCATGTTTCCATATCACCTGATAACTCTAATTCTCCGTAATTTTGATTTATACCAGCAGAATCATTTGGAGTATCTATAACTTCCTCAATACCTTGTCTTATGAATGTTCGTAAAGAAGAGCGTAATGAAGTCTTCCTAATTTATTGTTCAAAATAGCATTTGGTTTTGCTAAATGAAATTTATGATAGGCCAAGAGAAGATAGAACCCATAATAGCTTCCATTGGCTGTCAAGCATAACTTTTCCTTTTCATTTTAGAATCATTACATTTTGAATGGCTCATTTTTGTTTTATCCCTCTTTCATCATCTCAAAAATTCAATTTTACTTGAACTACTACATTTCGTATTTCTTTCTCATTTCCTATATCACAGACTCTGCTGTTATCTAGAAATTCGCAGTCTTTCAGTTGTATCAGTCATGAGAGCTTCCAAATTTCGTTATTGTGAATTAAATTTCCAAATTTGAATTTAGATTAATTGTTATATCAAATTTAAATAAAAATGCAATGGAATTTGCTAAAAAAAAAAAAAAAAAAACTACCTGTTGCTTCTTTGCTTCTGAATTAACGTACTAATTTTCAGTGGATTTGCGCCACATTTTCGGGAATCTGTTAAAAAAAATCAAAAGGATAGTCACATCTACATTTACATTAACACCCTTACACCAGAAGAATAATGTTGACACTAGAAGATATTACTCACAGGTATTGTGTTTTGCTTTGGGATTATTTTCAAATGTCTCCTATGATTATTCTCTCTCAAATCCCAGATAACCAGGAAATTTTGGGCAAGAAAAGGAAAAAGTTCATTTTTTTTCAGTCTTTTTAAATTCATTCTAATAAAATTACATATTAAGGATAATAGTCTTAACCATCCAAGAGTTGGAACAGCAAATATCCAAGACAACACTGTCATAGAGAATGAAATATCTGCAGGTGAAATAATCAAAACGAAAGTTCAGGCTTCCAGTAGATTGTCTGATAGTGGTAATGTCATGGAAGTAAGTTATACGTTACATAGGTAATGCAAATTATGAAGATTGCAAAATAAAACAAAGTGAATTCTGAACATAAATATTCAATTAAAACCAATTATTGAACATATTTGCAGTGGTCAACCGTTGTGATTCATCACGAAGAAGTGGTTAACAAGCATTTAGAGGATAGTTTGGACGATTTCACCCTCGATGATAACTATTTTGAAGATAGCTGGGGTCTTCTACACTCAAACTTATTGCTTACAACTTACAACTTGCATCAAGCGAATACATTTATGTCCACTGTAAGCATCTCATGTACTGAAAGGCAACTCATAGACCCATTTAGTTTTTGACCTTCCACATGTTTTTTTTCTTATTTTTTTCAGTCTTTGAGAGTTGCAGCTGCATACGACATTTGTGGGGAAATGTGGAAACAATCTACGTATATGTGGGAAACAGTGCATCTTGAAGGTAAACTTATAGGATGCACTTAGGTAATAAGAATATGCTGATGAAAAAGTTAAGAATTTAAATGGAGTAAAAACTAACGGTATTTCAAACATCCATAAATAAGTTACGTACGGCACGATAATAATTCCTCTACCATAAGTTCAATAAATAACATCGGGAATATTTAGTAATCGTAGGACCCAATACACATTTGTGATTTAAATGGAGTTAAAATTCTTGAAAACAATAGCGCATCAGTGTATATCGATCCACGCCTTAGATAGTGGCAGCGAAACAGAGGAGGAGGAAGAGGAGGAGGAGTACCGTTCATCGGAGGAATGTAGTACGCTGGATCAAACCGATCATAACATGAACGGTAGGTATCGTTTTAATAGGTTCATTAATTTCCTTGTAACTTATTCAATAATTATCCCGTTATTTATTGCTTTTTTCAGAATTTAGCTTCTCTAATAGCTTCTTCGAGAACAGCTGCACATCTGTTCTCGAATGATGGATGCATGATAGCCAGACTATCTGTGATTTGTCTTCAGAATATTTCATATCGTAATTGTAAATAACGCCTGTTAGCTTTGTTAATTCATGCTTAGATGAAATTAAAATACTTAGGTAGCATATATGAAAGCTTGAGCTTGAAAAAAATTGACAGATAAGCTTAAGATTCTAATCGTTTGCCGCTATTCAGTAATCATATGTAAAGATATTCATGTGTTTTAACATGTTCACAAGTTGTGAATTGTGAAAATTAAATAGAAAGATAAAACTTTTGAAGTACACTTAAACACCAAATATTAGCATTTCTTCCTCTTCATCAGATGACACCGTTTTGCTATACTTTTGCAATAGTGTCACAAAGTTCTACATATCATGCTTATCAAACACAACTTCATTGCGGTGATTTATTTTATTAATAAATTATCGGAGAACGACGCAACGTTTCACAATCCCAAAAATATCCAAGAAGTAAGAAATACGGATCGCAGGAGTTATATTCGAGCATTACCACAAGTACAATCTATGGACAATAAGGCGGCACTTGCTCACGGTTGATTCTTCTTAATGTGGAGAACTGTTTTTATAGAAAGCTCGCTTGCACTAGAATTTCTTCAGTAACCTAAATATTATACTAAAGTAAATCAGGATGCTAAAAAAACTGAACATTTGACTTAGTTCCTAATGAGGAAAATATGAAGCATCCAATTATGCAAAAAACTAAACTAGCATAGCATCTCATATCTCTTCTCTCCACACTCGGCATTTGACATTAAAGTCGATTTTTCCCTCATTTGAATTATTGATTGCTATTTCATTACAAAAAATACTTGGTGATTAAAAAATAAAATTGGCAAACGCAAAAACTGGTAAGACACACAATTTCGAGATAGCTGATATTCTCATATCATGTAATTATTATACGTAAACAGAAACTGTCAATTAATTTTTCTTGATGGCGTAAGTCTGAGTATTAGATTGCTATTATATTATTGAATTGTTCACTACCGCTAAGCAAATCAAATCTCAGAACTACTTATTAATAAGTTTATTTCGAATGCTGTTATGGCGCTACAAAAAAGATTTCTGGAAATTGAATCCATAAACAGCACTTACACTCTCTCCAACAGCTGCAAATATTTCAAATTACACCAAAAAGCATGTCATGAAACAACAAGTACAGAATTCTTGAACAAATGCATTAATCTGAACAAAAAATAAATAAATAAACCATCGAAACTGCAATCACAGGAAAATTGAATTTTCATGTCACATTGTTGATAATTACATTCGTTTTGTTAAAATGATTACGGAAAAAGCAGAGAACAAACGAACATTGCACCGTAGCAGCGAGATTTGTTGTACAGAAGCGTGTGATATACCACAGGCAAACACACAACATACACACACACACAACGTACACACGTGCATACATACATACATATATATATGTATTAATTATAAACATCAAAAGCATCATTATCAATCATCACCAGGGCCAGTAAAACAAATCTGTCGTTAAAACATGAATAAGAAATAGCAGCAAAAATGGGCTCTCAGAAATATTGAAAAGACAACTATGCAAATATTAAAATAGAAGACAAATAACATTTAACTCAGGAAAATTAGCTTATAAAAAAGGTTGCATAGTTATTAACACAGGCGGTTATCTCTTTGAATATTATTTGAATTTTTGTTACTTGAATTATCTTTGAATGTCACTTGAATTTACTTAATCGAAATGCAAACAGCATGTTGCAACACATTAGCGCGAATGACCACATTTTATTTGAATGCTACTTAAACATTAACATGCTGTTGCTAAGTTCCATTTTCTTAAAGAATTTCAAACACTCTTACGAATAAACGGATTTAAAAGCTGATAATCGAATTCGGATTTATAGCAACTAAGGCATGTATGGAACAGCTGAGAATAACGGCAGATAAAAACAAAATATGGAGGAAATAAAGTACAATGGAGAATAAAGTATTCAAGTATTCGTTTTAAAACAAATAAAGATTATTCATAATTTACTAAAAGATGCACTCGAATTTTAACTTACGCAACAAGTTAGATAATTTCAAACGCCGGAATATTTCCTCTCAATAAAACTGCCCTATTCTCAAAAAAGAAAAAAAGTTACGAGCTGTTCTGATGAAAGCGAGTCTGACATAACACATCACCGAGTACTTTCAAACTGGCCTAAAAAGTTTCCAGCTTTGGAAAATAATTTAAAATCTCTAACTCTACAAACATCTAAAAAACTCATGCTTTCGAAAGTACAAGTAAGAAATGATGAAAACGAAGAAATCAAGAATTACTAAGACACTTTCATTTTCCAACATTAGCTTGTTCCTGCATGAGCTGCAGCAAGCTAAAGCCACGTTGAATACCACTACTATTATGTCGCTGTGAACTGAACATATGAGCTTGTTGTAATATTCGTACCATTTCTGTAATCGGCGTTAACATGGCTGAATTTGATGCTACTGCTGCTGCTGCTGCGGGTGCAAATAATGTTGGAGGTACACTGAAAGATCGACTTTTCCCATAGCAATTTCAAGCAAACAAACAACGCTAACACATAATGACAATTATGATCAATTCAGTTAGATGAATTTTTGATCACTGCATTTGTTATCGCGTAAAAGTAGTCCAGATATATTTTTTGTCTCCAAGCTAAATAAGGAATAATGTATTGGTAATATGTAGTAACTCCTAATTCTCATAACCCATATAAATAGTACCTGGTAGATTCAACCATAACAGCATTAGAAAGCTGTTTCGGATCTGCTTTTCCACTCGTAAGATCAAGTGGTGCAGTTGACGATGTTTCACTATATTCTGATGGTACTACTCCTGTTACAGCAGAATTGCATGGTTCTCGTTTCGTATGCTACAAAATAATATATTTTTCATATAAAAAAAAAAAAAAATTAAAACTTAAAACTCGAAACAATCATAAACAATCAAAAGATAAAAAGATGTATAAACAATACGTAGGAGCTGAAGTAAACGTAACTCACAAGAGAACAGATTACGATCGATTTATAACAAACATCACGCTGAAAAATTCACATCACGAAAATGAAGCCAAATTACTTACAGTTATTCCATCAGCAACAGCTAACTTAACCGGCCTATCACACTTGCGTTTACGCGTCCCAAAATGGGAATTCTTCTCTGGAGTTAATTTTAGTCGTGTTGATGTGGAAGTATCACTATTGCTTTGCGAAAGTGGAGAATGACCACTTATGCCTGTTTCTGATGAACCGGCAAAATATAGAAGATTATCCTACAAAAAAAAAAAAAAAAAAAAAAAAAAAAAAAAAAAAAAAAAAAAAAAAAAAAAAAAAAAAAACTGCCAGAATAAAGACATCAAGAGAATAACTTAATTTAATACAAAATAATTAAGATATATTTAAGACACTCAGCAGAAGTAGAAAAAAAACTACCCTCAGACTTTAATCTTCCCTGATGTTAAAACGAAATTTCAAAGAAAAACCATTGAGAAACCCCAGCAACGAGATCTATGTTCTTATATACCTATATTCTTTGTCTTATATATACCTTTACTCAGGTGCGGGTAAAATTAGAAAACAAAAACGGAATTTCACGACAATTAGTGCTTTTAATTACTTGCTTTGCATACTGTTTTTTCTGTCAAATATTATTCTATTTCATTACATTTTTCAGGTCAATTCCTCTAAACTTTTCTTTTTTCTCTTAATACATAGCTGAATTTTGATTATTAATATTCTAGTATTAGCAGGCAAAACAAATGATTGTAGTCTTACAACAACTAAAGTTATTCTACGTCAAAAATAAATGGATTATAATCTGTCTTTAATTTTCATGTTTACTACTAATCAGCATATTTTTCATTCCCACACAGAAAAATTTATTGATTCAAGAATCGGCATTCCATCACATTTCCATATACCTCAAACTTTACTGGGTGTTTTGTAAAAATAATTATTTCCAACACAGAAAATGGGGAGTCATGAAACATTAAATAAATTGACGAACCATTTTTGGAACAGAACTATCACGCGAATTATCACCACTGAATGAATCGAATTGTCGTTGTGTAGCGGAAGTGTGTAGCTTTGGATTAGGATTAGCTGAATGTCGATTTCTACAACACAGAATGACCGTCTAACTTAAATAATAGGAAAATTTAAAATATTTACTAGATGCATAATTTTTGACCTTTCTTTCCTTTTATTTGTACTAAGGGACAAAGACTGTCCGATGTCTTCCAACTCTTATGAAGTTCATTAAATTCGGCAAACATCTTCAAAATATTATCAGTGTTGCAATGAAGTTTGCTACTTATTACTACCGAATGTTCATTTACTGTTCACACTCCAGAAGTATTATTTAGGTATCGTATATATGAGGTTACTGAATGCCATTCGTTAACTGAATTCATCCCAGTTATTAATTTAAATATACTTGGAACTCTGTCTCTTAATTCACCTCAGATTCCGAATCATAACATCAAAGTGCTAAGAACCATCCCAACTATAAACAAAATTAAAAATCTATATTATGTGAACCTAATTCAAATATTTTTCGTATTTTAACAAAACAAGTGAAAACAACAGACCTGCTACGTCTTGATGAAAACATCATTTCACATCCTTCCACTGTACATTTATGCATTTCTTTCAAATGTACTGCACTGTTGTGTATCTTCAGTGCCCCTTTATCACAGAATGTTTTAAAACATTTCAAACACTGCACTCGTCTCTTGCCGTTACTTTTCGGTGTCTAAAAGGTTTCAAATTTTTACAGTTTTCTATACTAACTGAATTCATTTCACTTTTTAAAAATTTAAAAATTCGGTGTATTAGTGCCGTACATAGATGGAGAAATCACGAGAGAAAAGCCATTTCACTTTTGCGTAGGAATAATGGCGATAAAAAGAGAAGGAAAAGCAAAAAATAAACGATTATCCATGCTTTAAAAGAAAAATAACAGTAATGCTGGTACCTGAGTTATTGATTTCGTTTTCAAATCACCACTTTCGATAAAGGGTACAGAATCAAATTTTACAATTCCTTCATCAATTACTGCTGTATCATCATGTTGCTGTAACTGTTGTGTCACTTCCTTTCCGACAATTTCATCGACTTCATCAGCAACCAATTCTGATGAAATATGCTCATCACTTGCAGATGCTTCACAACCACTCGTTGATTCCGATACTCGAGAACCTTTAAACAAACAAAATAAATTCATCCTTTAAACCAATACTGACAAAAATCGAGATGTTACTAATACAAATTTTTAAAATGCTACAGATCAGTAACCACTTCATTAAAATGTTATGTTGATCATTTAGAGCTTAAGCAAAAAATAACTTTTTTTTTTTAAAAAAAAATGTTTCAATTTCAAGATGACAATAATATAAAGACCTAATACCATAAGATAAATGAAAACAATTTAGATTTTCACAAGCAACTACTTTTTGGAAACTTTGGAAGGTGTTCATTAAAAATGTCTTATAATCCTAAAACTTTTTCGACGTTCAGTGTGCTTCCGCATTTGAGCAAACAAAATTTATATAATTTACATTTGTTTGCTATTTTTAACCTCCAAAGAACATCAACATAACATTTTAAAATTGTGTCTGGAGTTGTCTATAATGTAAAAAAAATTGTGCTGATTTTTTGCAGATATTATGTAAACAGCATAACGACTGCACTATGGCTCCCTTACTATAAAATTATAAAACTGAAAGAAAGAATGATAAAAAATGAATTTGAAAAGTAATAAAAATGCAAACAAGGTCGTAAAAGCATATCGGTAACTGATCCTTGAGAAACACTCAATACTGGTGGTGGAAATCCTACAAATGCTGGCCAGGTATGCAAAAAGGATGGCACCAGTGATCGGCGAAGTGGATCAACCAGATCGGCACACGAAGTGATACCCATGAAACGATCCATAAGTTGCAGTTCGCACTGAACATTAGCACACATCCAATTATTCAGAGGTTTACCCGTCTTAACATCCTGGAACAATAGATGTGTCTCACTAGACAAATAATCTAACCAATGGTGCTGACAGAGAATAGTTCATTGACTGTGTCAGGAGTACTAGTCACAGTACAAACCAGCATGTTTTTCAAAATCTCAACTACTAATTAGGAATTATAGCAAGAGTGAGTAGTGAGTGCAAAGCCTTCTCAACGATAATTAACTAACACAAAGAACATTCACTTGCAAAAGCTACTGTGCATAATAATTCAGAATAAAGATCTCCTGAATTTGAAAAAAACAAGCAAACTGGAAGTGAATAGACGATAGAGACAAAAAAAAAAGACTGAAGGTAATGTTCGTAATTTGTCATGAATACCACAGAATACTAGACCAAAATCTTATTCCGTTCTCGAAAATTTACATTTTGGTAGTTTATTTGAGCTTCATTTCAAAAGCTGGATAATCCAACGACAACTCTGTCTCTATCAAATCTACATTACTATAAAAACCATAAGTACTAGCGAAATGCACGAAGATAACATTTAGCAATGATACCGTTGTTGCAGGCAGGAACAACTAAGCCGAGAATAAATAATCACCAGTAACAACACATTTTCTTAAAAATTGCATTCAATTATTTTACTTTAAAAGCGCTTCGCCTTTTCTCTGATTGCGCCAGATACATCGCCGAGAATTTGTGTTGCTTCATTTTCATCTCCATTCTGCAAGCTACTTCCAAATTACATTTGCCTTTCTTTCATTGCACTACTTTCCAAGTGCAGAAAATCCAACGAAATATATCAGTTACTAACTCAAAAAACCGCTCCTAAAATATAAACGTCCAATTCAACAATAACAAAGACAGAGATGGAGAAATTAATTACAGTAGGAGGTTACAGTATCTTCTCATTTATATTCATTAAGTATTCTGACGCAAAATATCCCAAATTTATGAAAGTCGATCTAACTTAAGCTTCTCGTCTATAAATATTCAGTGTACGTGTTAAAAAAATATTTTAAATTGCAATCATTTCGAACAAATAGAACAAAATAATAGCGAACATGGAGTTAATTTATTTGAAATATATAATTCAAATCAATATAACACCTGTAAAGGTGCCCGTATTAATAAAACTCATACAAAATTCAAATTAGCCATATTAATGCGACAAGATTTGCAAGAATGTACTATGGTCTAAACTGGAAGGCGATCATTATCAATAAGTTTAAAGTAAATGATCAGTTATTAACAACTATTAGTCAGTTAAGATCAAACAAAAATTTAACACTATTGTGGAAAACATACAAATAAAACGATTTGATGATTGACATTACGAACATTAAAAAATGTGAGCATCTGAGCGTCAAAATTTGCAAAAAATGACTTATTTTGCATAACCATTAAATTTCTTTATGCTAAGAATTTGGTATTTATCACTTTCTACCAACATTTCCACGTTGAAAAATCTAATTAAGCATAATTAATAACAGTATCCAAGTAATAACACTTTCTAAGCAAATAATATACGGTTTCAAAAATAAAAAAATATAGAAAATATTAAGTAGAAAAAAAAAAAGTACGCTTTTAAAGATCCTGCATAATTTAACTTATTGTGAATTTTTAATAATTTTCTCGAGTAAGTTTATGCTATGATCCTGAAAAGATAACACCGATTATAGCTTAATAGGAAGGAATTCTACTGCAAAATTATGTGAAATTATTTTGTTCTACCCAAGCAAAATATTCAGGCACAATGTTTATTTAACCTTATGTGAATTTTTAATATTTTTCTTCATAAGTTATGGTCGCTTGCCTATAATTATTTAAAAATCAAAATTTAATAAAAGCGTGTAGATAAAAGCATTTGTTTGAAATTAAATGAAAAAAAAAATAAAGTGTTTGACTGGTTATACATTGCAGTGCGTGCTCATGAGCTGTCTGTCATATGTAAAAAATAAGAGCAGTACATATTTAAATATATGAAGATGGAAGATTATAAGAGTATACTCAGAAAGGTTCATAAATGGATGCTGTAGCCACGTGATATTTCTTTGGGACAGATAGTGTCACTATGCAATTTTGTCGTTGAAAATAACATCTTTCAAATGCTCGTTTGTTGAAGCACATCGAATGGCTTTAGGAAATTGCTGTGATTGTCTCTCCATCATCACTACCAAGAGGAAGCAATTTACTTTCCCCATTACCGATTTCGAAATAACGAAATGCATGAATGATACATGCTACGCTAAATTCTATGAAGCAAATTTATTTTTTCCCTTCTGTAAAATGACCTTTTTCTGCTGTACAAACTAAAACGAATCAATTTATGCATATTACAAGACGAAAAAGCCCTCAATTTAACATAATGCAGCAATGAAATTTCAGCCCATTATGCTGCAAATAACGCTAACTTCTCCCTCCAAAAAGACTACCCCGAAATAATCCTCTCCTTCGTCTTATAGGATATAATTGAAATAAAAATTCCCGCACTTACAAAAACAGCTTTTTATTTTTGTAATAACGAACGAAAATTAAAAGGAACAAGAAAAAGGAGGAAGCATAGTCTTTCCATTCTTTCAATTAGCAGTATTTCATTCCTCACCTAAAAGCTTTATTGTTGATTTTGAACAGATGGACATGCCGGTTATAAAATTTAAAGCAGCAGTTGCACTTAATCCCATTTTCCTATTACTATCGAATATTTCAATTTTAAGCACTTTGTACTGTTACGGAGCATATTTTAACACGAAATATTGCATTACTGAAAGGCCTATCTCATAAGCTTTACGGATATCAGAGTATAAATTCATGGATCATTTCAACGCTTCTATTGTTGTTATATTGAAATCGATGACATTATTCCATGTTCCAGGAAGACATCAATTCATCTTGACACCTAATTTCAGCCTTGGCTCTTCGTTAAGCTCATGTCAACACCATACATTCAAATAAATGACATCGTCATCCTGTTTGAAATCTGCATTTAAAACCGAATGTCTTCCCCGTGGTGTCATCTTATTTTTTTGGAAAATTCCTTCCCTGGTATTATTAAACTACATTCTCTTTATATTTTGAATTTAAGACAGCGGAAGATAGTGACCAAAAGAGGTAAACAGATTACAATCTTTAAGATTGTTTAAGTTCAACCAGTAAGAAATATCTACATCATTTACTAAACGGCTAAACGCATTTTTCTAATTCCAATTTTAAAAACGTGATAAAGAAAGGCGAATTTACTCATCCAGTAAAAATTTAAAACCAAATTTTCAACCTAAAATTTACAACAGCTCTGAGGAAAAAAGATCCTGAAGAAAATAATAGAGATAATATTTTGAAAGTGGTATAGAGCTTAATGACGAAAATCTCGAAGACATAGTTCATATTGTCACCTCCGTTCAAGAATAGCATCTTCAGGGCGTGCACCGATAAATCACCCATGTCACCAGTTCCTGGATATTATATGCCTTTTCCCTGAAGGAGGCTTATCTGAACCCACCAAAAATGCTTCAATCTTGTCTCATCTTTTTTGGGAGCATACACTGAAACGTTTGCTTCTCAGCAGTAATTTATCCAGAACATAATTATGCTCCTCTTCTATGCTTTAGCGAAAATGAAGAATCAGAAATTCTAAGTTAACAGATATTCGGTGTGTTGTCTACTTATTTATTTGCCTATTCCCGATCATTCCAAAAACACTACATCGAGCTCCAAACGGCTATCAACGCTTTCTCGCTTACCAAAAAAAAAATGCAGCTTTTCGTTTAAACACAATTACAAATACTCATCAGATGTCATCATATTCTCAATTCATCTTACCAATTCTGCTTCTGCGTTCATTTTCTTCCAAAAAAAAAAAAATCAAAACTGACAATTTGTTCCCTGCGAATATTCTGAATGAAAAATTTAAATAAATAAAATCCTAAGTTTCCCACTCAGAAAAACGCCGTTTCTATAATAAAGCAAAACAGGAATACAATTTTTCATTTTCCTGGCAACCTTTACCACAAGGAATTGATTTATTCCAAATAATAAATATTCATTGTCTCAGCTCCCAATTTTCTCCATATTTTTTATGACTAGCGTAGATTAGTTTGGCGACGTTAAAACTCATGAATAATATATTATTTAGTCCAAATGTCCATCTGATTTATAACAGAATATGTGACCATTTAGAAGTCAAGTATTTTAGGAATGTGCCACGGAAGGGAGGAAGCCTTAATGAAAACATACTGTGTAGCGATGAAATGTTACAATGTTGACAGTATTCAAGAAATATGTCCTAAATGGAAGTTGCTGAATGAATCGACAACAGAAGGGAGGTCACTGGTGCCACCTGTATTCCCTACATAGAAAAGGCGACATTAATGAGTAGACGAGCAGAGAGACACCCTAATGTGCTGAAATGTGACACACACAAATAAACGCTTAAAAATTGTAAAGACGGGGTAGGTACGGTAGCGGATTATTATATGCATCAAATAGGAACTGTAACTACAATAATAGATCATTGACACTGATATCCAACTTTACTAATTCGAACTTTTCATTGTCCGCCAGCTTTACAAGGAAAGTAGACACAACAATCAATACAAAAGCAGAAGCCAAAAAGATCAAGTAATATGCACTGAGTGCACTACCTCAATTACAAGCCTTTTTCAAAAAACAATGGAGTGAGGCGTTGCTATGTCATCAACAAAGACTTGGCCAATGACTACTGCTGTACAATCAAACAATCAACCATTTTGAAACAAGATGTCATATATATGACCTATCACCCAGTAGACACGAGAATCCAATATACCTCTTTGTAGTAGTCAGCTCATAAAACGGTCATTATTTTATACTAATAAAAACCTACACTGATTTTATTTCTTGTCTTACCGAATCCTTTGCAGCTTCCTTACATTCTCACTTTTGTGTTAACTAACTTGCGAAAATAATGAAAATACAGGTTATTCACACAAATACATTTTAAAGAAATCCTCTGTTGTTGTTAAAGATGAAGAAAAAGTGACAAGATACAAAAAGAGGAAAATGGAATCCTTGCTCTTTGCTGTTGTAATTGAAAAAAAGTTCAGATTTCTGGCCATTTAACCAATTAATTATTAGAGGAAACTTTATAAGTTGACTAGCAATTTTGCGACGAGAAGGATCAACAAAGAAGCTACTCTGAGCTGTAAAGAAACGGATGAAGCAGTTATTGTCCTTTCGACTTCATCAAACTCATGACTCTTCTGGGACTGAAACAGAGATGATGCTTAAACCAGTGATTAACACAAATGCAAACAAATGGTGTTGGATACAATTTCTAACTTAAAAATAGAAAAAGCAATGAGCAAAACGTCTGAAATAATGAAAAACATCCTACAGCAGCAACAGAAACATCATTTCAAGAATGAACAAGATGGCTCAGATGGTATGCATGCCATTTACTATCAAATGGGAGCAGTGATTCGGGATGACACCTATGCATTTAACCAAGCAACACTTTTTTCCAGTACGAAAAAAAATTTTTATGAAGGTACAATGCAAAGCTGCTGAATCAACACATACAAACACGCATACATATTTGATGATAGTTCGCAAGCGAAGAAAGCGCAGAATCATGGCAACAAAAAATGCCAGGTAACAGAAGTCGCAAATATTTCATCAGTTAAAACTGCTGATGTTAAAATTTCCAACCAATTTTTATCACACTTCAACTATACAAATCACTTAATTAAGGATTGACAAAAAAGTCATCGCGGATGAGCGACACTTCCCGAGATAAAAAGGAAACGGATCTGCGGACATCGGGGTGAAAGGATGGATGGATGAATGAAAATGACTATTGTGAGCAATGGGTGGAGAAAATTTGTGGAAACAAACTACTGCTAACAGGCAATATGTCTCGAGGGAGTTGTTTGCTTCACAAGGTCACTTTTCACCCACCAACAAAAACCCATCCAAATCTGTCATCACCCCCAAAGTATGGGTAGCACCACCAGCACCGCAAAAGCATCAACAGAAAAAATCAGAGGACCCTAGAGAGAGTGTCAAAAAGTGCCAACAAAGCGACAGAAGCTTTTATGAATGACTAATCGACAAACGACCATGTCCATATCACATAAGCATACTCAATGTAGTACTCTCAAGATGCTACAAAACTGAAACTGCTATACTCCATATCCCCGATGACGCCTACCAACGAATTCAGAATATACCAGGAAAAGATTACAAGATCAAACATGTACGCATGATCTAACGTTTTATGCAAATTAAGTTAACAGTGCAATATTAATATTACAAAAAAAGAGCAGAGTCGGTGCTCACATTACTAAATGTATCAGCAAAAAGCAGAATTAGTGCTCTAGATGCTCGATTTCAAAGCATATCTACAGAAATAAGGAAATGAAGTTTAGACTACTTTCTATATTTAAAATATTAAAGATGCATATGCCTCCAAAATTGTTGAATTTTAAATCAAAATTTACAAAATTAGGAATGGTAAAGGCCTTAATTTTATTACAGACTTCAATTAGCTGCAAAGATTGCCGAAATCATTTAATTTAATGAAACTAATCGTTTAAAGTTAGTCTTATGCTTCGGCCTCTAATCTTTATAATTTCAAGACAGCATAAAAATAACTTCAAATGTTGAATTGAATTTGAAAAAATAAAATTACATGCCTGAATGATAACCCATACATCAATGTCTCAGCAATCAAGTGAGATAGGAAGTGGACAGGAAGTTCCAAAAATGAAACATCGTTCATCACATCAAACTTCATCCCTTGATGATACCGGTACTACTGCGACAAATATCTTGTGCAACCATGCCAGATCTCATAAATTTTGAATCACTCTGCTTTTTTTGATTATCGGGGACATCACTAAGACTAGATAACGCTCATTACTTATACCTATCCATTCCCACATTTGAACGGCAAAACTATCCGCTTGTACAATCCTTTTTCCTATAAAGTTCCGCAGTAATATGTCATGCGCAAAACTGCCAAAGATCGATCGAATCAATGCTTCTTTTGATCACAAACTTTTAAATGCATTAGCAATAGTCTCAATTTGCAATAATCCTTCAAGTAATCTCCAGCTTTAAACATTTAATTCTGTTTGGAGACTACAAAGTAGTTACTTCTCATTCAATGCAGCGATTACTTATTTCTCTAGATTGATATTTGAAATTTGACTTTGCGCATGTCATCGTTTCGATCCTTAAAAGTCACCAAAGCCATTCATCTGCTTTTACACTCAGCATTTACAATACCAATATTTCACGAGTATTTCTCGCAGCAGGTACAAGACAAACACGAAAGTTTAAATAACTGAACCAATCAGAATGGTGCTCAGACTGCCCCGCCAATTCATTTCTATATATTGATATTGACTAAATATCATACCGTGTTCATTTCATTCACTAATTCGACGAAGTAGACATCACTTTCCTCTGCAATAAGTTGAGACACAGTTTAACTTGGCCGATCAAAACCTTCCTTAATCAACGAGTAACAGAACAGAGCCTGATTATCACGCGTCCTAAAAGTGATTAGTAGCAAAATTTCCAACCAAAATGAATCAAAATCAAATTCCAGCAAGATTCAATCTTTTTCGGCTTTGTTCTTAAGTCAGTACTATCAGCAGTATATGAATGCGCGAGAATGAGTGAGAACAGTTTATTGGATATAATTGAGCAACTATTTTGTGTAATAATATCATTCTCGTTTTCTCAAAAGTTCGCTAATTTGATAACGAGGCCCTTTGCATTTCATGTTTTCCTTCTTTTGATACTAATGTGATTACTGGAGGAATTGCCTTCTTTACATAAAGACACTAAGCTTGAAAGGGAACATGGATTTCTAATAAATTCCTTTTTCATCTTGATCAATAACACAATAATATACCAAATTAGTAATAAATATCCTTCAAATGATATTACAGGAAAACTCCCAATATACTAGCTGGTATAAATATAGTGCTGAAATGAAATAATTCCTATGATAAACAAATCAACTGACTTACTAAGAGATATACATGCAACTACCCGCTCAAAAGTAGGTTAAATTGAAGAATTCACTACAAAATTTACTGGCATATGCGGCAGAAAAAAAAACTTGGAGAATAAAATTAAAGACATTTGCCATCTCGCATAAAATACAAAAGCAGGTGGTCCAAAGTTCTTAAGAAATAATATAAATAAATACCAGCCTTAATCATGAACTATGTGCAAAAAAAAGAATCATAAAATTAGATCAATGTGCTTTTGCAACGGTCAAAATACAATGTAGGATCATAGTGTAGATTGAAAAAGCTTTACCATGCAATCCAAAATACAATCCAAAAACCAGGAAGGAAATACATGATCTGACAAAATTAGAATTTCTTCCTCGTATTGTAATGAGAACGAAAACGATCTTAATATCAGATCAAAAAACTATACTATATTCTGGTTTGAAAATGAGCATCAAAAATACAGAAATGGACCAAACAAGATATTAAACATCTACATTGGAGTTTTCTATTAAGAAAAACAGTAAAAAGGTCAACAAGCGTTCTGCATTAGTTAGACAAAAAAGAAAGGTTATGCCAGGTTATAAACAAAGAGAAGAAAGATATAATTAAATGACTGGAAAACCATAAATTACTTCAACACCCAGTTAAAAATTGCATCCAAATGTGCTTACCTCTTGGATAAATCCTCTCTCAAAATCATCTATTTTCCAACCAGTACGTCGAATAATTGCCTCGGCTCGTTTTCTTGTTAGTGTAGATAATGCACGGTGTAATAAAATTTTAATACGTATTGGCACTGCCTGCATAAAACGTGTAAATTATCAAAGAGAGTTTCATATTAACAAGAATTTACTTAAGGAAAAAAATGACGTAAAAATATGATATAAACAAACTAAGACAAATATTATTTGGATGAAACTCACACTGAAATGATTTCTAAGTACTTTCGCGTGAAATAAAAATATAGACGTACTGAAATATCTGCACAAAGAAATGCTAATTATAAATGATGAAGACCAATTTCTGAAGAGAATCTTAATTTCAGTCTTAAATTTTTCTTTCATTTCTGTCGTAACAACCAATCAAATGTTTTGTCAAAATATCTAGAGAAAATAAACAACACCTCTCATAAGGCTACCAAACAGCATTTCAAGCAAACACTCCTAATTAAGGATGAGTAAATCGTCTGGAATAAAACAAAATCGAGCACCTGGAAACCGTAAAGTGATGCAAACGTAATGGCTTCGATAAGATCAGTCTGGTCCATCTTACCATTATTATCAACTTCCGCTGCATTTCTGATATCGCTGGGACCAGTTACCGCTGATAAGGCACTGCCTGATAAATCATTTACTAAACCATATTGATTCCGCTTTTGAACATTACCTGCAACAAACAGATCTACGGCCAATATTAACAACCATTTAAGGAATATAATAAACTTCATTAACAGATAATAACTCCAGCTCTTAAAATTTCGCTTATATAAGTACACAATTTCTTTTAAAATGTCATTCTTGCTACCATGTTTCAAAAAGATCTGAAGTGTACTCTCGAAGTCATCAGTAAATCGAAAAAAAAAATTTGAAATAGCAATGCTCCTTTATTCCACATTATCATTCCTCATTAAACGGTAATCGATGTGCGAGGAAATAAATACATATACAAAAACCGTTTCTAAAAATCAGTTGAAGTAAATTATAATACTCTTGTCACTAATTCTCGTAAATAGGCTAAAATAAGCCAAAGAGCTACGGCTAAGTAAAAGCGAGAACATAAAGATCAAGCAGATCACTCTGAATTTCAACTGCAACGTCCTATGGATCCCATCGCTCAGTGATCCTCCTGATTTGCAGATAATAAAATTTTAGATCAGGAAAACACAAAAAGATGAAACACACCAGAAGTAGTGGATGATTGTACGGATTCAGTATCAAGCGTTCCCGAACTACCATTTCTAAACGCTGTATTTAAATGTGGCAGCATTGCTGGTGAAAGCAACATCGAAACGATATAATCCGCTTGTTCTTGCAAGAATTCAGCAGCACTTATCTCTTAACTTTTTAATAACAGAGTAAGATAATATCAAACAATATACAAATTAGCATAATACCTTAAATGCTGCACTTTAATCATAACTGAAGAAATATCTGCAATGTTTAAAGTGATCGAAGAATATGATGCCAATGAATTATATCATATGTAGTAACGTAACAAGAACACTTTTAATACCAGCATTCACAATATTTTAGTTGAAAAATCATAACTGAAGAACACGTTACGATAACCCTCTATAACTCCCAATTTTGCATTTTCACACCTTGAATAACCTCGAGCACCAGCATACTGCTACATCAGATTTATCAACTTGAAGTGGAACAGAAACAACATCCTCAATACCTACGAGTAATGTTGCACGTTTTACAGAGCGAACTATTCACGTATTAAATAATCCGTTTAAGTCTACGTAACTGCAGAAAACAGAAGTGAAAAAGTGAACAAATTCACCAAAGCACAGTGGTTTTCAGAACAATAAAAACTGCGTATGGAAACATACCAGATGCAATATAGTCAGTAAAGGATGGGCAGACTTTAGATTTTACGACTGACATCACTGGGATTACAGACAAGATATTCAGATTGAATGAATGGAATTCACAACTATCGAATATTAGTAGTGACAATGGAAAGATATGATGCAATTGTTGTCATACTGCCTTTCCCATTTCAATGGGTAAATGGTGACGATGTCCATTCATTTATACCCTCCGCGTGCACATAATTTTCAACTCGCCTACGGTAACTTCCTTCTCCCTTCCTTTCTTCTCAGACAACTAACTCACACACACAAGCATACAAACGACAAACTGATACCACCAATCCCTTCCTGCAGCCTATTTAAGTGGCAGGAAAAAGGATGTGACACTCACTGGTAGACATTTATATGCTTACTACCAGCAGACAAGCAGTAGATGTAAAACACACATTCATAAACAAAAGTCCGTAACATTTTCCGGAAGGAACTAAGTCTGGGAGTATGTCAATCAGGTACAGTTGAGTTCGAAATGTGAGGCTCTGATGAAAAGTGACCACTGCTGATGTGAAAGAGACCACTGATGAAATTCTAGTTTTAGCGGAAGCTTTGTCACATCAGTGCTGCTTCAGTCTATCCGCGCTAGTGGACTATTTATCAAGTCGCATTTACCAGACTGGCCTTCATTATAAAAGGGACAAAAATAAAATGTTTCTGTATAAGATTATATAATCAATCAAACGATGTATTTTCATTGTTATCAAAACAAGGAAACTGTTTGATTCTATTTATTTATTGAATAAATGTAGTCTTCTTCAACATTTCCTGAATGACTAAAGTAAGAGTGAATTTTGTAACTGACATCTCCGAATGTTCAACAACCATTTCTAAGCCAACTTGATAATAATGGTCCATTATATATGAATCTTAAAATAGTGGACCGAAATTGCTTAGGTTTTACTTTCATAGAGATAATGTAGCAAAAGTAAGTAAACGTGAAAAGTATAAGACGAACTAATAATTTCACTGTCGAGAGAACAATTTCATGCATTTTTGTGAGTTTTAGAGGGGCCAGTGATCTTTATTTATTAAAACATTGTAAAGAAGAGCCCCGCGTTGGCTTACTTTGAAGTAGTACGAAGATAGAGGACTGGGGAACAGGTGGAAAGGAAGAGGACGTGGCTGTGTGTAGATATGAATGATTGTTCAGTAGCAGATCGGACGGAGGAAGTTTCTGGGTTGAGACAGTTGTCTCCCTTCCAATTGGCTTCCTCCCTGAAGCAGTACCCTGCTCTGGACAGTTGTTGTCCTCTTCCCTGCTTCCACTCTCGAAACGGTCGCCCCTTTCCCTCTCCACACCTAAAATGCCAACGACAAATGTGTACGTATTATCTTATGACGCACAGTGCTGCTTCAGCTTCTTATCATCCATCTGCTACCGACTCCTGTCATACTTGAATCCCACAACCGACAGCAGCACCAACATCTAACCATTCGTCAAATTCCACTCGACCACCGCTTCACTCCAATACCTCCTCAGCAACTTCAACACATGTATGTGTGTGTGTAAATAGTGCATACCAAGAGTGATATAAATGGGTCCAAATGGTGTCGGTACATGGCTTCCACGCAAAGCGGTCCGAAGGATAACATTTATCGGTCCGTTCACCCAGTGAAATGAGTACTTCCACAAAATATACATTCCCCACACCCTTATCTTGGCTTCTCCCGAGTACTGGTGCCCGCCTACTTATTATTACATCTGCGATGAATGATAATAACTAGCCCCAGAGGTTCCTACGCACAACGAACATTGCTTGTCCCATAATTCGTTAAAGTGACATCAGTTAAGAGATAGTGTGATATGTTATGAAAAGTAATGTCATATGCTCCTATTGAGGAACAAATGCAAATCTACCCATTCTAACTTGAAATTCAGAAAAAAAAAAAAAAAAAAAAAAACCGGAGTACAACACGTATTAAACGTTTTCAAAAAATGTTAATATAAGGGATCTCGAACCAAGATGATATCCAAGAAATCAATGATAAATACCTGAACCCAAAAGCATATACTAAATGATGTCAGCAAAAGTAATTTTAACCAGGAAAGCAGTTTTAATCAGGTTAGTAACGGATATTTTCGTTTATAAAATGTTTCAGAATAGATGCATGGAGTTCTGCTTGGTTATCTTTTCTTCTGAATAGTAAAATTTGAGGGAAGTGATGGTGACTGAAATATTGAAGAAGAAATGAGAAGTGTACAATAACTGGATGATATGATAAGGAGAATAACGCAAAGCAAAGCAGAAGAGATTATTTGTGAAGAGTTAGTTGGTCGGTTGGTGGGATAGATAGATAGATAGATGGATTGGATGGAGGATGGATGGATGGAATGGCTGATTATCTTGGACATCGATAACTATCACGACAACAACGACAATAACAAACAAGTCAAGAAGTTAGCCTTTTAGCAGTACGGATTTGTTGTGTGCTATTCTGTTCCAGTCAGTCAGAAGTGATGCAGCAGAAATGATAGAAGTAGAGGTGAGGAATATAAAAAGGACAGGAAGAAGAGGAGCGGCCCGGTGGTGGCTCATATATATTATGTGCTCTCATGGGTGGAGTTCGGTTCGGTAGCCCACCGGGACGACAGCTGACGACAGTCATCGTCCCATAGCCGCAAACCGTCTCATATAAATTGCGAGAGCTATTCGACCGACGTTGCCTGCCACCGATGCTTACTGCTTCCACGGTGTAATGATTTGATGACACTCACAGATTGAATGTTTCACCTCACCTCATCTCACCTCACCTCAGATGTACTTCCTTCCGCACCACCCAATAACACCCTATCGTAGCTTCTTCCTACACAGCAGCCCTCCTTGCTAACAAACTGAATCTGAAGAGCCAATGAGATCTTTTACACATCGCATCAATGACACCACCACTACGCTCCCAACTAAAGAGTGTCAAGAAACACCCACAGCCTGGTTACAAATTAATCTCTACAAATGACTGCACGTGAAAGAATGTCATCAGTGATAATTTCCTGCTTCCAATGGCTCATGATTGCAGCTCAATCTTATTTCAGCATCTATCTGTCTCACTATGTCTGTTCGTAAACACATCCATGCAAGGAAGACCTACCAAATGTGCCTGTGTCAACGTCGTCATCGTCACCACTCCATCCATCCCATCGCTGTTCTCTGCTCAGCTCACTCTTCCCTTTGTCCTACGGTAGCATTTATCATCAGCGCTTGCAATGAATCAAAAAAATGCGCTCGACGTAGTACCACCGAATAACGTCGAATTCTCCGATACTTTCGCACAAAAAACCATTTTGCATATGCCAACATTCCATAGTTTGTGTAAGTAAAGGAAGAGAGGGAAAACGAAGAAAGAGACAGACAGAAATGGAGGAAAAAGGAGGAAAGCTTTGACATGTTAATTTCATTCTACCGAATAGTGTTCATTCAATACGATTCACGTACTTCTAGATAAGACACGTAACAAGTCAAGAAGAACCCTCACATATGCATGTCATTAAATGATATTCTTCACAATTGATTTCTCAACGATTACCTTTCTAAACTGGTACTTTGTCAATAATACAAGAATGGAGAGGAAATGTCATCACATCATCTAAGGTTGACTTTGATGTAACCTATATGACAGCATGTCACTAGAAGTGAGTTGACAGCTTCATCTATTTCATGAAATAGTGAGTTTTGAAAACATGTTCAAACCATCTGCATCTATTTGACAGAATTTACAACCTCGCTAGTAAGTTATCCTATTTTGATAAGAGTTACATATTGTGGCAGTAGGGTAAAGAGGACGCAAGGTGATGGTTAGTATTCATCATATCAACAACAAAAACGGTCTTTAGTGATGGTCATCAAATTAATGAATATCGAGTAATAAGAGAATATGAAACATTGATTGATTAGAGAAGCCGATAAGAGTGATAACTATTAGCATCTCAATATGCACAGTTCTACAAAGAAAAAGAACTAATAAACGTCACGTCTTGCTGATCAAAAGATGCTTCTAATTGAAGTACGAGATGTGCGCCATTTACTGATTTTTTTTGAATATAATTTTAAGAAACTTGGAATTATAACTTTTGCCAACAAAAAAAAAGCATTCCAAAGACATTACAACTACTGTATTTCCAGGTGAAAGTGAAAGGCGTTCCTCTGTTGTAAGGTGACCAGTTGAAATGACCAGTCATAACGACACTGAAATAAATCATTGATACACTGCATGTCTCCGAGAGATTGCTAAATACCCTGAAATTTTTACGAATGAACGAGAGATACACACACCCTCTCAACTGGACAGAAATGCAAAATGACCCTTGTCTATTTCTGCTTACTATACCACATCCTATATCCGCGCATGTACTACCTACGCACACCGCCTACACACACCCGCATACACACACATACATACACACACACACACACACACACCGTACACCATCAGTTGTGCTAAATTGTTGTAAACAAATCACCGTGTCGTGCAGCAAAATGCTCGTTATTATAAACGACATGCAGATAGAGCGTGTACAGCATTAGAAGGACAGCGACGTGTCTAGTCACGCCATAATAATTACGAGAGTGACACGTGAAAATAGCAGGGTGAAGATGTGACCCGGTGTTTCTTTTTTATGAAATTAAGGACCAATAATTATAACACGATTCACATACGGAGCATAATGGAAATCTTCTGAGATTTGGTCTTACCTCGATAATTATCTTAATTTTCACAGACTTTAAGCTCTGATCCAAATTTATTTTGAGAAATGCGTTTTTCCAATTTATTTGCTTACTTTCATTATTTTTACATACTGTCAGAAACGTATGTAATGTGTCATCAATCGTGCGTTGCCATTTACTAAAGCTCATTTTCCATTTCAAATATATGAGAATTTATTCCTGTGGAGAAATATTAGATAACTTAATTATCAGCGAGAAAAATAATTTACAATGATGCAAGTAGGAAAGTTGAAAGAGAGAAATTGGATTCATGATTTACTAATAGCGCAATTGGTATCAGTGAGAGGATGGGATGACTGTACCGCCACTGCAAGTCATACATCTTCCCTCTCTAATGAGCTGTGACGAACCTTAAGAATTGATGAGAGAGGTATCGTTATCTATCATTTTATGAGTTTAAAAAAACATGCAATAATTTGCTTTCAACGACCATTTACATTATTAAATAGCATCAGTTTATGTTCATAATCCATGCGAATCATCATCATTCCTGTTTTCTTTTCTTCAAAACTGACCTTTCGACACACCTCCAACAATTCATTGTCCTTGTACCACACATAGAAAGAGTGTAAACAGGTCCTTCGAGGAATGGCACAACTGTACCAGTAAAATCTCGAATATCAATAACTTTTGGAAGAACCGCTTATTTTGTCTTGATGGAAGATCAAGGGACAAGGATCACACAATCAGAGATTTAGCATAACACTTGATTGTTATGGTTGCAAGCTGATAATCACTGGAACATAAGCAATGATATCTCAAATGTTTATATTTTAAATGTTTAAATTAGAATTGAATTACCGATTCCGAAGAAAAAATATTCAGAATTTGCAACTCTTTTTGATTACTTTTGATGCGGCGACATTTAAGCATAGTAACCTTAAGAATTAAAGAGAAGTAGCCGGGATAGAAAGAGAAGGAAGGAAGGGGACAAAAGATACGAGGAGAAATATACACAACACATACGTACACCACCGACACCACATGGTCACCAGATGAACGTAAAGAAGACATGTTGTGTGGGACAATGTGATCAAATCCAAGCAAGCAAAGCAACTAAATGACACACACACACAGACAGGCAAGCCGGCCAACAGAGGGACAAAAATGCCATTAAGTCGGGTGTAATCGGTTAGTCCCCGTTACTGGCCGACAAATACATAACACACCTCAACAAAAATACAGCATTAGCTAGGAAGAACTAGGGGACCGTCCTTGGAAGAACTAAGAAATCCACAAATACTGCCACTTCTCAAAAAGCGATCTCTGTAGTGCAGATTGACTGGCTAATTGATAAAAATTATTTGTGACAATCGGTCAACAAACTAGGTTTAGGAAGGAAGCAAAATATTATCCGAAGACAAACTTATTTGACTTATTGTTTTTTGCTTTTTCTCTCAAATGATTAAACTCGTTTGTTGTAACTGACAGGGAATTAATATTCCCTACAATTCCAAAAGAAATCAAATTCTCTTACCTCACAGTGGCCTTCCCAGCTGCAATGAATTCATCTGTAAATTTTTTCATCTCTATTTGAAATCTACCATTAATATCTTTGTGATAGTCCTCCAGTGGAATAACTGAAATTTCAGTATCAATAATCAGTCACAATGGACAGTCCGAATGTTTTTTTTCAGCCAAAAGAATTGATCGTCAATTTCTCAAATCGTTTCAAAAGCAATTTTTTAATATTTTCATTATGGTTCAACGATTTTGTTCAGATATTTATTTTAACATGCTATATTTAAACACGAAAATAATCGAATAAATCTGTTCATTATGGAGAAACATCAAGCCTTTAATAGTTAATCCATTTCTTAATAATGAATCATTTTCACAACAACGTCCTTAAATGAAATATCAATTCATCTAACGTAGGTTTTTCCCTACATTGCTTATATCTTTTCTTACAAAACGTCCGATTTACTTAAATTTTTTTTCAGTTTCATCCCATGAGTGGTAAAACTTTGAATTATGCTCCATTTATTTAATTTTTACAAATCGATATGTAATGACAAGACGATAAAGAATAAGCAGATACAAAATTAATAACAAATATCACATAGGCTATACGCAAAAACAACTTACAACCACTAACACCATTAAAGTCCAAAAGCTGCTTTCTGGTGAAAAACTTTCACTTCTAACTAGGATTTGTCTCATTTTTGGGAACTAAAAAAATTAATAAGATACACAGCCGCTGACTACGGATAATCTCATCATTCACGAACATTTTACTGAATGTACGCTGTAGAAGTAACATTACCACCAGTACCAGTCCAATTTGTATGTAAGAATGTACCCGGTTTATCCATCAATTCGTACATATGAGCACCGAAATAATCACGCTGAGCCTAGAAAATTTCTCAATTAAGAGCAAAAGATCTCAACAACGAAGGTAAAACGAAATTCTTACCTGAATAAGATTTGCTGGCAATACTTTGCAACGGAAACCATCATAAAATGCAAGCGCAGTTGAAAAAGCTGGTGTTGGTATACCAAGTAAAATTCCGGCAGCACTAATAATACGCCATGACTCCTAAACTGAGGAATTTTGTCCCTTATGCTACAAAAGTTAATCAAAAATTGCTGACATTCATAGACTCACAATTTAAACGAAAGTTACGGAATTATTTTCACCACGTCTAGAAGACAGAGCTCATCTCGATGAAAAAAAAAAAGATATACGTATTCTTTATAAAGAATTATAATGTACTTAGATCTGAACTTTCATTCGGCAGATTTTATATATAAGCTTTCTTTATGCCAATATGTCGTCTGTAAACCAACCAGAGTAATCCAGCAAACGGATGGGCTTTATCTTGCAATATTTTCATCCAAGTTCAGAACTACTTCATTCATTTCCTTCCGAGATGAAAAGAACACATTATTATTCCAGTCATAAAAGCAACGAACCTGACATTTCCTGATAGCATTTAAGAAGAAACTGTCCATCAACAGATTACTAAGTTTGGGATTCGTATCATAAGCTTTCTTTATTTCACCCAAAAAGCGCGAACGAATAATACACCCACCACGCCACATCAATGCAATTGATCCAAAATTTAAATTCCATTTGAAAACACGGTTTGCTTCCGCAAGAAGCATGAATCCTTGTGCGTAGCTTATGATCTTCGATGCATACAAAGCCTGGATAACTGAGGTTCTTTAGACTGTGGACACAAAACTATTGCAAACTTGAATTAATTTACACACCTTCCTAATGTGCTCGCAGAATGCTTTTCTGTCACCAACAATACCAGCTTTATCAGGATTAGGCCCCGGCAAAACTTTGGCTGCCGCCAGTCGATCATCCTTCAAAGACGATAAACAACGAGCAAAAACAGCTTCACCTATAACAAAATCCATTGTTGAATTATAAGAATTGAAAAGCATGATAAAGTAAAACGTTGGACACCTGAACTATTTAATAGGTTTATCTTAACAAAATTTATATCCAAACACTAAATACAAAGTACCCGGTATTGTAATAGGAAGTGCTTTCTTTCGCGTTTAAATATAAATTACAAAACAAGAAATATATATATATATATATATATATATATATATATATGGAATTTTTGAGGTATGTCATCATAGAAAATAATCCATACAAAAAATCCTTACTGAAAATGATCAAAACTAACCAATCAGCGTAAGTGGTATTCCATAGTTCAAAGCAACAATTCCCGTCCATTTGCCCGTCCCTTTCTATAAGTAATTTCCATGATTCTTAATTTCTTTTTTTTTTTTTTTTACTCCTAATTTTGCAATATAATTGGATATTTTTAGTGATATATCGACAGACTAAACTAGGATAAGGTACTGCTCAAATCCAACAATCTTTAGTTTCAAACCTAACTTCATATAATTATATCAAATAATTTAAGACTTCGACAGACTGCTTCTCAACCATTTACAAGTAAAACTGTTCATAAAAATCTGAAAAAATCAACATACTTGCCCAGCAGCATCTCTAATATTTGGCAATAAAGTTTGCTTATTTTCATCTTTGAACTTAAGAATATGACTTGTTATTTCTATCAGATATGAATCCAATGCGCCTTTGTTCCATTCGGCGAATACCTTAAAGACCAATAATTTCTTCCCTCTCTTTGTGATGGCAACATAATTTTTAGGAAAAAAAAAATCTGACCAAAAAGTTGCGTGGTATTTAACGGTATATTATTTTAATTACAAACTAAAAATGCAAATCTAGCGCTATCAGATGAAAAATGACTTATATGACTGATATACGTGCTCACTGCTTCAGCTCCTGCACATATTCCATTCTCATTTTCTGTCCAGAAAAATTCTCATCTTGATTTGCAGCACTTACAACTGATTAAAAAGAAACATCTTATTAAAACCACAGATCCACAATATATACCAGTACCACAATGACCAAGAATGGCAATTTATAATTTATATGCAAAACTTGTTCAAAGCCTTCTGCTTAAGCGAAAGCAGAAGAAAGTGCTTACACAATATTGGAGGTAACTTACTGAATTTTGGTTCATTCTCTTCAGAATTACAGATTTCCAATGATAGCAATTGAGACCGGTTATAAATTTCACATTTGTTTCAAGTTTCTCCCAAGTTTTCAAGAAATTTCATTAATACAATCTGATTAGACACACTTTTTCGCAACAAATTCTCTAACTTCTTTACTATTAGTGAACAATCTTTTGAAGAATCACAAGCTTATAACAATATGAACTAACATCAGTTGTCCACAACAACGTTTTCGCCTACTTTGTATCAAATATGCATTTAAAACACTGTAAACTACAATAAGTGAAAAAAAGAAATGTACGAACATACTTCATAATTCCATGACTCTATTTCAATCCTTCCTCTTTAATACTACAACCTCAAGTTAAGGAAATACTTACTGAAGCTATGCTTAACTAGTCGCTAGAAAGATGTATCATTTCCAACAGAACTGTGTTACTTCCTATAGTCCATCACAAACCAGAAATACAAATTAGCCGAAAAAAAAAAAATAAAGATTCAATCCAGTCGGTGATACCACCACTACATTTTAGGATCGATAACTGTCGGTAATTCCGAGGTATGTTTTTCAAAAATCGATCCAACCTGACCAAATGTAGTACAATGATCCGAATAAATATTGCATTAAAGGCAATATATATTTAGTTCTACAGTGCACCAATATTGCCATTAATAGAAACACTTCGTTTCTTTCCGCTCACTATAATCAATGTAATAGATGGAATTTTTCATAAATAATCAACCTGAATATTATACACTTCTTTGTTCTTGGCTGATATTCTTTTCGGCACTACAATGCCTTAATATTTTCAACTTTCCCGAACTGATGAATCCGTAAAGTTAAGACATATTTCTTACAAATTTCTCTACACCTGACATTCCATTAAAGCATTTTGATTTCAACGTTCCAACATGATTCTGGGTTTTCACGTAAAGGATTTAAATTGAATTATTCACAAAGCAATGGAGAGAGGAGTCCTTAGCAGACTTATTGGATGACTCGCATCCATATCCACTGAAAAATTATTCCCTATAATTACTGATTCGATTTTGACAAACTGCACTATATGATCAAAAGTTGAAAGTTGATCAGTAATTCTCACTTCTAACTATACAAAAAGAAACTTGTTGAGATCGATATCAACAACTGCTTCTATCCGTGGTACATTGCAAGTTTCAGATGGTATTGTAATGCGAGCCACGAGCTTTCTTCCTTTTTTCTGAAATGCTGACCTATCAGCTTTGGAAGAGAATTCTACCCATAACAATAAACTTTTGTAACGGCTTTATAATGAATTCGCAGATATAACTGAAGATTTTGATATCTTTCCCAAATAGTCGGCAATAAAAATTCCACACAGTTATCAAAGCAAGATTCTCCTTATTAAAAGCTTGGATTTGAAAGACCTCCTTTCGTTGAACAATAGTTTGACAAGTGCATTCTCGTCATGCCATGATACAACGAGCAACAATACTGTTGAAAACTTTTTTTTTTGAATGAGAATTGTGTAATACATGCAGACGTAACCAGTGAAATCGATAAACTGAATGATGGCGACGAAGATATGCACCCACATATATATTCACTCATGCCATTACCAAAGTGGAAGCGCTTTTAACGCTATCCTGAACAAAACTAAGAAATTTGATAGTTTTAAAAGATCACCGAATTTTACTTTACCAAAATCTGAATGAGTTCTTAAAGCAACTGCGAACGAAATCCAAATCTTCCACGCAATTTATTTCATCAATATTGCTCACTGTAGTCATAGAAAAACTGCAGATTGAAATAATACTGTCTTGTATATTTTTGGTCATCGGAGTTGTTTCTTGCATTCTCTAATGATTTTTTCTAAGTGAAAAAATCGAAAAATACTGCGCTTACTGATAATTAATGTAATCAAAATGAACAATCAAAAACATAACGAAATGTTAAAAGCTTTGGTCGATTTGCAAATAAAACTGAAAGCGACTGGAAAATACCGTGAATCAAAATTACCCCCATTAAATGAAAATTAAATGAAAAATGAACCACTAAATCAAAAGAGTCCAAATAAAGCGAAAAACAAGAGATAAACTAGAAGATTCAAAAATAAAGATAAATAGCTCATGCTAAGAAGATCCATAACTGTCAATACCATGAACATTATCTCAAAGTCCCTTACAAGAAAATATGCAATGAAAAAACGCAAACATAAATATAACTCAAATAATTATTGATCGATGCGAAACTAAATAAATTCCAGACCGCAATAATATAAGACGCGATTAAAGCACTTAATGAAATTTCACTAATATAAAGCAATCAGACTATTATAAAAATAACATGATATAAAGCAACATCCATGAAATGTTATCTGCTCTGGAAATGTGCTTATTAAAATAACTAACAATAAGGAATGCTATAAAAGCCAAAAATTATTTGTTGAAAGCTAAAAACCAAAAATTTTGACTGACCTCTGCCATTTCATCATGTGTTAAGTCGGCTCCGTCCTTCAATAGACTATACGCTTCTGCAATCAACTGCATATCACCATATTCAATTCCATTATGAACCATTTTCACGAAATGTCCAGCACCATTTTCACCAACCTGAAAATATCTAAATGTTCAACTGCTAATCACAAATATGCCTATGTACAACTGCATTTTGGCATAGTGCAAGTAAAATAATTTCACCCAGTCACAACAAGGTTCGTTGTCAACTTTAGCTGCTATTGCTTGGAATATATCCTTTATATATGGCCAAGCTTCAGCTGAACCACCTGGCATCAGTGATGGACCATGACGTGCTCCTGAAAGCAGGTGCTTCAATATGCAATAACAACTAGCACAGTCTACATTCATTTGGTCCATGAAAATCTTTTCTGGTCCTCAAAAACTACACGAAACGGAGATTAAAACATTAAGTATATAAAAATGTGACAGAAATGAGACACCTTCTTTCTCTTACCTTGTTCAGCCAGTGAGCAAAAGTAATCTCACCAAATTTTACATAGCGGAACATGAAACTGTAAATCTTAAAACGGTACCTTCCTCACCACCACTTACACCGCAACCGACGAAACGAATATTCTTCTCTTTCAGTTCGGTGCAGCGTCGCTGCAAAAAAAGATATTTGGAAAACTTTATTTTCGACCTCCCCATCCAAAGTACTAAAATGAATATATATGAGTCATCTAAGCTTGCAAAGCCTTTTATTTTCTTTGATTGAGTCAAGTCAGAACTTTGCTCATTCAACTTGCTTCTTTCTTTTGTATGAAACAAATCAGTTACAGAAAGGAATATAAACTAAAAGTAGGTAAAATGAAAGAAACCTACTGCTGTATCCGTATATTCACTATTTCCACCGTCAATAATTATATCACCTCTATCCAGAAAAGGCAAAATGCTGGAAATCATTGCATCCACTGGTTGCCCTGCTTTTACCATCAACATTATACGTCGTGGTTTCTTTAGAACTCTGACATAAAGAGCTTTAAATACACCTCAAATGAAATAACTTCTACTTCCACATGAAATAACTCTATTTTTCAAACCCAAAATATATTTCATTATCCAAATTACAAGTAATTCCGAAATTATTCTTTTAAAAGTTGCATACTTACTCAGCTAATTCCGACAAACTATGTGCACCAAGAGCCCGTAAACCCTTTCCTTCATTCGCCAAAAAATCATCCACTTTCGATACAGTTCGATTATAGACGCATACCTTTAACATGACATGAATCAAAAATATAGTTGCTCAGTCGGATAATAAAATAGTAATAATGGTAAAATAAATATATCATAATAAAAACAAAAAATAATAATAATAACATTGGTAATAGTAGTAATAAATAAGTGATAAGTAATAAATAATAAAATAAACAGTTTATCCATGTTCCCGATTTCATCATGACACTTAGTTCTTTCCACTCAAGGTTTATGAAATACGCTAAAAAAGCATATATCTATAATGTGTGATGTGACATCGAGAATTAAACATAGAACACGAAGTTATAACTAACCACGAAACCTTTCTCAAGCATGTTAAGAATCAAATTTTGCCCCATCACGGCGAGTCCAATCACCGCGATATCAGCTTTATCCTTCTCATCAAATGACATTCTCACAGTTCTGAAAACCATTTATAAACACTTAAAATACTAAACTTACAATACAAACAAAAGGACTATTACACTTAGATTGAAGACCATTTCTTCCAGCATCCTATTTTATGTCACGCTGACAATATCGTGCAATGAAAATTGAATCTTCTTTGAATTTAAAACTATAAATATGCCAAAGTTATTTCCTTTTCAAATGCTGTGACGCTCACAAGATTCTACATAAAGGAAAAGAACAGTGAAGAACGAATGGAACAGACATAACCATAAGTCAAACATCTTATTGAATTGCACATCTTTACAACACGGAATAGAACAAGCATGATTTAAATCTCCTTGTTTGCATTATTTTCTGTCATTTTTAGATATATATTTAAAGATGTCAGCCATTCGTTCACACTACTAACAATGTGATCTCTCGCTTTTGAAGCTTTCCTCTCTGCTAGGAAAAGCAAACAGTAATTGCCAAGAAGAAATCTGCAGGTGCAGCACGATCATACTGAAAAAGCTTTGTATAAAATAAGCAGCATGATTAACCAAACCTAGTTTTACTGACTGCCCTGTCAATTTCTATCATCTTATCACTGATAGTAAACAGATAGCATAATTTGTAAATGTTAGTTAGGAGTTGGGACTTTGATCTTTGAAGAAAGCCACAGATTATTAGGACAAAAGAACATGCACTAGAAGTCGCGCAGCTTACAATTTTCAAAAATTATTAATTAACAAGTCATTTGGTGTTAAATTTGAAAGAAATTTCCTCTGCTAACTTTATAATGTTACTATACAAAGGAGATAGAAAAGGAAATAGATTTAATCTTTTAATTAATATTTGTCAAAAGACTTTGATCGTACGAAAATGGTTGGAAAAATATACATAAATAAAAGCAATATAAAAAGTGCAATCAGTCGAAAAAGAAATGGAATAGAATCGAATAGCGTCCAGTAGAACGGAACAGGACAGGATATACAGGATAGAATAAGAAACATATAATTTAGGATTGGGGTTAGAGAATGATAAATACAGAGAAAATTAGTTAATGCAGGACGTTACTTAAACTTCTTCCGATCATTCCTGTAAACATTCCCTTACTTCCAACCAATAATCTAGACGAAACAGAAATAAGGATCGATTTTGATAAAATTGCACAATGGGGACGCATTAAACGTAGCCATGGTTGCACTGCTCATCAGCAAAATGAGTGGATTGCCTGTTTTGACCTGAGTTTCAAAATGTACTGTTTTTACTAACTACCATGAGTTAACGTACGTTGACATAGCTTATGGACAGTCAGATTTACATCTACTTATGCTTAACAGGTAATGTAATTCAACTATGTCTATGGCGTGTAATTTTAATATTTCAGAATATTCATCGAACTGACTAACGTCGGAAATGCTGGTTCGGAATGGCATACCGAACAACATCACATCGAACTACAACATTACTGCTAATAATGAGGAAAATATCTGTTCTTTATTGTTAAAAAGTGTGGATGATGAACGAGTTGATGTATTACGGTCTCTTCTTGAACAGATCGGTTAATTATGCGTAATTCCTTCCTTAAAGTTTATTAGTCGATTTCTAAAGAGATTTACAAAGTGCAGATGCATTATTTGAAGCTGTTGCCTTAGTATTGGAACTATCATTACCGTTGAAGGATTTTTTTTAGTAACATCAGTGATTACAGTCTCGAAGTCAAATTTTCACGAGCAAGTAAATCAGATATGTTATAATGGAGGGACGGTACTACATCATGCAGTAGTTCGAAGTAACTATTTTTCCAATCATTTTTAACCTATTATTTATGCAGGAACTTTCTCTTAATTTTATAGTGACAAGTTATTTAGTGACATAATTCTAACTTCTATTGTGTTTTTAAACTTAGAAATAGTATACTTTGCAAAAATTACTTATTTTTACAACCATGTTGCAAATTTTACTTGATATTTTAGTGCTGTAGATACAACTGATTTCTATTAATTCCTACAAAATGTTAAAAAACACGAAGATTTTTTTGCTAATAACAAGTTCATAGATTCGGTGGATAGTGTGCGGACGTTGCTATCAGCAGGTGTAAACCCTTGTGTCCAAAATGACAGTAATAATACAGCGTATCGGTTGGCGTCCTCAGAAGAGGTTAAGAATGCATTCGTTCAAGAATTATTGCAAGCCGTTGCCCAGTCAAAGTTTGTTTTTCTTGTAATTAACTGTTGTCTAGAATAAACAGTCATTTTTTTCATATACATTTAAAGCATTGCTTGTTGTAGTTTGGGTCGAGTTTGTCAAATGATATCCGCTGGAGTTAGCGTGGATTCGATTGATACCGTGAGTACTGGCAATACTGCATTACACTGGGGTGCATCTTATGGAAATGAAGATGTCGTGAGGTTGGAAACTTAATTTTAATAGGAATATGTCTTAAAATTGTGTTTTTCTGTTTTTAGAAACGAAGATTAAGGTAATTTGCGTTATCTGAAATAATGTTTTAAAGTCGTGAATGACTCGTGTAATTATGCGTTGATCTAGGATACTGTGTCAGAGTGGAGCAAATATCAACACGTTAAATACGAAAAATGAAACAGCATTACATGACGCAGTACGCCGAGGAAATGAAGCCGTCGTAAAATGTTTGCTAAGCTACGGAGCAGATCCAAGTATTAAGAATAAAAGTGGAGAGGACTGTTACGAATTAGCTGCAAAAATGGGAGGAACTATGTTGCCTAGCTTGAGTTTGAATACGTAATTTTTTGTACCCATGTTTAAATTCTTCATAATAATTATTTGATTATTTGAATCTTCTTACTTGGAATTCTAAAATTTAGTTTAATCGTATAATTCAATCTTCTTACTTGGAATTCTAAAATTTAGTTTAATCGTATTATAGATAAGCCACAACTGTAGTTCAGTATTATTAATGACTATACTCCGTCTTAGTTTTTATAGATTTCATAAATTATACTTTTATAGATTGAACCGTAAAATTCGTCGTACGACATCCATAGAATCAGAAATTGATCGCTCTTCTTTAATATCAACCGATACAACGACGTTTGTAGAAAAAACGTCAAATTATAGCGCTGGTCGACTAGAAAACTGGATTGACTTATTATGGCCTCAGCCAAAATATATAGATCTAGATGAAAGGTATGTAAAAGTCAATCGTTACTTGAATGTACTCTGCTGTAGTTTCCACAGTTTTAACCAAATGTTTGTTGTGCAGGGATCGCACTTGCCCATATCCAAAAGATGGTCGCTTAAAAATCTATTTTGATAAAGCTAGTGAAGCAGAACCGCGACGTTTAATGCAAATAATCCAGATGTCAGCACCTATACTTTCAACTGTTCATCTAGAATTGGATTATAGGGGTCATGGAGTAAGCTATTTTCGAACGATTTTTTGGAATTTAAATTTTAGCTAATATTAGCAGAGTTACTGTATTTCATCCAGTTAAATATCGTACAAGTATCGTTATCGAGAGAATAACGATCGATTATCTGCAAAAGGAATTGAAAAAGAAAATCAGCGGGTTGAAAACACTGTAACTGAGTCATCTTAGTGGTTTTAAGAATGACGATGGCACTACGCGAAACATTTGTAGGTTCGAGAGCAGTCTTCTTTAGATGGCCGAATTACGTGTGGTATTTTTAAAAATGGCTGTTGTTCTGGTGCATATACACTGACGATCGATGAAGATGGCATAGAAATATATGGAGAAGATCCTACCGGTGTTCGCCATGGTTTTTCCACTCTTGTACAAATACTGAGAATCTTTAAAGAAGGTTCTGAGGTCCTAATTTATCTAGTTTCTGATTCATTCCCAAGATTCTTGGATATTTCTACAAGGTTTCTTTTAAATTAAATATATTAAAGTTCGTTATATTAAATCACTTTGTGGATAGTGGTTCTTAATTATACGTTGTTACTTGCAAGCTTCAATATTTAGAAAAAAATGACAGATTTATATTACGAATAAGATATCGTATTGTACGGTTCTTTTGGTAACTAAACATTTTTCAGATTGTTAATTCAAATACCGAAACATCATTAATAACACTGCATGAAACACTGCCTGAATCTACAGCAAAGATCACTGGCACTGTAAATAATGAACAACCAAAGAAGATCGGTAGGTTTTTATTCATTTTCTTGTACTTTCGTGTGAGAGGGGGATGATGGTAATCTTTTGCTTTTTACAGGTGCAATACCCTGTCTAACGATTCGTGATTCTCCAGACTCATGCTTCCGAGCTGTTTATCAGGATTTTAGTGGCTGCAAAATACTGAACACAGAGACTGTAAGATTTTATTTCACATGAGTTTTGTTATCAAAATGAAGTCAGAAAAAAGTTAATCCATTTTTATTCAGCTTTTACAACTTGCTACTCGTATTGGTTATTGTAAAGCGAGTCATCTATTCGTGAATTTCGAAGTGCGGACCACCGATCGTTATCAATTGCCTTATACAACTCGAGATTTGTTTCAGATAACTCAAGTTTGTGATGAACTTTTCATTAAGGTTATTGTTTATCTCTTATCATTTAATGAATAACTTTTGATTAGATGTCATTATGATTATGCTGAAACTCGTATTTGAAAAGTGATTTTTTGAGTATGTTTTGGATAGCAGTTTTAAGAATGAAAGAATCAGAAGCCCTCATAACTGTCTTTGAATGGATTATAACCAAAAAAAAGTATCTTGTTATGATTGCTACATAATTAGCAATGATTATTTTTTCATATTCAAAAGCATTGGCATATTTTTCAATCAGTAAAATATTTCTTATTCATTGGAAAGCATTGCCAGAGAGATTTCACTATGTTTTTACATTTTTAAAATTGTTATCATGCAATTTTATCGTACTTTTTTAGTTTGTGCCATCGCTTGATGTTCAGTCCAGTTATATTGAATTAGATTTGGCCTGGCGAACTATCGATTCGTTTCTGGATGACTTCCCACTCACAAAAGTTGTACATTTTGGTCCAAATTTGGCAGTTATGGTAATATCAAATCGAACAATTCTAAATAATGTGCAAAGAAGAATACCAAAAATATATATTTCAGTGGATATCGATAAAAATAACGCCTCTTTGGTAATTTTCATATTTGCAACTGGAAATCAGATCTGAAGTTCCGATTCAAGATATTGGTTTAGCTTTTACAAAATATTTTCAGATCAATCATTTGCCACCGTTTGTTACAATTTGTGTGGAAGGAAAATATCCATTTGAGGCTGAAAATTTGCTTTCACCACGTCTAAATGTTGTATTACGATTTTCAACAAGCGATCCTGGTTTTCTTTGTGCTGCTCCTGAATCTGTAGCTAAGAAAGCCTTACTTGCTACTAGATTAGGCAACAAGTTCCCAATTTTAGGCTAGTTTTTAAATGTTTCCTGCTTATTTGTAATATTTATTGTTAAATAAAGGCACATTTTCCCGTATCTCTGATTAGGTACAATGGTGTGCGATCTATCAACCGGCTGCGAAGTAATGCCACCATCACTATCATATATGTCTGAGTTAGCTTCATTAGGCGTTTGTTGGAACAAATCTGTTGATGTAAAACGTTTTTGTTTCTTGTTGCCTCGAATAACGGCGGAACACTTTCTTTTGGATGGGTGAGTTAACTAGGCTTTCAACAATTGATGGAATTCATAACACAACAATTTTAAAGCTCAGAAAATTCTTCGAAAAATAAAATATTTGCATTTAAAGTTTTCAGTTTTTTGTGTCTTATATTCTGGCAGGTGCTTATTTTGAAACATACTCCGTGCGTAAAATTGTGTTCATTACATCAGTGGTTCTTGCAGTAATATGGAAGCTTTGTTCAAGCAAATGTCTACGGTTGGAAAAGTTGAACATGAAATAACACGATATAGTTATGGCTTAAAAGTTACTGAAAGCAGTATGTTCACATTTTTTCATAAACTTTCTTTAAAGCAGGAAAATAATTTTTGCTTTAAATTTTCATTTTCTCTAACAGCTTCCTTTTTCTTAGACATAATAAAGGAATAATAAAAATATAGTGGCATAAAAAGTTTTCTAAAACTGATTAAATAGAAAAATTTTATTTGGACAGGAGAGATATCTTTCTTGCTGGCCAATAAACAGAAATCGAAAACAATTCTCGATTCTATTTACAGCTGAGGAAGTGCAAGAGCAGTCACCATCACCGTCATCAAACAAGAAGAGACCAATTTCAGTATTTGTAGAAATGATATTAAATCCAGATAATATGGTTTTAGAACGACTTACTCCGGTCATTTTCAAGGTACATATTATTTAGATTTGTAAGCGACTGTGGTTGAAGGAGTATGATACTGTCATGTTTGTTTAACAATTATAAAGGAAAAATTTTCTTAATAAATTGAACAAATTTTGCAGAAAGCACGGATAGAATTAAAACGTAGTTTGAAAATATTAGATCGAGCAAAAAAACATCTCCCTTATAACTATGAATTGGCACTTGTGCTGGCCGAAATACAAATTATCACCGAACTTATGGTTCTTGCTTGCAAGTTGGTTTATTTTTATGTTTTGAAAGGTTTAATTTTAAAATCATTTAAAAGTTTTCGAAGCTATATTTATTTGCAGATTAGGCCAGTCGCTTTGCACGTATGGCATTAACCCATCGTTATCACCAAAGAATCAAAAATCCTCATTTTCACCTAGCGATAGATTGCTCCAAGAAACGAGTCTTGTTGGTTATGAAATGGTTAACATTGGAGTGTCCAATTTACCACCAGTAGTACGCACTGATCTTGCTAATAGGTTTATTTTGTTTACATCTTTGGATCAAATTATTCGTCAACAAACTATCCATTATTAATTATCCGTTCTTTTTTTTTTTGAGATAAGTTGTTGAAAATCAAACTTTTTTCGTAATATTTTCCGGAAAAATGTTGTAAGTTGAATGCGATTCGCTTTGCTAATTCCATTTACTTTTCCAGACTTCTTGAAATTCGCAGCCGTTTCCAGCACACGTGGCTATCACGAAACATTGCGAGTACTCTTCCAAATGCTCTAAAAATATTCGACAATCTTTTTCGTGCATTGCTTCCACCAAACATGCAGGATTATGGGAGGAACTTGCTTTGAAATTTTAAATATGACAGTGTTGGTTCCGGAGTTTATGTGAAGTTTGTCCGTGATTTGTTGAGATACAAATACAGATTGCATTATTAATTTTTTAAAAAAAAGGTGAATCTGCGCATTAATTCGTGTATTTGTTATGTGTGTTAGACCTTTGGATTCTAAACTTTTGGAATTCTAAATTATTCACCTCACATTCTTGGAATTTTAAATTATCTTCTGTTTGCGGAATATAAATTACTTTATATTAATATATCAATCTGTAATATTTTCTAACAATTACTTTTATCTTCTCAGTTCCTTTCGTTTCTCGGAGTTTTCTGATTCTGTCTAGAGTATTTGCCTAACACAGATTTTGCTTAATTGCATTCTGTGTTATATGTGCCTAATTTGTTATCGGTGTTTTTGTTGGGTTTAATTATTAATTTATTAATCAGCTCATTCATGTTACAAGATGTTTAGTAATCTCAATTTTTTGTTCACTACCTTGTATTTGGACATTCCTTCTTTTTTGAGAAGAAAGAACATTTTGATTTCAAAAAATTGTAATTATTAAACAATCATATATTTCGTCTTCCAGCACAGTATATTTCCTTAACCGTGTGTTGGTCAGATGTTTATATCATTTATCAGGTGGTTACTATTTTGGTAAATAACTTATTTGTTATTATCTGTTGGAATTATGCGTTAATTCAAAAATACCGCTGTATTTTTTATCGTTGTAGTCTGTTGACTTCAGTTATGGAGAAACTGATGTTAAATATTAGAAACGAGTCTTACATTAGAAAATCTCGTTCTAAGAATAGTTTTAAGAACGTTTAAAATTAAGAATATTTGAGATCTTAATTCTTTTACATCTTTTGTTGTAAATTTTTTTTCTTTTATTGTCCATTATGTCCCAACTAAGCTAGGGTAAATGGGGCCTAAACTTTTGCTGTAGAGTATTCGCGTGCAAAAAAAAAAAAAAAGAAAAAAGAGAAAGAATCTTCCTTTGGGTAAATACATATTTTAATCCTGGTCAGGAAAGTGCGGAAGTGACTTTTATTGCCCTAGAAAGAAGTAATAATTTCTGTTTGGGATGTATATTTTAGGTTATGAATAGAGTTTATGAAAGCTGTAATCTTACTGTTAAGGAATCAGTGAATGAGCTCAATGATATGAGAGTGGAGATGCGATTCCTGTTAACAATTTTGACTGATATCTGATCAAATCTTATTTGTTCTGTTTTATAAACCTAAGTAATTTTATTTCAGCCTTTATAGCACGAACGATGTCAATTTTTGTGGAGTTAAAAAGTAAGTTAGATCAGGCAATAACTGGAGTGAATCGGTATAACCCAAATAATGTTGAAACATTAGAGAGTTGCATTGAAGCAATGGTACAGGAAAACCAATATGACAAAGATATACTGGTCACCACGCTAAAACTTTATCAACTTAATCCCGATAAGTTTGTTTTTTTTTTCTTCGAAGTATTGTTTGAGTGATTTTATGTGTTAAATTTTACTTACCTTATAAGTTCTGAGAGGATGTTCAAATTTAAAAAGTTTTTCACAGAGACGAGCTGTTTTCTGTTGACTTTTTCACCTGTTATTTATAAGCGAGAAGTCGGCTATTTTTGATGATTGGCATAATTAATGATGAAAAATAAAAGATGGAAGTCGGGACTATATGGTTAGTGACGAAAGGGATAGAATGATTATGTCTGATGATCTCATTTGATTAGGATTCAGAAACCTAGTCATGAGGTAATCACCGTTGAGGCTTTGAGAACTTATTGAAATGTCACAAAAAAAGCAAATGAGGAAATGAAGTTTCATATCAGGTATAATGAGAGTGTAGTGAAGCTGATATTGTTGAAAACAATGATGATGGCTCCGAAAAGTGATTATGCTCTCGCAAAATATCTAATTGATTCCAGCCGAGTTGGTTCACCAGTAAGTGCCCTATGTCACTCATTATTTGCTGTTCTGAAAATTTCGTAACAAAAATTAGCAATATGGTTCTTTTAAATATAATTTTAGGAGCTTAAAAGAATATTTGACATTGGGGCTTTGTTGGAATCTTGCAATTTCGCTGTATTTTGGCGTTTGATGCGAGGGGATTATCGACCACTAGATGATGTCAATGAACCATTTAGACAGCCTGGAGAAATTCCTAAAATCATCAAGGCAGTACCAGGATTTGAAGAAAGTGTGCGAAATTGTACGTTTTTAATCTCGCTTTCCGATAAGAATATTTTCCGGTATCTTTTAAAGAAATTTTTTCTATAGACTCTATGGGAGGATTGACATATTTAAAAAATTTTTAACAATTTTAAACGCTTTATTTGCAGATGCATGTCAAGTAATCAATGTTACTTTCCAGAACATTGAAAAGTCTCTTCTCGTTCGCTTATTAGGCGGAGTTTCTGGTGAGTTTCATTTCTAAAATTTTTGCTGTTACTGTTTTCTTTTCAAATAAACTCGCTTGATAAGTACTCTGTACTTGTAAGCATGAAATGATAATTATGAGACACCATGTTGTTATAATTATGCTCTCCCTTACTTATCTGATTATCTGATTCCAGTGTGACTCATTCATGTGACTTCTAACATTCTGAAATCAGCAGATTGTTTTGGTTTTGTCTACTTTTTTGACGGTAGTCTTTGGTCTTTCTTATGTTCTGAGCAATTTTTCAATCAAATATAATCTTCAAGAAAATGGCAGAGATATATTTCAGATAAGCAAGTAAATGAATATGCTCGATACTATGGCTGGATACCGAAAGAGAACGGTGAAGTGTACTTCGTGCAGAATCATGAAGCAACAATCAAAAGTAGAAACATTGAAGAGAAACTCCAATTTGACAGTAGGTTTTTTCATTTAGAATCAACTTTCATTTTGCTTTAACAAAATACTTTGGTTTATTTAATGTTATTTTCTATATTTTCGCCGTGTTCTCACCACTTAACCTCTTAGTGCCTTAAAGTCTTTATTGGTTCTCATGATATTATCTGATGTGATGTTGCCGCAGATTTCAACATTATGTTTGTTAAAAGTACTTTGATTCCAAATTCGAGTTTCATGAATCGTCAAAATTGTTTGGATATAACATTGGCAGTGATGATTTATTGATCAACGAATAATGAATTTTTTTGGTCATTCCATTCAGATTCGAATAAAATAGCACAAATTTTGCAGCTTGTAAAGATTTGTTGCGGATGTGTTCTTGATTTAACAGCGATGACGACAAGCCGTTATTATGAATTTCCAAATTTCCAAATCGTTTTGTTAATGTTTTTGTCATTCTGTAAATAAACTTTTTTTTTTTTCAAAAATTCAGCTTATTGAGACTTATAATAAGAAATGTTTTGAAAGAAAAATCAGAGCAGTGAATAGTTCTCTAGAATTTGGTTTTTTTTTTTCAGTTTTATTCTCTTTAATCGCAGAGAATGTATAACAAAAACTGTGAAAAGGAGTGGGAACAATAAACAACAAAGTTAAGCATAATTTGTACTGCGTCTCAACAGTATAATGTTTCCCTTGAAATTCTCTTTCGTAAAGGTAAGGTAAATAACATCATAGGCTTATAGAAAACGACGGACTCGTGGCTCGGTTTGAACATATTAAATTGTTTTACAATTATTGAGCGGTGAGTTCCTTGTCAAAAGTTTTCGAAATATCCGGTGAAAATCTAATATCAGGTGAAGATTTGCTGGACACATGCAGGTAAATCCCATCCCTTATGCGCATAGAATTTCACTTTTGTTAGAAGAGTATGGAAGAGCCGTATCTGGAAATAAGAGTGTATTAATTCGGAATTACGTACTTGAATTACTTCTGAAATTCAAGAAATGATTGCAATTCAAGTAGGACAACAAAGTAGTGTGAAAATGGAGTGAGGGTCACTTAGAGGGCATTTGGTTTAAAAAGTTCTTCAGTTTCCGAGAAAATTTCATCGACAATATGATTCTTATATTGCGTGATTTTCCAAAAATTCTAGTTTTAGTGATGTCAGAGTTCAATTGCTTCTTATTTTATTCTTGGAGAAACAATTGTGCAAAAACAATTTAGAGATTTCAGGATAAGTGACATTTCAAGATAAGAAGGTAAGAATAGGTCCGTATGATCGTAATGGATTAGCATCAGTATTTTCTTTACTATTGATTATAGCATTGCTATCGTAAGCTTTTAAAATTATCATTAGCTAGATTTTCAATTGTATGATTATAGATAATACTACTAGTTTTTCTTTAATTTTCATTCACTGAGTAGATTCATTCAACCTATAAATGGTAAGAATAAAATTTCATCACTCAAAGAATAAATCATGATTCTTAATCATAAAACAAAACACAATAGTTAGTTGATTAATGAGATGCGGAATTTTTTCATGATACTGTCTTGTGTTTGAAAATATTCGGGAAACGATACTAATTGGAAGATTCATTTAGGAAAGAGAATCAAAAATATACATCGTCGGAAAACACTATCGTGAAAAGGGAAAAATGCAACTGTTACGATTTCTATAATTAGATGCATAAAGAGTTAAAGATTTTAGAAAAAAAGTTGGAAAATCAGGAATGAAATTCAAGAAGTTAAATCAACTTAAAGACAAGCATTGTGTACAGTCATTAAGTAAAGGAATGAAATGAGGCTCTGCACTTCTAGCAGGAAAGCAAGAAAGATTAAAGCTAATCGAGTTGAAATTCTCAATTATATAATAGTACTTTTTCCTTCCGCATTCAGTTGACGTTTAACCAAGTCAAACATTACATCAATGGTTGCTTCTAAGTCATACATTGGCTCCCAATTCCAATCCTTCTTTGCACTTGTATCATCCAACCTTTTGGGCCAAGAATCAGCTGCAATTTCTTTTTCAGTAAAATAAGTGAAATTGTGGCAAGAATTTTAAAAAAAAAACAAAATTTCTTTTTTGAATAATCGAATCCTTCTGTCTTGTTGTAACTAATCGAATATGATGAATACATGAAAAAGTTTGAAAACAACCATATAGATAAGACTAACCAATCTTTTGTCTGATCGGACAAACTTCATATTCGATTTTGAAATTTGGCATCACTTTGCAAATTGCTGCTGCAATTTCGTGCGGTGTAAACGAGTAACCCGTAACATTATAAGTTCGATGTGTTAATTTTTCACCTGGCACTGATAAATACTGAAACCTTCAGATATTTCATTTCTTTAAAAATTCAATTTAATTTGAGCGTAGGTAAAATATAGTTGAAAGCAAAATATCGTTAACACTAACATAACCATTTAAGAAGTAATCAGTAGCGGTTAAAGCGCGTTAAAAAGAATTATATGTAAAAGAACGATTTTTGAATAGGAAATAAGCATGAAGATGTATCAGTCTATTTTTGTATTTATGGACTAACACATCGATGAAATATTTTCGATTACTGGAAGAAATCTTGAACTCACTAAAATGACAGATGTAATGCAATCAGCGTAATACATCATTGGTAATCGTGAATTCGGATGCAAATAACACTTATGTTTTCCATAAATTAGTGCATCATAGAATATTTGTACAGCGTAATCTAAATTTGATTCAGTAATTTAAAAAAAAACTCTGATAAGGGATATTATGAAGTTGCACATTTCAGACTATTTCATTTTACAAACCCACCAGTTGTACCGCCTCCCGGTTGCGTAGCACTAATAATGCCTGGGAAACGTAATGAACGGAAATCAACGCCGAAACGTTCATTGTAATATTCACCAAGAAGTTCGGCATATACCTTAATAAAAACCATCATATTCACAGATGAAATTTATTAATGATTGAAATGGAAAAGCAGAATTAGCCCAGTCATTGTTTCATGAATTTGAGAGAAAAGTTATTGGTTTCACTAACCTTAGTGACTCCATATATTGTACGCGGTCTTTGGATGCACAAGTCGGGGGTATGATCGAGGGGTGTTGTCGGACCAAATGCACCAATACTGCTTGGGATAAAAATTTTTGCTTTGTGTTGTCTAAATTTAGATAAAAATTTGTTTTGTGTCTAGAAGAAATAAAATGTTGTTTGAATCTAACATTTAGTAATAAGCAAATAACTGGCGAAAAATTCTCTCTATGAAAGACTCTAACATTTTGAATTTCTAACTCAAAAGAATGTCAAATACAAGATAATCTCAAGTCTGTGACAAGAAGTTTCTTTCTATTCTCCAAGAAATGTGCAAAGCAGCAAAGTAATGAAATGATTTCTTCAACCAAAAACCAACCTGGCAACTTCCAAAATATTTTGCACTCCTTCGACATTTATCTTAAGTGCCAACGGAACATTTGCTTCGCCAGTAGCACTGAGTAAGGCAGAAAAATGGATGATTGTGTCAATGTTATGATTGACAACCATTTGATCAATAGCTGATTGGTTCAGAATATTCAGATAATAGAACGGATCTAAAACTTCTTAATATCAATGAAACCTTATAAAGGGGAAAAAAGCAAAATGAAACAAATCGAAATGTGTCCACCAGAAAATAATTTAATTGGATTCTAATCATACAAAAGATTTTCTTTTCACACATGATTGCGTGTTTACATTATCACATTGATATCAATGTTTACATCATCGATGCAAATCATTTTATTTTTTTTAATGAGTAAAAAAAAAAAACCATAAATTAGGCCTTCAGAAAAGTGCTTTAATATATTGCTAATGCACTTCAAGTTGTGCAGGATCAGGAATGCAGCAGCATGTTTATTTGTTTAACTAGAAAAAGACTCAACAACTCACTGTTTTTAATCAGAAATTAAATAGTTCCGCCAGGACAACTCACTGTTTTAATCAAACTTTTTCTCGTTTCCAACCCGGCAAAATTGTAAAATATGGTATTTCGACGGGCTATTTTCTTCAAATGTTTTGATTAAAAAACTATAACATTTTAGCTGTGCCACCTACAAATTCAATTGGATAAAACTTTACCACAGTTCTCCTCCTTTCGTGCTTTTACGATATCTGTCATAATTACCATGTCATCGCCGTATATTCTGCTGAAGAGAAAAATTCTTACCAACTATTTTATTACAATCATTGAATTGTGACAAATAAAATGCCGAAATAAACAAAAAGATTAACAGTGTTATTTGCCGAAGCAATTTCGTCTATTAGACTGTCAACAGCAAAATATCGCTACAATTTATAATAGGGTAAGCAAGTAATATTAATAGGTAATTCATTGATAATGAAATAAAGGGAATGAGTGAGTAGCATGGAGGGAATGAAATTCATAAAAATTCATCAAATTCGATAGGAAAAATATTGGCAACATTTTTGAAAAACAGAAAAATGTTTTTTTGATGCTATGTATTCATTTACACAGTCACAAAAAAAGTTTTAAAACTTAGATAAAAAGAAGCAAACCGTAAAGTAGTTGCTAATCCATATCCAAGCTGTCCTAGTGCTCCAGTTATCAGTATTTTCTTCGTTCCCGTTGTCAAAGCAAGGTCCATAAATTTCGAATATGGCTCCGCTGGCTCATTTCTTTGCTAAAAAAAATTATCGAAGCATTTAAAAATATTAAAAAATTGAAAGTCACAAGAAAATCTTTCGTCTTCTTTCTAAAGCCATCAGACTCCCAAGATATAACTTAAATTGTGAAATTAGAAGTTCCAAAGATCGAAAATTTTGATTTTAAGCTTCCATTTCTGCTTCAGGAAAAAAATATTGCAGGATGCATAATAACTGAAGAAGCATATAACTAACTGTTATCGCATATCCTCGATACTGTCGTAATTCAGGCCATGCAGAAATGGTTCCACTCCAGCATCCAACTAATTTAACCAATTGGCTAAATCCAACTACTGCTTTTTGCATCACTTCGCTTCCTATGACATGTGCGCTTTACTTATCTTTGTCATATTAACGCTATTTGCACAGTTATAGATGAACTAAATGATATATTCACCGTTGCAATGTAATTATAATCATCAAATCCAATTTAAGTAAATGATGCGCAAGCCCTAAATACTAGACAAGGCTACTCTTATCTCATTTTGGTCAGGACCTTCGATCAGTTCAAATTCGCCACACCGATATTCGCATCGGATCATAGCCTAAAAAAGGTGCACGTTGCACTACTTTGCAGATTGCAATCACTCTCGAGACTGCTTTACTGTTATACATGTGTTTACATATCATCTTTTCCTTTTCTTTCTGTCTTGTTGATAAATATCATCACATTTTCATGCAATCTTCCCGCTGCAATCACCTGATACCTTCACTGATAAACATGTTCTAATCATTTCATTGATTGCGCATTATCAGTCACATATGAATGTCAGCCATGAATCGTTAGTGCAAAAACATGGTGATGATAACAGAATCTTGAAACAGAATTAAATAAATATTTGTAGAAAGATATCTATCTTAACAGCAATGTTTTCATATATACAATATTATCATTTTAGAAAATTTGATAAGTTATCTCTAACAAAGATATTACAGTGGAGAAAAATGATTTTGATAAGTTGCTTTATGCTATCTATTATCATTAATGCGATAAGAGAACATATCTTGAAATTGATATTTAGTAATTTTAGATGAACTAATCCTTTGAATTTACATAAAGTCACTCATATGATTGAAAACAAATAATCGGTACTTTTATCATTATCAAACAACAAACAATTTTTATCCATATAAATCATCCGCACAATAATTCTATTAGAAATTACTTGACATATCACCACTGATTTACTTTTAATTAATTAACTTCCTTTTCAGACAGTAATTTGTAAACAATGTCAACTAGATAAAAACAGCCACTACGAATTGTTTATGCAATTATCTTTCGCTAGATTATTTTTCGTTTCTTTTTTCTCGTGCAACCATAATAACTGATCTAAAACTGTAATGTATGATAAATATCAGCGTACCATTTTCATACGAAGAAAGATAATTAACTTCTAGTTATTCCCTCATGATACTAACGTCATCATAATTATTGCGATTAATTTTTTTAAAAAATTTTAAATGGAAGTAAATATTATGAAAATTATGAAACAATATCTTTACTGCTAAACTTTGCTGTTGATAATAAAATAAAGCAAAATCGATAATTTGCAATATTAACGGGTGTTTGATTCATTATTAAGAGGGAAAAAAAAGAGAGTGCATTAACATTGAAAAGTAACAGTTCACAATGTAGGAAAGATTGTTTTTTAATTCACCAAAACTGATTGTAATGAGATTTTTATTAATAAATTTGTGTTAATGCTCTGAGTTAAGTTGCAATATTGTGTATCTCGAGACATTATTCAAATGTGAATGACAGTCTCTGAAGATGAAGAAGAGCAGATTTGTGATATACAAAAAAAGCGATTAGTATAATTCATTTTACCCAAAGTATATCACTATCAACAGCTACAGATGGCATGGCAAAGAGATTTATTGCTCATTAATTTCTTTTATTCCTTTCCTCTACAAAACTTCATTGTGATTTTACTAAGATACAATCCTTTAGACTGATCAGAGTTTCAAAATGAGTTCCAAAAGAAGACCCATTTCTGCTTGCCTCTTCTATAACTTCAAAACACTGAGCAAGAACTTCATTCTAATAATCTGTTGATTACGATCAATATAGAACCTATTACTTACTTTTATAATTGATTTGAATAAAAAATTATTGCTCCTTTTCAGATTTCAACCTATTACACTTTTTAAATTAAAATGGTTTTAAAAAGGTGGCACAATAAATGGACATAATTTCAAATATAAAATTATTGTTCAAATGGGTACTGCTTGGAAATGGTTGCACTGAAATTATATTTTATGCTGATCTACCTCGCATTCACATTTATGTTCGAATTTATTAAAGCAGAATTTGTTAAACTATGTTGAATTCAAAGATTTTAATGTAAATTGAATGTTAATGGTGTTATTTGTTAATTATAGCAACGTTAGCATTTATTTCATACTTTAAGGCACTAGACTATACTCACCGATGAATCAGTTAATATATGTACATTATAATTGAAAAAAAAAGATTTCAAATCACTCTCTCGATCACTTCTCAATTACAACATTACATGTGCACTATCAAGCTATCAGTTAATTAGAACAGGGGATTGTCAGTGATGGGAAAAGTAGTGGGAGTAAGACGTGGCTCGGTACATGACGTGGAAACAGTAAAACCAAACGCGAAATTCACAATGACATTATTTGGAGCAAATTTATGGCCCAGCAGATATGAATCAATTTGGTTAACTGATGCAGACCACTGTGTGGTATTCAAATTAAATTCTTGTAAAATTTGATAATAAGAATCAACAGCATCCATTATTGATTTTTATTTAAAATAAATTAATAAAACGCAAATTTACTTGCAATTTACACGAATATCAATTACTAATTCAATAATTAAGGATTCGTTTCGCATGAAAAAAGCTGTTTACTACCTGAATGTGGTTGATGAATTTTCGTATGAAAATGCATTAGTGGTAGAACAGAAGGATGGTATTCCTGAAGATAACCATTTTTATTTGTTATGTGTTAAACCATCGTCTTATAACAAAGCCACTTCAAGCAATGTTCGTTTAATTAAATGTTTAAAGTTTTGCTGAGAAATTTTAGGCACAATGCAAAAATCGATTCCAAATTCTTCAACTTCAATAGCATATTTAAATGTTAAATGATTTAATCGAACTTCTGAACAAAATCTCAGTGAAGTATTCTTCGTTGTTCTGAAAAACAATCTTATCAGTAATATTGTAAAGTGGAACGACCCATTTCTTTGAATCAAAACAAAATTCAAATTTTCGCATGCACTTTTCATGTTAGAAAAGTTGATTATAGTCAATATCTGATTTATTTTAACCTTAGTTTCTTAATATTTTTCGATTATCAAATACACCTTTCTTTGAACAATCTAGAAAAAGTGAAAATATATATTTGTTCCAGACAAAATTATCAATTTATCTTTAGATACGCGTGAAACTGTTGGCATCTCGGAGTCCTTATTGGATGCCTTTTTCACTGCAAGCAATGGTTCTTATAATCTTATTGATGTTAATAATGAGTGCTCTTTTTTCGGGTCTTAATTTGTCATTCACATCGGTCGCGATTAGTGAATTAAATATTATCAGTCGTGTGGGCGATGCATATGTATGTTTCTTGAAATTAGCTGAAAAATGTCGGTGAAAAGTTTAATTATTACTTGCTACTTCAAACCATTTTATTAAAAAATAGATAAATTTTAATTAACAAGAGGGGAAATGTTTCAACACTTTTTGATTTTATAAATTGAAATTCAGAAAAGCCGTCTAGCTAAAAATATCATTCCGGTGCGCAAACATCTCAACTGGCTCATTTGTACATTTACAACAGCTAATGCAATTATTAATTGTGGATTATCATTGCTACTCGAAAACTTTCTTGAATACGTGAGTTGACCATAGTAATAAAACCATTATACTACACTTCTTAAATTTTTTTATTCAAAAGAATTGTCATTTTCCAAAAAATTTCATAATTTATGTAGGAAACTAAAAAGGAAATTATTGTTGTAAGCTCAAATGAAGCATAGAAAAGAACTTCTCATCGAAAGAATTCTTTATACTTGTATTTCAGATAAGTGACGGTAGATTACCATTCCTTCCGTTAACGCTTGTGACATGCATCATTACTGTTATTTTTGGCGAATTACTTCCACTGGTAAGATGGAAGGAATATTTTGATGTATTGATAGATAGATTGTCACTGCATGCTACTATATACTACAATAGAATGCTACCTGTGCTAATAGTTTAGGCGATATGTAATCGAAGAGGTCTACAAATTGCCAGTAAGACATGCTATGTCACCTGGTTTACAATGATTGTTTTATCACCTGTTGCTTGGCCAATTTCGAAGATTTTAGACATAGTCCTTGGATCTCAAGGTTATTTAGTCTCATTAATTTCACTCTATATTTTATGCTAAATTTTTGATATAAAATCATAGGATATGATTACTGTTAATTAGAAAAGCAAAAGAATCTAAAATCAATGAACTTTACTTCCATATAATTCCTAAATATCCAACTGTAAATTTGCACAATTTAAAAGAGTTTTCTAATTCATTAGGATGTGAAGTGTATGATAGAAGTAAAATAGAATTTTTAATTTTGGAAGCAGCAAGGACAAGTTCTGCAGTTTTCTCAGGTATGTATCTCGAGTTATTTTTTAATCGTTGTAACGCTTTTATCTAATTATTTGTGATGAAGGCTATTATAGTTATAATAGCATTGTAGAGATTCTAAAGAATGCAATCAATCTACCAAGAATTCGAGTTGGTAATGTTATGACACAGATTGATGAAGCATTTCTCTTATCAACAACAGATACTCTCGACAACAAAGTCGTTTCTTATGTGTAACATAGAGTTGTTTAGAAATGAGAGAAGTGCAATTTTGAATTAATGGCACAGTTACTAATAAAAAACTAAAATACAATCAAACGTTGAAGGGGAATTATGATTCAGCGATCATTTGTCCTATTTCGTTCCCACTTTGAAATGAAAATCTAACTTGTAAAAAATAGTTTAATTTTTTAAAAAATTTTCTTACTAAACTTTTTTACTTTAATAGAAATATAAGAATTCTCTATTATTTTTCTATCTTTTCGTCCCGGAACATAAAAATGGGATTTTGAAAACCAGCTAATAATTTCTAAACTTCCAAAAAAAATAATTTCTAAACTTCCAAAAAAAAAACGACTTAATTTTTCAGCTAATTCTTTCGATAGTAGAAAAAGGCTATAGCCGTATACCAGTTTATGAAGGTTCAAAGAGAAGCAAAGTCATTGCAGTATTAAATGTCAAGGACCTCATCACTACTGACTTCAATAAGAGTATTATAGTCATCGATATACTTAAAAAATTGAATTATTTAAAACAAGTTAGGTTACACATGGATTGAAAAATTATAAAAAAAAAAAAAAAAAAAAATCCATATTAACAATCTTATTTGTTGTTGTTATCAAGTAGCTTATCACGTATTAACAATACCTATTCCATCAATATTTCGAAAGCCTGGCATTTTAATTAGCAGAATTAGATAATTAGTAAAATAAAAATACTGAAAACATAAGAGAATGAAAAAATGTCTCTGTAAAGTATATAGGTTCTTACCAATAACTTGAAACTACTTGTTAGATGAGCTTGATTACTATTTTGATTAATAACTTTAAATTTGTTTGAAAAAAGTCATAACTGAAATAATCAGGTCCGTTTTGTATGCGAAGAGATGCAAGTAAAACCTTTGCTAAACGAAATGGAAGGACAGAATTTTGCATTCGAACCAAAAGGTTGCTTTCTAAGATGCCTGATTTTATAGCCAAAAAGAAGCTTTTTCTTAAAAAAAAAATTAGTATTAACTTCTTATGTTTTCATAAATTTACCAAAACTGACTTAAATTATATTACAACTCACTGAGTTGTAATATAATTAACAACTGGAATATATTTGCTCAATTCACTGAGCAAATATATTCCAGTTGACCATTATATATTGTCTGTCACTCGATTTCATTGTTTCTTTTTTACTGTTTTCATCCCTAAACATCTTCAGGTTACATATCACACCTAGCAATGGTGATGAAATATGACAGTAAAAGTTACAGCCTTGTTGGTCTAATAACACTTGATGACATCATTGAAGAAATATTCGGAGAGATGAAAGTGAGTTTCTCGATAATATCTCTGAATTGTATAATTAAAACATATTAAAACTTCAATGACAAATCTCTAGTTTATAGTTGAAGCGATTTAATTTCATATTTTCACACATCACTATGGTAAAACAAATTACTTTGCATGATGAATTATTTCAATGGACAAATCGACGAATTGGATTACATCGGGACCATGCAACTTTCGACTGGTTACGGTCAGAACCGAATCCACTATCACCACTTCAAGAAATTTATCGTATTCAGGAAACACTGGACAATTATCCTGGCTTTAAAGTGCAGTAAATCCTTACAATCAGTTTTAGAATCGTTCTTGAAAAACTTTCACGTTCAAAATGTGTAATAAAGCTTTCAAAATTTTGAAACAAAAGCGACGCACTTGACTACAGGACTTTATCCAAAAAATTGTCACTCAGGAATTATCGTTCAATATTCATACAATGCGTCGGCTTTTCAATTTATGCCAAACTCATAGCTCATTCGGCAGAATGAAAAAATTTACCGTTTATAAACAGGGATATCCATCCAGGTAAGTAACAATGATACCGAAATTAGTCTTCGATTTTTTATAATGGACAAATCTCCATTTCACTTACTTTTCTTCTTCACAACGGACACAGAACACAGAACATGATTATAATGTGCATGCAAAACATAATTTAACGATTACGGAATAAAAACTAGTCCTATCCAGGTCAGTAGCTGTGATGTTGACAGGTGAGGCATTTTATGAAGACATGACAGGTGTTCGTGTCGCTGCCACGCCACATGAATTAGGTGTCGAGCTTATCGAACAGATCTACTTGTTGTGCCTCCATAAGGGCACCTCTGTGGATCTCAACAATTTGTATTTCACGCCACTGAGAACAGTTTATGTAGAACCGCCATTTTATTATATTAAGGTTTTCTTTATTTATTTCACTTAATTAAAAGAAAACTGAAATGGAAGTAGGAAATTGAAATTGAACGAATAGGACTTGTCGCTTTGATGATTTCATTATATTCTAAAATTAAAATTACTTACCAAAACTTGCTTAGCTGTTCTAAAGTAATTTAGATCACAGTGCGAGCAGTATTGGAAGCAATGCAAATCACAGAAGTGAATGAATATCGACGTGAAGTAAGCGAAGCAAGAAGCATGAAGGAGATGAGCAACGCGCAGTTCAGTGATCTGTCATCATTTGGACGAAAGTATATCAATTTTTTTTTAAGGGCAGCAATAAAGCAGTCTCCAGCTTAAATATTGTCAAGAAAATGACAAAATAATCTTTAAGTTAGAATCATAGTTATTTAATAGATTCACAAAGAACAAAGAATGTTACAGAAAGAAGCAAAGAACTAATTCGACACAAAGTATGAGCGCATCCAGTACGGAAGATACTGCAAAGTGTAAGTCTCATGGACTGCCAGTCTATATGTCCACAACCAGGTCACTCACTCCAGAAGCAACCTCGTGATTTCCGATTGGCTAATTTTAATTTTGTACTGTAGATGTTTAAATAAAGAAAATACGAATTAACACACCTGGAACAGTGCTATCTCTGAAAAACGAAGAAGAGTAGATATCTCAGTCTGAGCTCCACTTTCACCGTCCTATAGTCTGAGTCTAGGCTCTATGCTGTGCTGTAATTGTTCTAAAAAATCTCAATTAGAAGCGAATTTGAGGGAGACCATCAATTTCACAGAGCGAACTTTTCACTGGTAGTTTCGAGACAATCCGAGGTACATCATCAGGTAAGGACAGTCAATTGTTAGTGGGACAGGGGGCAGTTGAAGTGATATAGTATTGCCACTTGGGTGACATTAGCTCATAAGGAAGTGGTACTTTAATTGTTGAAAATGATTTTGCCATAGAATAGTTTTATTAAGTGTGTGTGTGTGTGTGTGTGTGTGGTTTTTTTCTCCAAAATTCAGTTTATCAATTTTTTTCAGAAAGTAAATGATGTGATGCTATGCATGATTTTCGACGATTCTTTTGGCTAACTACCGCACGGCGTTTGTGTGTTTCTGAATTCATTCTTTATATTACACAAAATCTGAGTTTTTCGAAGAAGGAAAAATTGCTCATACTAAATCTTTATTTGAAATATTTCAATTCTTCTTTCATTTTAAAGGATCTGCTTTTTATTTGTTAATCAGGATGAGCTGTTTATTAATGTTGAGGGTGAACAGTGTGTAACATTTTGGTTTTTCAGCCTTCACAAATCAGTTATCTTCCCGAGACAAAGACACTGCTTAATGTTGCTTCGGAAAGAACAAATAGCTTCAACAAACCAATTGTGGCTATTCGCTGAATCAGTCGAGCATATTGTGAAGAAAAGTGGTAATACTAAAAAGAACAAACATCTTCCCTCACTTTCCTTTTCTCAGGTAGTCTTGTACAGCAAGTATTACTCTGTATGATATTTTAGTTTTGGTTTCAAAACGAATTTGATATTTCATGGTGTATTTGCATCAAAATTGTCATTGCGTTTCTTGATCATGATCATTTTGATCACCTTTAAAATAAATCAGTGAACAGTACAACTTGGTGAAACTTTAGCATGAAATGGAACAGTCACCGGATTTTCTCATTGCTGGATTGCGAGACATTTATCAAAAGCGATTAACGATTCAATCAGATCTTTTTATCGACAGCATTTTGCTACCTCTTGAATCAAAAAATGGTTTTTCTTTTTGTTTGAGGGAGAAACTTTTTTTACTGCTTCTATTAAATCGTTGTCATGCCATATATTTGAAAACCGTTTTTGTCTCTCTTTAAGTATATTTATTCTTTAGGCAATCTTGTAGAATTTCTGCAACGATCTGCTGACACTCACGTTCCGTTTTTGTTGAGTTTGTGTGGCTTGCCGATGAGTGATGCTACTTGTAGTGTTAAATCTGTAATAACTGATCGTTTTTGGAAAGCACTAATCCATGCAAGTAGGTTTCTGAATATATAATGCTTGTTTCAACTAAAGAAAGTCCAATATCAGCTGATGCAATTGTTGGAATTAATGATTATTTTGTTAGTTAGTGATTTGAAAGTTATGTGAAATCTCTTTCCGAAATTATAATTTCGATTTTGAAGACATTCCAATAAGTCATGCAGCGGTAAAGAGTCGTTTGAGGATCTTAATTGAAAACGAACATACATTTGATGCTCTGGAGATGTTGAAAGAAATTGAAACAACATTTAATCTTAAACCGGACGAGGAACTTTTCACTATTATTCTGCGGGAGCTTTCAATGACGGGAAGCATTAGTGCAGTGAAGTATGTTGCGTTGTTTTATGGCCATTAAAATGTATGCTTCATGAAATTTAGTCGCTCAAAATAGACAATAAAATTTATCCAATATTCTTTTAGTTCGATGATAATGGAAATAAAAAAGCGCAGGTTACCTGTGAACATGGAAATGAAAGTATCTCAGATATACTGCTATTTAAAAAATGATGACAACAACGCAATGGAATTAGTGCAAGTAAACATCCCTAAATAAATTTTAGCTTGTCTATAAATTCATAAATTAATTGCCTTTTTAAACTTTAAAATTTCTTATTCTTGTACTTGATGTAAAAGTGTTTGACGTAATACTCATTAGCTATTTCGAAATGTTTTTCTGCTTGCAGAATGCTATTACAGAATATGGGAATGAAATTGAACCGCTAATTTTCATGGTGCGCTGTCAAACTGCTATCGAGAAACGCAATATCCAAAATTTCAAGCTAGTGTGTTGTCCACATATTTCACTAAAGTCGTCTTAAAATTTGAGCACTTAAATCCTTCAACAGAAAACCAAGTAATGATGAGTAATTTTTATCAGTTATTGGATTCACTTTCTTCATCGGATTTGTCGTTGAAATTACTCACTGATGAAATGGTAATGAAATTTGTGTGGCTACTAGCGCGTAATGGCATCGACTCGATGGGCAAAGATCATGAACGGCTTTGTATTAAAGTCAGTTTTTAACGATTTTGGCAAATATATATTCTCATTTTCGGACGTAATCGTTTTTTCCTCAGATACTTCGGGAAGTGAGAAAGGAACGTGGTTTTTTCAAATTGATGGTTCGAGAAGCAAATCGACATGCGGTCCATGGAATGTTCTATTCAGCCCTCTCATACTTTCACACTGATTTGCATATATCTACCAAATCTTCTTTTAAGGGCGAAAGTAGTGTGTTTTTTTCCATTAAATTCAATAATATTGTAGTTCTACTCTCTAATATATTATAACTGTGAATTTTGCAATCCGAAATAAGTGAAGTTATACTTTGTTTCATACTTCAGATCTTGGACGTCATATGGAATGGATTAGTTGTTTTTCAAAGGCTTTAACAAATGCTAAATTATCTCTGGGCGAATTAAAGGCTTTATTTACTCATATCAATCGAAACACTCAGCATGCGTAAGAATTTTGAGTTTATTGCTAAAAAATGTCTATCTAAATTTGCAGTGATATGAGGAAAATCAACACATCAACTTATATTCTTAAATTTTTAGTCATTTTTTGCTGGAACATGTTTTGTATTGTATTTTGACGCATAAGTTTCTCTCTGTTCATGACTCCTTGCTGCTAACTTCGGAACTTTTGAAGATTTTGGACCCTAATTGCACCAAGATTCACGTCGTGGTGCCTTTACTTGTACGGTATGTTTCCATTATTTTGTATTAATCATTATTTCGTGTACAGGTTCTCTAAATTTTCGGAGTTTTACTTTGTACTGTTTAGCGCAACTGAAGTTGAACAACGCCTCGAAATATTGGCTCATTTTGTATCACTTGGTTATAATGATTTGAATCATTTGAATTATGGTGTTGTACGGAAGCTAGTGTTGCAACCTTTACTTGGTTCGACTTATTCTTTTTTATGTATTACTATTTAAATAATTTACGAAAAAGTTTATTTTTTGATCACGTCTCCTATTTTTTTTTCTTATTTTGCGATACTTACTAATATGCTCTCACAGAAAAAGATAACACAAGAAAGAACAAATGGAACACTGAACAGCTTGTTCATATTTTGAATATTATCAAGGAGTATAAAATACCGGAAGATATTGCTTATAAGCTCTTAGAACCTGTTGCGATTGGAATTAGCAATCTGGAAAAGTGAGTGGCATGTTCGAATTTCATATGGAATTAGAATTTGGTGAAAAGCTACATAACAGTTAAACGGAAGGTCTTCGTGGCTCTTGAAAATTTTTCATTCATATAATTTTTCAGGTGGTTGAAAGAGCAAAGTGCTCGAAATAAAATTGCTACTGTAAGGAACAGTAGCGAAATATCTTCTAGTACACTGAAGGCATATATTTCGAATCAGGTACTCACTACTCCACAAGATTTTTAAAAGATTTCACTAAAGGCAAAGTACGAGTATTTCTACAAGTTGGTTGTTGTATATTCAATCTAAAGAAATTGAACTTAAGTTCAATAGGAGAACTAAATAAAATGCTTTATGTTTTGCTTTTCAAGAGTGTAATCAATATTTTCTCTCGACGAGTACTAGAAATGTGTTATGAAATAACTGAAATAAAATAAATTAAGACAAGAAATTGAAAATAATTTCAGGACGTTGATAAGATTCATGAATTTATCAAAACAAATAGCTTGATAGACTCCTCTGAACTATTTCAACCTATTATTATGTTATACATTCGTAAAGCTGACTGGAATACTCTCATGGAATACATAAAGCAGATGTTAGCTCTTTGTCTGTTTATTTTGCTTGAATGTAAATTTAAAAAATTCAGATTAGCACACAAAAACTACACTAATACACTTTAAATTAAAATAATCTTGTGCATACTTGACGAAGTCGGTTTCTTATTTTTAGACAAAGCGATGGTAATTTGATCCAGTTAACTATTGACAATATTTTATTGATTGTGGCTCGACATTTGAAAGAATTCAGGAATTTTAGCATGACATCTGATTTCGTTTATTATTTGCAACAGTTTGTTCCTAAAAGTAAGCTGTAATAGTATATAAATTTGAAGTTGCTTGTTCATTGAATCGTTTGAAAACTCACACCAAATATTTGATCATTATCAGTTATTTTATAATAGTTTTCCGGTATGATTTTATTGATAACGATAAATAGAATTGACGTTATATACTCAGCTGTCCATTTTTTGCTATGTTATTGTTCTATATATCCGACTTCACTATATCAGTTCTATATAAAATTTAGGTTGTACTGCATTCGACAACTTAATTCTTTTAAACTGAAATTAGATTTTTTAGATCTTCACTCAAATATTCGAGATCAGAAGACGCTGAGAAAGCTAATAAAGCAGAGCTTAGAACTTTCTCAGGATACTGTTCAGTCATTAATTACCTGCTCACAAATGTTTAGGACACTCGCAGATGTTAAGTGGATTCAGTCCGGTTTCTTTGAAATTATCTCAACTTCATTTACTTCAGCAGCTTTAACAAAGTTAGTTTACTAAACAAGAATCTCAATAATGCGTTATTTGATCTTGTTTATAAGCCGCCCTTCTATAAATTTAATTTTTAGTATGCACTTTGGCAAATTCCTCTATTTTTAGGTTTGGTTTCGAAGAAGCTTTGAAAGTTTGCAGCTTTTTCCAATTTTCTGATTTTCCAAATGGTATCATTTATTTGCTGCACTATGCAATCAGAATCGATGATGAAAACCTTATCAACAAAAGTATAAATTCATTATAAATTTGAAAGCCACATAATTTCCCTAAAACATTCTTTTTTCAAGCGCTTATCTTAGCGAGGACATACTTGGGCATATAATTTCCTTAACAATCCTTTTTTCCAGCGCTTGCCTTAGCGAAGACATATTGGCCAGAATGGAAAGTTTCTGTAACCTTTGTTTCGGTTCTGATTTCTTTAGAGAAACTAGAAGAGGCTAGTCGTCAACTACAAAAAGTAAGATTCAAATATAATTTTAAATACATTTCTAAAATTTTTCCTTAAATGTACTTTTATTTGTAATTAAATAGTGAGGCGAAATGAGATTTTTTAGACAAGTATTCGATGGATAAACGCTTTTCATACCTATAAGTTATTATGTGCTCTACACCTTGATGAGGTAATTGTTTTTCTAGAACTATTTGAATCTCTTTTTCATGAGTTTTGCGTTGACTGTTTTCATGAACTAGTCATAAATAGAAATCTTCTTACTAATATTGTTGTCAGAACTTTTGAAAGTACTTGTGCGGAGTTTATTTCAGTTGTGTTTCCTCATACTTGTTTATATATTTGTTAATGTTTTCAGACACATAACTTTCACTTCAACTACTTAAGCATTTTCTCAAAAGCGCTGGAATACAATAGACAAGATGAAGCTTTCACTCGTTTGTCGTTGGGATGTTTGAAGAATTCTAGTAAGTAAAAAAACTCTTAATGCCATTTATATTTATTCAATATAGTGACATTTTTTTTTTTTTTTTTTAGCTCGAAAAGACCCAGATCAAGCCTATTTGGTGAAGCATTTTATCAGAAACATTGGAAATATTGAAAAATAATTGCATTCATTACCGCTGCCGATGAAATTGATCGATCGCTAATATTGCTATTAGAAATTCATTTTAGTAATATTTTGTTTTAATTATTTCATAAGTAACATATCATAAAAACCAGAAAAGTTTCCGATCACTGCAAAAGTAGTAGAAGTTACTAGAGCTTTTTGTTTTGCAAGCATACAAAAACGGTGGTTGTCATGCTCAAAAAATTTGGAATTTAATAGTTATTAGCTGTTAATAAAGCTATCAGAAACTTGAATAATCACTATCAGAAACAGGATTTGATTTCAGTATCTCTCGGTAGCATGGAAGTTTTAAGTTATAATTACTAGTACGAATCGAATTGCCGGCAAAAACAAAAATATGCCAATGAATTTCGTTAAATTGGAACAATGATAAATTAAAATTTGTAATTTATCACTTTGATGTTACTTTGTTTTTTCCCCGATCATTGTTATAAATATTCTTCACTTCAATAGCTTTCGCTTTACCAATTCTCTTTTTACGCAGATGTCTAATATAAATGGCATTTTTATGCATTTCTTACCTGCCAAATAAAAATAGAGAAAAAAAGATGCATAGCAAATGAGCAACGTATGAAGTATAAATGACGGCTCTCTTTCATATTTAATGTTTCTCTGGAATCGACAACAAATTGTCTTTTTGCAAACAATTGTAGAGCCAAGTGGATGAGTACCCTAGCGAAGTTAACGAAGTGGCACTCCTTGAGATGGATGTTTTTCATCGTGTCACTGGATGTCTTGGTGAATACGGTCTGCTCCTTCACCCTTAGTAATTTTCGTGTTCGACAGATGTAGGTGGAAGGGATGGGTGTGAAAATGAGTTACTGGGAGATTAGTTTCCTCTCATGTAGTTGGCATGTTATGTTGTGTTTCTTCCTGTTGTTCTATATAGTAAATTTCTTCAGGAGAAATTTGCAAATAGCCTCTAGATTACAAATTATCCTTTTATTCAGGTAATAATCACAGGGAAATTTATATTAATCGTAATTTTTATGTGCAGTAAAGTTTCTAGTCGTTAATTGTTATCGTTATTAATAATAGTCTTATTAATAGTGGTAATTGTTCACTGTGTTGTACTTTACATTAGCCACACCTTATAATGTTGCACGGTGTTTTGAGGAAACCTTCTAAAACAGACGAAACATTCCTTCAGTTGACAGTTAAAAGTGTATCATCCATGGAATGAAAATACTGTAGGATTTATAGTATGGCTGTTACATATACCATCATTTATATATGCCATTGTTGTGTTACTCCTTTTTATATATGGTCAGAATAAATAATTTCTCTTTAATCAGCACAATTTTGCTTCTTGGTTAGTACAGTTCTGAAGTTAGTACAGTTAGGCACAAGGAACTGTTTGCTGCTTGTACATGATGGCGAGTAATTCATAACATCTATTTTCTGCTGAAGAGTTGAGCAATAATAAATTAATCAGCGGTAATTTTCGTATATTTTAGATGAACATCTTTCGATTAACAGCAGATTTGGCGCATCTTATTGCCATTTTCATTTTGGCACTAAAGATGTGGACAACACGATCGGTTGCTGGTATATCAGGCAGATCACAACTTCTTTTTGCTGCTGTTTTCACATCTCGATACTTGGATCTTTTCACCAATTTTATTTCGGTCTATAATTCGGCTATGAAGGTTTTTTTTTTTTTTTTTGTTTTTAAATTAGTTTCAGTTATTACTTTTTTCATGCTGTATGATTGGAGAAAATATTTAATGTTTATTAAATTTTTTGGATCTTTCAACTTTATTAAGTTATTTGTATTATCCAAATCTATGCCTATACCCTTTTATAAACGTACGAATACTACGTTTTCTATTTTAATATAATCGGTCGTTTCCTGTTATAGGTTTTCTTCCTGGTATCATCTTTTGGTACTCTGTATTTGATGTGGATTAAATTCAAAGCAACTTATGATCGAAATCATGATACATTTCGTATCGAATTCTTGGTGCTTCCGTGTGTTCTTTTGGCTCTGCTTATTAACCACGAATTTACAATCATGGAGGTATTTATGTTCTATCTCTTTTTCTTTATTCGAATGACTGAAGTCATATCTATATAAAAAGTTTCTAGGTAATGTGGACATTTTCTATTTATTTGGAAGCCGTTGCGATTATGCCACAGCTCTTCATGCTTTCTCGCACCGGAAGCGCCGAAACCATCACCGCACATTATTTGTTCGCACTTGGTTCTTATCGGTATGTACACATTTTATGCGAAGATCCAAAATACACGTAGTACGCCTCGGAGCCAATTTTTTAAAACATTATTATTACAAAATAATACATTCCAGCGCATTATATATATTGAATTGGATCTACCGCTATTACACAGAAGGTTTTTTCGATCCCATTGCTGTCATATCTGGAGTCGTTCAAACCGTACTTTATGCTGATTTTTTCTATCTTTATGTTTCCCGTGTTCTACGTCAGAAGCGTGGTTTACAGCTGTCGGCATAAATTTCTTTTTTTAAATGATTATTTCTGTAGGTGCAACTCTGTACGAATTATTGCTGAATTTTCTTAGGAAATTCAGAAAATAAATTCAAAAAATGAAGAATTTCTTACTTCGCGAAGTACTATTACCGTTTTTTTGCTATGTATATTAGTAGAGAATTATTCGCTCAAGATAATGTTTTTTGTTCGTGGTGTCTTCAGTATTATATTCAAAAGTTATCCAAAAATTTTAAAAGTTTTCCCACTTTAAAGAAAAGAAATTGGTAAGATCTGATTATAATAAGACTTCCTGACCGATGTTTGTTAATGTTGCAAATGTTGCATTTGTTGGTTGTTGATTTTTTTTTGCAGTTTCCAGGTGCGTAGATAATTTATTAATAGCTTTTCAGAAACCCCAATCTTTTCACTTTTTCTATATTTGTTTCAAGTAGCACGCTATTTTAATAATGTGAATAAAATTCTTCATTGCTGTTTTTTGCCTTTTTGTTGCTGGGCTTTAACAACCATCATTATTATTGAAACCAGACCTATTATTTTGTCTCTTTGTTAGTTGTTTTGTTTTTCTTTTTGTAATTAGAAATTTGTCATACTTTAGTCTTTCGGCTTTTTTTTTTATTTCCACAGTATTTTATAAGAATAAATGGTAGTATTATGAGCTTATGAATTTTATAGAATTCTTATTGTGTTATTTTTTGCTCACACATATTTAAAGGTAAAATTTCATTTTTTATTTTATATCTGGTTAAAAAATTATGTTTATATATATATAAATTGGTTTCCATCACAAACCTGACATACAACTAAGTATCTTGTTATCTCATGTAATATGAATAAGATTTCTTTGTTGAATTTGTTTGTGTTGGCTATTCGCCATTTGCTTTTTTTATTTCAGAATATGTTAATCTTTTTCGTTCTCTTTTTTTTTTTTTTTTTTTGATTTTTATATAGCTGAAGGTACCTTATTTGAGGCACTTAAATCTCAAAGTTTTAAGTTGTATTTTAGATATAGATATTATCGCACTCTTGTTATGGGATGTTATGAGTTTATTAATGGTTTATTTCATAGTCACTTTTTTGTACGATTATGTTCTAGCTGTTGCTGCTTTTTCCAGCTATATCTGCTCAAGTTGGTTTGTATGCAGTTGTTTCATTCATTACTTTTTTATTTACAGAAGTTTCGAACCAAAGTGTTGTGATGACTAGCTTCTCATTTTCTTCTTAATCGGTCCTGTTAGGATTTGATATGACATCTTGTTTCAAATTCTGTGCATTGCAGTGATGTTACGTTATTCGAATTGCAGGTATATATGTTTCTAACTTTTTAAAAGAAGCTAAAGATATCTTTTTTTTTTTTTTTTTTTTTTGTCCGTTATCGTTTACTTATTCTAATTATTGCTTTCTCGCTTTATCATCGTGTCACTAATTTCTGGTGACACTTGCAGGTATTTGTTGTATGGATACAAGTTTCCTGTGGAGGCTGTGCTACCGATTCACCAACATTCTTCTTCAAACTTCTGTAATATTTTAATGGTTCGGTGGATGATTTTGTAAAGCGTTCCACATACTGGTAACTTATATGTTAAACTGACAGTTTATTTAACTTTCTTTTTAATATTTCAGCAGCTTGCTCTAGTTCATCTTTATCAACAAATCTTGACGTAGAAATAGCTCATCGGCCAACAGTGAAGTGGTGTGGATATGCATTTCGGGATAAACAAGAGTAAGTCACATATTTTTAGCGCTTCTGAGATTCAGTAAGCATTTACTGACACTATTCTTCGTTCTGTATGGTTGTGACAAACATCACGCCTAATTATGAGATGTGATGTCTGTCAAAATCATATAGAAAGTAGTTTTATGCCACCAGATTTTGAACTGTAGCATTATGCAGTTACACCAGTACGACGACGTATCATTTGCAATTAATTCTTATTTCTATCAATAGATTGGAAATTCACTGTTTGCTAGTTAGACATGTTTCAGTGTGTTCTTTTCTTTCAATGACTCATCCGAGTTTTTGGATTCCATTCCAGCAAGCGCAAGTACTACAAAGGATGAACGTTAGCTTCAAAATATTTTGTCTGAAATTCTCTCATTTATCTGAACGGTAAACATTTCGTACAAAGAATCAGGATAAATAGGTCTCCATCATCCATGGGTTTATAATGGAAAAGTTGATTAATTTCAACGTTTGATTTAAAAAAGTGCTTGATTTAGTTAGCGAAAGTGTGATTGAAATTTTGAAGTCTTTCTTTGAAACATATGGTTGGCACAGTATCGATGAGGTGTTGGATGATTTGCCTGCTCAAACTTATGAAATGTTAATGTCGAGGTAATCTAATTCTTTATTTCATAATTCATTGTTTAGAACAAAATCAGTAAGTTTAATATTCACTTACATGTTTGCAAAAGCATAAAGAGCATAAAATTTCAGTTTTCCAAGCAGTTATAACACATCGATGACTCTGTTTAATAATGCGCAAACATGTGATAGAGTATTGAACGC